ACAAGCGGCAGCAGCGTGGGAGACAGCGACGGTTTCGAGAGGCTCCGCGCCCCTCGAAGCCTCTCGACTACGCTCTCCTCTGCCTCGCGGACGAGCTCGAGTTAGCAGCTGGGTTTGAGGGTATGCATGCTTTGACGCGCAATCAGTTGTTTGTATGTAACGGGTGTGGCCGTAGCAAAAACTGGTGTGACCCTAGTATGGGTATGACCATCTCTAGTGTTCAGTATTTTCCAGTTATGGGATGCTGTTCTCACATCCGAGTTGTCCTACTCACTGTCCCTAGATTTGTGAACTAGAATTAATCACTCTGGTGTACACAACAACGAGGAATCTCCTGGGACTTGAACTTTCTACCGGCTAACATGACGTAGGGTTCAACTTACTAGAGGGAAAAAACAAGACTGGATTTACTCAACTTCCTTTTACGTGTTGAATTCTCACACTTTGAATATATTAACGTCTCTTTTTCGAATGTATTCTTGTTGACATTGTTTTAGTCAGTATTCTTTGCATACAAAATGCAAAAACATTAACACAAAGTCATAAGTTAGCATAATTTAGCACTATGAGGCGTGCGGTAATACAGTTGTGAGATTATTTTACGAAAAAGTAGTTCTAAATTTCCATATATTTTCCTTCATTGAGTAAAGTTTATGAAGTAGTTGTGTGCTTTTTTTATCTCAAGTTTTCCAATTCATAAAACCTCTCGTTGAAAGTTTTAAGTGATTTGATCTCCCAAAAAACATAATGAAACTGATAGTTTTCATTAAATTGAAAAGATGCATTCATCTCAGAAACGATTGCATAGTTCACATAAGTCGTGAATAAAATCGGAAAATTACCTAGAAAGAGGGAGAACAGGTTGAGTGTGACCGTAGATGATGTGAGAAATACTCTCCGAAGACAAGTTGCAACCAACATCTTCTGCAATCTTGCTTCAATATCCATTTGTGACAGTATGATAAAAAATATTCAAATTATAAGAAGAAAATATCATTCTTGCATTTAACATGGCATGCATTTCAAGTGTATGATTTCATAAAAAATAGATTACAAATCAAATCAACATGATCAAATCATGAAGATATTTTACACATTGGTTGTATTCAGGTCTTAGAAATTTTCTATCTTAACTATGATAGACTTCATGAATGATTATTTGAATTATTATAAAAATTTATTAGGTTTATGAATTGTATGTATCTAGTCATGATTCACAATGCATAATCATAACTCTATTTACATAACACAAAAATAAAAGGAGACATGCATCCGAACTCAACCAAGAGAGAGAAGTACATACACAAAAGCATACAAGTAATTATATGGTTCAAAGAAAATTGTGGTTTATCACATAAGATTGCTGTGGTAAAATCCGAGCATCTGGCTATGGAGAGCAATAATGTCCGAGCGTCTGGCTGTAGAGTATTTTTCTTAGCTCTTAACCCAAAATATTGTCTTCAATTTATGTCTTCACTCTTTTGATGACTAAAATTATTTCTTTCTCAAATTAATCGTTTACTTGTATCACATGGTATTATGCTGATTCTTTTTCACAAGATCTAATGCAAGTCCCAACCTATTGTTTCATTCAAACCAAAACTTCATGAATATAAAAGCTGAATATAAAATTAATGTTGAAATTTTTTATTGAATAGAACTTTCTATAAGAAGAAAAATTGTCTTTATATTAACTCACTTACACTGGGTTCTGCTTTTTTTTTTTATCAAAGAAATTTTAGCCTCTGAAACTTGCTCAAAACTGATCCAATCTAAACAAATTTTAAATTTAATATAAAACGCACGTTGAACGTATATATATTCTTCAGTGATATATTTAATCTTTTCGTACATCCTAATTTTTTCCAAACAAACACCATTGACTTGAAACTTAAAACTATCACAAAACAAAACGCAGTTTTCAATTTTTTGATTAAAAGGGATTGCTTGAAAACCTTGTGACCTTATTGTAATAAATCCAAAATTAATATTAATTAGAGACTCTCAATCTCAGATTAAATATTTTAATAATATCTATTTTATGATAAATATATCTATCCTTTTTGGTCATCATACATTGAAAGTTTCATTGAGAGTTTTGCTAAATGTTTTCATAAAGGAGCAAATTAATCAGGATTAAACAAACCATAGTTTAATCAAGATCTTAATTAGCTTAAAAAATTTAATTATTATTTAAATGTAAAGATTTGAGGAAAAAAATCACATTATTGATTTTTCAATTTAAAGTCTACATTTACTTCACTTATTTGCTGAAATATACTAATCATGTATAAAACTTAAAATATTGAGATCTTATGATTTGAAAGTCCATGCAACATGATTTGGATTGAATATATTCAAATAGAATAAATTCAATTTGAATGTATGCCTGATACATTATCTTAAATTAATGCTCCTACTACAAACAAAAGATCCGAGATGAAACCCATGAATTAAACGAATGAACACCTTATTGTGTTGCGGCCTATTATAAACTTACATAAGTAATTTCATACAGCTTCATATACATACATAGAGACAAAAATGTACAAACTCTCTTCTTACGTCTATGCCCTGGAAACTCATGGATGCTTTTTCTATCTCCCATGCTCAATTGGACTTGCAGCCTATAAAATATATGGGCTATTTTACTTCCATGTACAACGAATCTTAGTGTTGTGAAACAATTGACCTCATCCACATCAAACATGTAACTAGATGCAATTACAAATGGCATACTTTAGTAAAAACCTAGAAAAATCTCAAGTCACTCATGAGCAGTATATGGTGAAGATTCAAATTCATTAAAGCATAAGATAGAAGTATGTAGGACTTATATGATTCCAAAGGGACCAACTGTGTCTTGACCGGGAGCCGACGGTCCTTCGGGTTTGCGAATACAACAAAAGCTGAAAAGTGAAGTCACGTAGACCAACTCACCCCTTCCATCCACGTGATTAGCGAAGCTTTCAGGGAGTGACGTGGCCGTGCTGGTGTCATTGGCTGTCTGCAGCAAATACTTTGTGTAAGTGGAGATCTATTCGTGGAAGCCGTCGGATCAGCGCGTTGCTCCTTTGACTGTGACTTTGGAACAAGTGAGGGCTGACATAGTGAACTACTTTAACTCGAGGATTCTCAAGTCTCGAGGTTTCTATGGTCAGAGTCGTCCTTTGGGGTACTTGACAACAGTTTGGGACGTGGAATACAGTACCGGATTTTGTTGCATCGAGGCTCCCAACAAATTGGAAAAACTCGAGAATATGTCTTCTTCGAAAGGATCTGCCATCTGGATATCAGATGTACAGCTTTGTCTTTCATTGTATGGATGGTTTCACGGTTCACGTTGGGTCCAGTAACCGAGTGACGGAGCATGGAACACAGGTTTCTACTCATAGCTACCTTTTGACTTCTGATCACTTCAACTTGATAAGTCTTTTGTGGAACAATAATGATTCGATTCGAAATGCATGGAAGGACGGGATATCGTATAATCTTCTACACACTTTTTGGAGACGCATAGCCACCTACTATCCTGGCATACACTACCCTGCCCTTGCCGTTACTGTATCGCGATGCCACAACTTGTTCAGTATCAAAGTTCGAGGTTCCTTTGGAATGGTTATATAGGTCTTGCCTCTTGCTTACATCTCTTCAGGAAACAAACACGTATCACGATGGTGCTGGCTTACGCGAAGAATAAACTGATAATGTGTGGTAAGGTACAAGATTACATACATAAGTGAGGAGGTCGATGTTTCAGATTCCAGCATGTCAGTACTATTGTTTTCCCTCGACTTGTTCGAAACACTTCCGTTCTTGTGATATTGCTTCAACTTTATACTTTATCAATACTTTGAATACCCGTCACCATCTTGTCATTGCTGGCCCAAAAGATTGCAGAAACAAAGACTTCCTTCACTTCGAAGTTGGCTTGGATATTTGCGAACGGGGTGACAGTTTTGTTAATATGTTGTTCTTTCTTATCATTTTCTTGAGTTTCATTGACATTCTGACCAATTTTTATCGTCAAGCCCAAACTAGGAGATTGTATTCTACAAAGCCACTAGGAGGGTATTTTGCTGGCTAGCGAGTTCTTATCAACCTAGCACTATATCTATCCCTTATTATTTTTGAGGGATAATGTATGAGCGATCACTACCTCACCTTTGTGGGACCAAGTAATACACAACTGGACACACATTCTCGACATTTTAATTGGATCAGGACCAGTCACAATACTTGGCACACATGACAGTCATGTCCCAACATTATTAGATCTCAGGAGATAATTTCAAAATCTGGTTGAATGTGCAAGTGTGAAACATCTCCTTGTGTATCTGTTGCACCTTCAACCAGAATATGCAGGGCAAGTTGATCCACCGCAAATCTGGGCATAAGTAGGTCACATCCTTTATCAGCACATTTGTCCAAGTGGCCAAGAGAATAATAATCGAGAGCCTCAATTAATCGAGCCAAGTTCCAGCACTTTCCGTGGGGACATCCGGCTGGGAAAAATCAGACACAACACGACCTCCTTCACTTCGAATTCGATTTTGTTAACGTGAAAAAGAGGCTACATGCAATAGAGTTCGCCTCAGGCTTCCTACTGAAATTCTCCATTCTAGAAGACTCATGATACGTAGAGAATGCAAAGTCGTCCACATCTCCGCAACAAAGGTGTGCTGTTTGCCTTCCTGACGCCAGTACCTCCCCGTTGCTAAAATTAATAATCTCGAATTAGACTCCCAGAGCAGGGGAGCGAATCTGAGCAGGGGACGAAGTCCTTCCTGGCCTAGGAATGAGGCGGTCGGCCGGAACGCAAGCCAGTGTCGTGAGGGAACACGATCGCAGAATGCGGTCCGAGGATTGCGTCGGAGAGTGCCGCAAACTGGAGCTTTGACGAAAATGCCGGAAGTTGACGACCGAATACGACTGTCGCGCTCCTCTGACAATTTGGTCGCCTTGGAATGCGGCACGCGGCCTCAGCCGCCGTCTGGATGCGTCGTCCGGTCTGCCGGAGCTCGCCCAGCAGCAGAACAAGAGCCCTCATGAATCCGCTCGTGCTGCCATTCCCTTCCATCTTTCGATCGATGGGCGCGACATGGTGACCCGATTGCGCGCCTGAGCTGGCGTAGGTTCGCATTCTTGTTGCTCGGGATCGGCCAGCGCGAGCTGCTCCCGTCGTTGCTCGTTGCTCGATCGGTTTGCTTGTTCTGCTCTTCTGGGCGTCACCAAGATGAGCGCTCCGGCGCTGCTGCCGCTCGCGCTCGCGCTCGCCTTGTTCTCGGCGCGGGCAGCGTGCGAGGTCATTTTCGAAGAGCGTTTCGAAGGTGAGAGTCGGCGGATTGGATTGCGCTTTGCTTTGATTGTTGAAATGTTTTGTCATCCGAATGCTGGATGTGGATTTCTTCGTACTTGTGCTCGGTGCTGTGACGTTATGGATTTGTGGGTGAGAAGTGTGGTAACATGCCACAATTGCTTGAGGCTTTGTCTGCATCTCGTAAATCTTTGTCGCGTGCATTGTTGGGTCTGGAGCCCGTCCCTAGATTCTTGACAGCACTCCGGAGCTGACGCATTGAGAAAGAATGTATCTCCTCTTGTCGGGGGCATATCGCTACCTTCTTTGCTAAACTTTTATACTCATTATAAGTGTTTCACTTTGAAAGGCGGTATAACTGGCAACCTGGTCCGCGTGTGAATCAACCTGCACCTGCCGCTGGATGCAAGCATTCCTTATCGCTGCACCGTGCAGGCCCTCGCATACTGTTCCTATCGACTTCTTTGCCAGACAAACAGATCGTCAGTTCAGCTCAATTGTGCTTGCTATCATATGTTATCTACTGAACCTGACGTCCTATTTTCTCACGATTACGGTCTATGCCTCCTTGGCTTCATTTGGGACTTTTTTGAGGGCCTCCTCACCTGTCGATGTGAGCATAAGCTATATCTATCAAGCATAAGTTTGAGAGACTGGAAGGTGAATTGTATTGAGCCCTCTCTTGGACCTGACGCACCTTATTTCAACGATCTTAGAGCAGTTACGTTGTCCATTCGAGTCAAGTTCATACTGAGCTCTGTGCAGGGTTTCTCCATTACGGAGCCACTCGTAATATAGATAAACCTTACGAGTAAAACCCCACCTGGGGTTTTACTCGTCAGTCGGGTGAAGTGAGCATATATTCCAAGCCGAACGTTAATTAGTGATTATCGCTTTCTCTCTGAGGGCTTCTCTAAGTCTCAGATGCTTCTTAATCACATACATTTGCGAGATGACGTAATTCTGCAGTGGTTCAGTTGTTCCTTCTTTTTACCTGGACGATTAGAGAAATCTGCTCTTTCTTGTTTTTCACATGTCGCACTCAATTCGGAGTTACTGCTTGGAGGTTCCAAACACCCTCTCAATGTCAGGGCCTGGACACCTCGCCTTTCCTTCTCAAGGAATTTATTCAGGAAATAATTTTTCGGAGAGAGATTCGTACGATTTGGGATCTCACTGTTTTAGCTTAGTCGCGCGAGTCGTTACCAACTTTATCTTTAGCTGAAATGTGAAAACTCAAGCTTCCTGATATCCGAAGAGTTTTGAATGTTCCTAAGTTTGAACTTAGTGCAAAACTTTGGGCAGTTTTCGTTTGTGAATAAGCACTGGGTGAAGAAGCATGGTCAGGCTTCCTTGGGTATACCTGGGTTTCTTTCTTTCTCTTGTCTTCTTTCTTGTTGGATGCTGTCACCGTTTCTTCTATGGATGTATATTGGGATGGATAAATTTGCAGCTCCGTAGTATTTTTGGTGCTAGAGTCGTAGCGCGGTACGGGAATACATTTGCGGAGCATCCTAAGTCTACTTCGTCCGACTTTGTGTAGATGGATGGGAGAGTCGCTGGGTGAGATCGGACTGGAAGAGAAGCGAAGGGCTTGCTGGAAATTGGATCCACACAGCTGGGAAGTGGTACGGAGATGACGCGGACAAAGGTAGGTGGCGTAACTTGTCCATCGATTTCGTTGTGGATCTTGAATCTTATACTCGGAACCGTGTACAGGACACAGTACTGACTTGGACGGCTTGTATTGCAGGTATTCAGACTAGTCCAGATGCAAGGTTCTTTGCGATCTCAACAAAGTTCCCGCAGGAATTCAGCAACAAAGGCAGGACTCTTGTGCTGCAGTACTCGGTTAAACACGAGCAAAAGATTGAATGTGGCGGTGGATATGTAAAACTCATGAGCGGTTATGTGAATCAGAGGAAGTTTAGTGGAGACACACCATACAGGTATCGTGATTTTCATTGTTATAAGGGAATCCCTATGTGTTTTGTATGTTTCGGCAGGATCTATTTTCCTCGGTGAACTTCTAAGAGTTTGCAACTGAGCTTGGGGGTGTTTGTACGTGGTGCAGTATCATGTTCGGACCAGATATATGTGGTACACAAACAAAGAAACTCCATGCAATTATCCAGTATAAGGGCCAGAACTATCCAATCAAGAAGACGGTTGCCTGTGAAACAGACCAGCTCACGCACGTCTACACTTTTATTATAAGACCGGATGCCTCTTATAGCATTCTCGTCGACAACAGAGAAAGAGAGTCTGGAAGTCTGTACAACGATTGGGAAATTCTCCCACCAAGAAAACTGAAAGATAACAAAGCGAAGAAGGTATCATGAGTTTGCTGTCGAGTTTATGGTGGCTGGTGTCCACGTCTGCTTTTTGAGAAGAATTATTCTGATTGAAGGCTCTGAGTGTTCGATTTTCATCTTGTCTATGGTAAGGATTATTGTTAGAACTGACATAATGTGCGGTCGTGTTGTTTTCTTGGGAATTACAGCCGGAAGACTGGGATGACAGAGAATACATCCCCGATCCAGATGATAAGAAGCCCGAGGTAAGCTCTCATGTAGATTATTCCTCACGCTAGCGTAGAAGTTTCCTTTTCTCTCCCTAAGCTTGCTTTGCAATCGTTGTCCCAACCCTAGGAATTAATATCGCCAACCACCTTCATGTTATCCCATATGTTATTCCGATTCTTGATACCAACTTGATATGTCCTTTCGTTCATGCAGGATTGGGATTCTATCCCTTCCGAAATTCCAGACCCCAAATCTAAGAAGGTGAGTTTCCCTGTGAGCACCTATCTACCTTAGTCAGCTGGGCTCTTTGAATGAATACGGCTTTGAAGACATATATACCTGGATTCACAAGTTTGTGCACTGTTGTTTCCTGTTTGCGAAGCCGGATGATTGGGACGAGGAGGACGACGGAGAATGGTATCCTTCAACAATACCAAACCCCAAGTACAAGGGACCATGGAAGCCCAAGGTAAGGTTTTGAACCTTAAATCTTGGGTGCTACATTGATATTTTTACTTTCATTTGAAAATTTTGCACATATGTAGGTAACTCTTCGCCTAATCGCCGGTTGCTACGTCTGACTTTTGCAGAAAATAAAGAATCCAGCTTACAAAGGAAAGTGGAAGATCCCCTGGGTTGACAACCCAGGTACATTACAAGCCAGCTCTGATACAAGCAGAAATTTACATGTCTTTTTAAAATTTATATGTAGACTCGGAGTTAGACTCTTTGATACTGCTAGGGTTAACGATTAATTTACTTGCCTGCTGCAGAGTTCGAAGATGATCCAGATCTTTACGTGTTTGCGCCATTGCAGTACTTTGGTATTGAACTTTGGCAGGTATGATGAACATGTATTTAAACGAACTAAACAAGCTTTTGCAATCATTATTTTAGTTTTATTTTCTACTTTAGGTTTTCCGCTAACATGACTCCATAGCTCCTTAAGTATGCGTTAGCCCTCTTACTATACCTCTCGAAAGCACAAGTTTCTTACTGCAACTCTCATGAAGTGAATGTTTACTAATTGATATACCCAACGTGCAGGTTAAAGCAGGCTCACTTTTTGACAACATCCTCATCACTGACGATCCTGATTATGCTAAACAAGTTGCAGAGGAAACTACTCTGAAGAACAAAGATGTGAGTTTCTCTTTCGGTGCTGTGTTTTCTGCTCAACTCTTAAGATAGAATTGCGAGACTTGACATCTAAAAGCTGTTTTGGAGAAGAAGTCAAAACGATAGATCCATGTACGGTTTGGTCTATATAATTAGACAGCTGCAGACACAAAGAGTAGTTCTAAAGCTGAAGGGAACTCAGGATACTCTTTCCTTGCAGAATGGGACTCAGGAAATTCCTGAAATCCATTCTGCAAGGGTTGCCATAGATGGACATGACAGCAATTTGGAACCGCACTCAAGGGGTGTTCAATTTTCCGAATTTCAACTTCCTGGTAGGATCCAATCTATTCTACTCTTCATGCTATATTTTATGTCGTTTTGCTTTGAATCTGTGCAGGCCGAACTGGAGTCTTTTGAAGAAGCAGAGAAGAAAAGGGAAGCGGATGAGGAGGTATTGTTCTTTTGTCTTTTATGGTTTATGTCTTTTTCGCTGCCTTCCTAGTTTGGTCTCAACCTTGTCTAGGAGGCGAGGGTGACTAAGGCGTCAGTCCTGGGTACAGTTTCATTGGATTGTCACCTCGATTGTCAGTTCAAAAGCCCCAGGTTTCCTATCAGTCAATGGATGGAATGACCAACTTTCAAGTGATAAAAGTTCTTGCATTACGTTCTTCAATGACTGCACTCTACGTCCGGGATTATTCTTCACCTGTTGTAGCTTGGGATAACTCTAGCGGTTGACTTCTCAAAAATATATGAGCGAAGAAGAGTCTATCAGCGAACACTTTGTGATCTTTTGTTCTTTTCCACCCATAACGAACATCGGTGGAGCAAGACTTGTGCTCCACCCGCAGAACAGTTCCGTAACCTCTTTAACTTTTTACGAATAAGTTTGTCCTAGTACGAAGGAAGTACGAAGGACCCCAACCGGGACAGGCAGCACTTCTCAAGTGAGACCTGTGGTGACGTTCCACCTTTTTTTAATATCTTCTTACCTTCTCTCCTGACTTTATAGAGGGAGGCACAAGCAGCAAGGGAGGAAGGAGAGAGGAGGAGGCGATCGAGAGACCGTCGAAGGGACTCTCACTCAAAATTGCGATCAAGAGATAGAGCAAGAGATTACGATCGTAGAGCAAGATCAAAGTCTGCTCGACTTAGGGAGGACATGAAAAGCAAGTATAGCCGGGTATGTGACACTTTTTCTTCAATAAAGATTGTCATATAAAGGTGGAATGTATTTTCCAAGGCAATCTGTAGAGTGTATGCTTTATGGTGTTTCCCTGTGCTAAAGGGAAGCCCGTTTAGCTCGCCCATCCTTGCAACAAACATCCTCAAATTGGGTTTCTGCTTCAAGCGTTTGCTTCTCTAGAGGAGGCTTTACGGCTTTCTCCTTTGCTTTCTGATCTTGAAAGTAACTTGGTCTAGACCAAGTTACTAAAGGGAAGCCTGTTTACCTCGCCCATCCTTGCAATACCTGGTGTATTCCTAAAGCCTAAAAGCCAAGGTGCTTGTCTTTTCCAAGGTCTTTGTTTCAATTTTCACCTTCTGTAGCTCAGTTGAATACACGGCCTTCAGTTGACGGTGTATGCTTAAAGATTCAAGAGCAACAATCATCCTCAAATTGGGTGTCTGCTTCAAGCGTGTGCTTCTGTAGAGGAGGCTTTACGGCTTTCTCCTTTGCTTTCAAATCTTGGAAGTAACTTGGTTTAGACCCAGTCACTTCCAAGATAGATTGCAACATAAAAAGATTTTACTCTGAAACCCTATTATGTTGTGACCCTCGTCGATTCACCTCGGCGCGAGGATCGAATTCAGCATCATCGGGTTAGCCTCAAGTCACGCAAGCAGACATTTGGGTCATTGATACCTAATGAACACTCTTCATATGCTTTGCAGGGTTACGATGATGAAGACGACGATGACGACGATGATGATGATTACTATCCGGTAGGTCTCGTTTTCTCTAGAAAATGATGTGAGCTTTGTGTCATTCTGTAGTTCTTCCCCTGTTGATGGGGGGATTAGGGGCCGAATGGATAACAAGGATGGGAAGACACAATCAAGCCGTACCGAAGATAGGCCCCCATTGTATCACGATGGGAAATATGTCTTCTTGATCCATCAACTTTTAGACTTCATGACTCTGTACTACATCTTAACTGTGAAGTTGATGGTTCTGGTTTTGTGTGCAGGATCACGGACACGATGAGCTGTAGAAAGTATATCCATCCATGGCAGATACAGGAATCCTTTTGGTCAGTCTTGAGCATCTTCTTGCATGCTCAAAGAGGCAGTTCTGACCACTTATTGAAATTAGCGTTCGAAGGTGAAGGACGGAAGGACTTAACAGATCTATGTCAACGGAGTAGGATTTAGATATCAATGCAGTACAATGGCTCATATCCTAGCGAAGTGAGCCGCGTTTTGCATATATAAACAGGGCACCAACGAGTTGGAGGCCCCCTTCTATAATGTTTGATGGGATACTGGTTATTTTGTTTGCTCTTTTAGTTAAGTCTCAGCCGACAGCGGTGATGCCATCCACATTGTTTTATTTTCGACTTACAATTTCTGTCACCACCGAAATGAGTATAGCAAGATGAAATGATAGATTGAGAGCTTAAGATACTAACTCTAGCGTACATCATACGTTTAGACTGCATCAGTTTGAACTTGTAGTACGAATCTCCTCGACATTTTCTTCCTGGAAAAGAAGAAAATGTCCAGGGTGCGATTAGTTGTTTCATACATCTTTCAAAATGTAGGGACAGTGCTCACTGTGTCTCAGTAAACGCGTGCTACACGGTTGTCATAAGCATTTTTGAGCTTCACCGCAACGAACCGTGTCACCAGAACAGTCTTCTGGATAGATCTGCGCTCCGGCCCCATGTTCTAGATCATGTCAGTGCCCATCGTTCGGGAGTGCTGATCCCATGTCCAGTCCGTCGTGATTGTATTACTCCGAGCATCTTCTCTTCATGGTGTCCAGGGGGTCTTGGACAACCCATCCACACTGTAGACGTTGCTCTACACTGACCCAAGTTCTATGAAGACCAAGTAAAGAGAAGCAGAGTAAACATCCCATGTTGTCACCCACTTTATTATGATCTTGACCAGAACACGAAGGCAGGCCAGTAAAAAAATTAATGATTAGAACTACAATAAATTCCGAGAATTACAAAAGTTGAAATGAAATGTGAGAAATCCAATTCACAGTGAACGTTTATTTATTCTGTGGTGCATATACAGTTAGCTTTGGAACAATCACTACTTCGGTATGTAACAGCATAATATGTAATATGATCATGACTTAAAAAGAGAACTTTAGGTAACAATTTTCATTGTGACCAAGTTCACATCAGCATAATGTTAATAACTGAATAGTCAAGGAAAACAAACTTTTAAAATTACTACCTGGCATTGTTGATTGTATATTTGTAACATATGACAGGCGACAGTCAAATCATTTTGTTTGCTAATCGCGTAGAAGAGACATCCTAGAATATTCAACATTATTCAAAACATGTGATAATCTTTACCATAAATCACAAATCAACATGCTAATACTTACGCAAATTGATTTTAATAAAAATTTATCTCAAGTTTGCATGCACAATTATCAATCTCATCCTCAGAATACAATTTGATCAGATATTGAATCCAATAAGATATACAATAAATACAAATCTCTTCAAAATTTACAATTGTTATGTAGAGATTGTTTTAATCCAATTACATGATGTTTAAACTTTTGTAGAATTAATTTTCTATAGTTTGGCTAGGTTATGAATTAATGGATGAATATCATATAATGGCATGGATGATAGTTGAATGTATCAAAAAATCAAAACTCAAAACTTTTGAAAATTTAAAGATCTTGCTCAAAAATTGATATGAGAATGCAAAATTCAAAAGAACAAACATGAAAAAAGCTGAAACAGTAGGATTGATAGTGTAAAAGATCCCAAAGAATTAAAATAGTGTAGTAGAAGTGCTAGAAAAATTAATTATCAGAGATGGAAAATGCCAAAAATATATGCTGTTAATATTTTGATTTAATGATATTAAAAAATTAAATAACTCAAAAATAAAAAATATCAGAGTCAAAATATCAACATGTGAAAATTGAAGTGGAAAACTGCAACAGTGCCAAAAAGCTGAAGTTTCAAATTGCAAGTACACTAAATAATTCAAAATTGCCAAAAAAATCAAAATACTCAAACAAAAGTTTCAAAATATCAAGAAACAGAAACAATGAAAATTAAATAATATCAAATTTATTCATCATGATGATAAATATAGCAATGAAGAAAAAAAATTTTGAAAAAGAATTAGATTGAATGAGAGAAGTGATTCAAAATAAAAATCTAGTTTTAAAGATTCAGAAAATCGTACATCTTTTACAACTCGAAAAAGCAATAGCTTAAAAGCATAAAAAATCAGTGACAATATATGAGAAGATTGTTTTTACCAACAATAAACATAATTTGAACCAAAAAATAATCAAATAGTATTGATAAGTTGAAAAGAAATGGATATTTTCATTGTCCAATAAAAATCATTCATCAGCATAGAAATTTTAAAATCTTTTTTAATTTGAAACTTATGTGTTGATGATTTAAGGTTGAAGACTAAAATTAAAATGCGAATATCACATTGTGAGTTATTGTCAGAGTTTTTAAAAATTTTGAAATATTGTATATAGTTGTGGTAATTTTACAAATTATTTTTTAAAAATTGAAAATTTGATTTATTTGAAGAATATTTTTTTCAAATATGAAATACTTAATTTTACTGAATGTAAAAATTAAAATATTTTAAATATTTTTACTGATACAAAAATATTTAATTTTTTTTTTCACAATTTGCTCAAAAATGATTTGATTGCAACTAATCTATTAATTTTTTACTGAAAGTGTACAATTAATCTATTAGATGTGACGAACTTTACTTGATGGAATTTCAAGAATCCATAAAAAGGTAAAAAATCCAGAAGATAAACATATTGAAAGTATTGACTCAAAATTAAATTTTCCAATATATTATTGATCTAAAACCAGTTCTGTGATATTAAAGTTATCTCAATGATATACAATCTTGCATAAATAAAGTTGTGAGTGGTTTATCAATGCACCCTCACATACACTGTAAAAGAAAGGATTAATTACACATGACTGATTCACTCCAATGTTCATATTCTCTCATAATTTGCGCATGGGAAAAATAAATATCTTTTACACATTATATCATGTCATAAAATGAATCCAAATTCTTGATGTGAATCATCTTGATAGTAGATAATCATCTTATATCTCGTGATATTCTTCATTTTGAATCAAACTAATCAAAGCACTAGGTCGGAATACGGAGTAGTAGTATGTACCAATCCTCATGTTGAAATAGATAGAAGGACAACACATCTGAAATCGCAGATGCAACAAAGCAATCGGAAGGGTTGCACAATTAATAAATACAGGAGACAAAATGACAGCGCGAGCGAACGACGTGAAGGGCGAACGCAGTAGGACAGGACAGGACAGGACAGGACGGTACGAGGTAGAGCGGGGGCAGCAGCGGCCGGAGCATCCGTTGTGGGCATCGCAAGGGAGGAGTGCGAGGACCGAGGAGCATCGACGCATGCAACGGCTCCATGTGGCTGCTCTGCCGGAGCACATCTCGAGGCAACCAGAGGCGACGATCGCTCCGTCGATCGATCCTTCGATCATCCGGATTGGCACCTCGCGCTCTCGCTGCTCGACTGCTCTGCTCTGATCTGCTCTCCGAGACTCAAAACTCGCTCGCGGGACGAATCCGAAGCCCATTTGGTTCTGTTGCATTGCAGAGAGTGGATCGGTGCGTTGCATCCATTCGTCGATTGATCGACTGAAGCCGCATTCGGGCCCAGCATGAACACCATGGCCGCCTCCAGCATGAGCATCGGCAGCATCGCCTCCAAGGTGACGGCCTCGCGCTGCATCGCGCGGAGCTCGTCGTCCATCAGACCTCTGGCGCCCGTCGCCGGCGCGATTGCTCGCTCCTCGTCGACCTTCCTCGGCGCAGGTGTGCAGAGATTGGCCGGGGCTGCTTCCGTTGCGCCCTCGGGCGCTGTGAGCTGGAGGAGGACCGGCGTGCGGGCTATGGCCTCGGAGAAGGAGTACCAGGCGAAGGTGACGAACAAGGTGTACTTCGACATCGAAATTGGCGGAAAGCCTGCGGGAAAGATCATTTTGGGATTGTTCGGCGACGTGGTGCCCAAGACAGCCGAGAACTTCCGCGCTCTGTGCACGGGCGAGAAGGGTTTTGGCTTCAAGGGTTCAGCTTTCCACCGTGTTATCAAGGACTTCATGATCCAGGGTGGTGATTTCACCGCGGGCAATGGCACCGGCGGCAAGAGTATCTACGGCAACAAGTTCGCCGACGAGAACTTCAAATTGACCCACACCGGACCAGGAATCTTGAGTATGGCGAATGCCGGTCCCAACACGAACGGAAGCCAGTTTTTCATCTGCACGGTGAAGACTCAATGGCTCGATGGACGTCACGTTGTTTTCGGTCAGGTCATCGAGGGCCTGGACATCGTCTCCAACATTGAGAACCAGCCGACTGATCGCATGGACAGGCCAGCGAAGAACGTCGTCATTGCTGACTGTGGTGAAGTTGTTTGAGCTGGAGAGATATTCCTTTAAACATACACTCATGTAGAGCTAGATAGAGCAAGAAGTTGTAATCGCAGTTGCTGTCACTCGTTTCATGGCATCGAGGCTTGGGCTGCTCTGTGCCTTCGACAGTGACCAATTTTGTCCTCGGAGAAATTCTTTGAATAAAAGCGCAGAGAAAGTGGAATCAGCCCAGGATGTTAGAGTTCGCATCTGCTTCTTTGAGTGGTCGCTGTTGAGTGAGTGCTGCTCTCGCTTTTGGGCCTGTCGAGCCTGTGGTTGGCCAAATTGTCCACAAAGTTTTCATCCTAATAAAATCCTTACATTGGCCTCACTCTGTCGACAACCTTGCGGTGAGCCAAGTTTTGCTGGCCTCAGCTCTGCACCGTTTTCGTCGCCAGCCATCTCCGCTTAGAAGATTACCTCTGCACCGAATGTGCTTGCTTTTGCATTTTAAATTGAATTTATCTTTTCTGGATTCTCAGTGTACTATGTTTCCACCTCGTTCCTACTCGTTCAAAAGTAAGCTTGTCTGGAACGGCGGCACCTGGTCGAGCTACTGACTAGCACTGAGACTTAGTTTTTCGAGCAGTTGGCACTAGTCAAAACCTCTGTGCCTGATGGCACATGCCTGCCGCGTGGGTGGGTGCACACCAAGGTCGTCAACCTGTGCTCACCTTCATTCCCACTCTTCACTTGTACTCTTCGACTGAGTGCTAGATTCATGCATTCTACTCACTGCAGAGCATGAGAGCGAGGATGATATACATTGTTCCCGAGGGTTTATGGAGGGGTTGGAAGCGGTCAAACTCAGTGTCTGTCAACCCTCAAATTGTTGCATCTCCTGGACGTGATTCACTGTTTGCAGATTCCAGTCAAATCCTCCCCACTCCAGGATCTCACAGGAGATGAATTTGATATGAAGTACCATCTCCGTGAGCACTGGGAGCACATGTTTCAGTCCTTGCTCGAGATTGTAGAGTCGACAAACTCGTCTTCCCGTTCACTTGCACTCTCGAGTCCCTTAATCCCTTCGTCAATCCGCACCGCGTGCAAGCGAAATTCTGTATGACCTCTGGGAAAGAGGCTGCAAAAACAAGTCCTGAAATCTGGAAGAGAGCACGTTGTCGTGACGATGGCATTAGAAAGTTCTAGTATCCGGGGAGTGACATGTCTGATTCGATGCCGTAAACCGCATCGAGGCTTTGAAAAGGGACCCAGATTATATACAATAGATTTCAGACTAATCAGGGCTTGAAGCCTAGAACAATCTATGGCAGGACGCCGGCCAGCAGAGGTTCGGTGTACAGCTCCTCAGAAGCCCAGAAGTCGGTGACTGTCGTGGACTCACATCCGGAAAAGGATAACGAGCCTCGGTTCCTACGCTGGTCTCCGGAGGCCAAAGTTCTGTGGGATTGGATTCGGAGCAACATTTGTGAAGTGGAAAACCATCTCCATGGGAAAAGCCAATGCTTGTCACACTTGTCACTAGCAATAATTTCTTAACTTTAAAATGTAACGGTGATTTTTATCAGTAAAACATTATACTTATAAATTTTTTCAAACCTAGCAAATACACACGGCAATCTCATGAATTTTCTCGCAACTGGAAATCACTCCTAATCTATTTCATGATGTTATAGAAAAGGTACTATGTCTACATATCTTTACATCTAGTGATGACCTATATTTTCATACCAAATTTGCTGCTATTCAGTACAGAAAGTTGTTTTTTAATGTACTGATATCCAGTAACAATACCCTAACCATTATATTTAAATAATATCACTAGAAATTTTTTATCCAACTTTTCGATGACAGAGAACTAATTATACAGTTATATAAACTTTCAAAATCTAAATATTTTTTCACGTCAATATGGTTGCTCCTTTTTAAAATTAATATAATCCATGTATTCATGTTCTTAGAAATTTGTTTCGAAATCTGATATAATTCATCAAAATTTCAAATACTTTTTTTCCACAAGATAATAAAATTCAATGAATTGATAAATTATCTTTTCAAATTATGTGAAAATTCTTCAATGTATTGAAATATACCAAAAAGCTAATAAATTATTACATTTGAAGAAGAAATTAATCTTTAATCTATCTCTCATAGAAGATATATAAATAACTCCTTGGTATATCTAATATTAAATATCTTTCTTGAACAATGGTTTTGAATCATAACTTGCTGTCATACATACATATATATATATATATATATATATATATATATTCTTAATTCAATCCATTTTCATTTGCAATTTTGTTTAAGTTTTCATTAAAAAAATCTAGTGAAGAAGATCTTGATATTTGTTTTAAAATAAATTTGAATAAACATCATTTGGGTAAAAACGTTCAACATGTAGTTGCATTTAAACTTAGATTCTTATATTTATATCGTTTGATCTTGAGCAAGTTCAGACTCTATTTGAGTAGTCGATTTTCAAAGGGGAGAGCTAGTTATCACTCGCTTAGGGCTAATTAGCCCTCACTATAGTATATGCGATTCTCTGATTGGTCGAATACCCTACATCCTAACCTGATTGCTACTTATCAGGGTAACCTATAACCTTGCATCTACTAATTAGAGAAGAGCCTGGAGTAGAGTGAGGGCTAAGTGCCCGGTGTCTAGGTGAGGAAAACTAGCCTCTCCCTTTTCAAAACTAAATTCATGTTGTGATATTTTTTTTTGAAAGACTATGATCATTATAACAAAGTTATAATTTGAATTAGATAATTCTAAACACATGTATAATACTATGTCCACATGATACTAAACACATGTCCTTATGCTTGATAAAACAAGAATGAATGTGCTAGTTGGCATTGACATGTGAACAATCCTTGTGTTTGTTAGCGTTAACAAAACAAAGACCAAACAACGAACCAAAACCCCACCAATAACTTATATTGATCAGGGTTGGATAATCCATCAAATGATTGTCAAGTGCAGTCCGCCAAGTCTTCAATTCATTTAAATTGAAACGGATGATGAAGGTCAAATCTTATCTCTTTGTAATTGTTGATATGATCTATGTAAGAAAAAAGAGAATCATTTTGGGTATCTTTCATCTTGAGAGTAGTGTTTCATCTTTTAATGACATAATCTTGTGATTCCTAGTGTTATATTTATCTCCAACTCCATCACAAGCTTCTTCCTTTCTGCTCAAGCTTTCATGCCCAATGAGTAAGTCATGAACTTCGTGAAGATCAAAAAGGTTAAACCGTTTGTCTTTGATGAAAACTTCTGATTCTATTTATGAGATTTGAGTGATTGAAAAATCTTCTTTTGATGACGCTTTGCTATTAGACTTTGAGAGAATGAAAAAAAACTCTTATGCCAACTTTTTTTCATACCTTATTAAATAAAAAACAACAGAAAATGAACAAGTAGCAAATGAATTTAAAAATAAATCTTTCTTGAACTCCTTTGATGCTCACCAAACCTATCTTCAATGCTTGCCAATCACTTCATAACTAATTGTACAATAAATGCACATGAAAAAGTCAAAGAAACAATCATACACAACATTGACAAGAAACCATGTGATTTAACATTCTTGGATTACATCCATGGAGAAAAATAACTTACAAAGTGTTTGGTGAGAATTATGGCATGCATTCTTATTTATACAAGATAGCAAGAATTATTTATTTTAATCTAATTCAAATTAAGCCTAAATGCTATTCTAATCTAAGTTTAATTTGATATTTGAGTGAATACTAAAAGGATTAAATTTACATAAGATAACTAGTTGGCTTTAAGAAACAATTATCAAAGAAAGCTGATTAGTAGATTGCTTAAAATCGTTATATATAATGATTCAAACTTCTAGAGAGTGGAATGAAAAATTTGATAAATTCATGAAAGCATAATGATTTTTACGGAATGTGTATGAACCGTGTGAATCTTCAATCTTCTTATTATTTAAGTATATGTGAATGACATGTTCATTTTGGCAAAGAATCAATTCAATATCGACAAATGCAAAAATGAATTGAAGTCTACATTGTAGTTGAAGTATTTGAGTAATTCAGAAAAGATAAAAATGATAAATATTTCTAGTAATTTAGAAAAGAGATGATTTGTTTATATTAAAACAAATACATTCAAGGTGTTTGACAAGTTTGACTTTGTAACCTTCAAAGAGTATGAAAATCTTTGGCAACACATTTCAAACATTATGCAACTCAATGTTCAATCGTAACCATTGAGAAGTAAAGCATGTTATCAATTTTCTACAATAAAACTGTGTACAACCTCATGTATTTAATGTTATGCACGAGATAAATAAGTACAAATTAATTTCAAAAAAGTTGTATTGAAAAAAATTGAAATAGAATCTAAGTACGTGAAGAATATCAAGTACTAAGGTAAATTTTTGATTATTTATAAGACAATGTCAAATCCTTGCTAGGCTTTGTTGATGGTGATTACAAACAAGAGAAAATCTACAACTGATATGAGATGGTGAGAATTTCACCATGATAATTTATTTGCGTTAAATCTTGCTGCAGATCAAAGTATGTATATTAAAATCAAACATGAGGCTAATGATAAAAGTTTTGAACTAAATAAGATTAATGATAACTTCACCCTTCTAATGTGATCATTAAAATTATTAGTTTGCAGGGTTTTAGGAGACATATTGCTTCTTTGTAAATTTTGCGTGAAGCGCACAAGGAAAGTTCATCAATAAATTTTTCACCTCTATCTATACTTTTATTCTATGCTATTTTGGCTAGAACTTAGTTTTAGTTTAAAGATAGACATATGTTTGGTTTTTTTTTAAAAATTACATAGGTTATGGAATTTATTGTCCACAAGACATGAGTTGATAAAGAGATTCTTAATAGTGAACTCAATTTAGTTTTATCCTAGTTAGGTTTGGATTCTATGATCATAAGAAAACGGACAAAATTGTAGACGATTATTTTAGATTTTCATAAGTAAAAAAATCTTTATTCATGTAGGTAGCCCACATAGTCAAATCACGTACTTCATTGCTTGTATGCTTGTGATTTTCATATTCTTGGTGCTTTCTTAAAAGCGCGTTACACTAGAGTTAAAAATGATATGAATTTTTCTATATGACAACTTTAAGTTTATATAGCTCCAGCATGTTTCTCAATTACTTAGTTGTAAAATACCTTGATCAAAGTATCCATAAACCATGAAAGTTAGTCAATATATACAATAATATCTTTAGACCACTAAAGAAGCTGAATAATCTATTGTATACAAATATTTTAGAAATTAATATCCCTCCTTGATAATCAATGAAAAAAGTGTACATTTTTATTTTTTAATTTCAAAATGTTATAGAGTTAAATTATATATAATATATATATTATATATATATCAAAACTCTACAACCATGAAAAAAAACATCACATCAACTGAAACAAACCATTGCGTTGCAATGTGTGTATGTAACATTCCAACAAATGTAATTACCAAGGTCTCAGTCGATGGCTTCTGTCACCATCGTCATTATACGTTGGGCATTGTGCAGGAGTTAGCCCCCATATAGGGTCTTACAACTTTGTAGAGACATGTGGACTAGGGATCTTTTAGACCCATCATCATAATCAAAAAACATATTTTTGTAAGGTAACGGTTAGTTATCTTTCAGTTTATGCTAATTATCCCACACCCTTCAAGAATTATTTAAATTGCTTAAGAAATGAAGTTTATGATTGGTAAGAGGAAAACACTTAATCACAATGGAGTAGCTCTGACTCAACGCAAAAACTTGCATTGCCTATAACATAGCTTCCAATGTTGAGTATAAGATATTTGGCGTTGGAGCAAGCGTGTTCATTTTGAAATGAGATAACTCTAACCAATTGCATACCTCCCTTCTTAAGCAAATTATATAATTTTTGTAGTATGAGATATAATTAGCATAAATTGAGATATAACTAGATGTTACTTTTTTAAAGTGTTAAATGTAGTCCTTGATGTACAATTGATACATGAATTAGTTGCAACATAATTTAAGTGCATTTCATTCAATGAGTAAATATTGTTATAACACAAGATAGATCATAGAATCTCAAAATCAAGGGATGTTTGACTTTGTGTATTCTTAGGATTTAGTGTGGGAACTTGAATAATCTGATCTTGTTCAGAGACAAAGGTCTTCAGTCCATATACAAGATGTATCTTCTCAAGTACAAGATTGCAGTAGTGTAAGCAAAACTTTTCAAACTTCTCAATTTACTGTCTATCGGTCAACATCATGATATCACGGTCACTAGTCAAACGCAATAAAGTTTACATACATATAGAGATGTCAAAGTCCAAATTCAAGTCAAGATCATATCATAAAGGTTACCATCACACATTTAATGTGACTTGAAGTCCTTACAGTTTCCTTGTGTATCTCTCTCTATATATAAATAAGGTAATGTTAAAACTATCACATTCAATGTTAAAACCATCGAATAAGCCTCTTGTCAAAAAATTAATTTTTTGCACAAGAACCCAAGTATCATTTTCAATTTATTTTTTTACATATTGTTCTATATATTTAGAAAACACAATCAAACATGATACTTCTATGTACATACTTAAAAAAAATAAAATTTTTTCAAGTGAATATTCTTTGCAGGTCGATTGGGTCCATAGAAATATCAACTCTAATAACAGTGTTGTTTTGCACAAGAAGGAGAGGGAAACCAAAAACTAGCTAGCAGTTGATACTTAGATTTATGTGTGAAGTTCATTCGTTTTTGACAGGTAATGTAAACATACGTTTGTGATTGTTTTAACAATTTATGTGATCTTTTGAACATTCCCATATATATATATATATATATTCATTTAGTTTAGAACCTATGTATGGAGATGGACTTTGTGGCATGGTTGAATCTATTGGTTTCAACTGAACTCAAAAGAATTTCATTCTCTATGAATGCCGTTCTCTTTGCAACTGCGGGCTTCTTATCAATGATCTTACAATCATTGATAAGATGCCCATATTAAAAAATGTATCCCTTAAGATCCGAAAGGCCACACGCCACGCATGATTCCAACCAATGGCTGCATGCATGCCAGATCCAAAGAACGCGTACGTGATCAGGTTCTTGTGCAGCTCGTGATGGTTCTTAAGACTTGGGTGTATGCAATTCGTACCGATGTTTCCAGACAAATTTTTCGCTGACTTGAAGCGAAAAGCTGATTTTGACATCACGAGCATCTGGCATTTGATGTTACAACCGAGTCAGTCTTCCATCTATAGATCACGGACGTTTGGGAACAGACGAGAGACAGAAAATCAGAAGAATGATCAAATTCGGCTTTGACCGGTGATGTTGATTTCCTGCTATTGTCTTTAAAGGCAATACTCTGAAAAATCTCGAAGGTTAAAGTTATAATATTGCATCCTAATCCTAAAAAACTTGAATGCGTATTCATCTCCATAAATTACTCAGGAAATTTATTAAAGCTTACAGCAGTGCCGGCTGTTTTGAACAAGACAGTCGATTGTCATGTACTAGTACACAGCATGCTCAACCCCCCTTGCTTTAGATTTCACCTGCATCAGAATATGAGAAGCCCCCATTTCAAGCTGAGTCGCATGTCCAGTCACCACTCGTAAAGATCTTATGGTGTTTCAGAAGTTGTTTATATGAACATACGAACAGATTTTCACGTTAACCGCTACTAATCTCATATGAACAAACTCTGACTCTGCAGTTGTGAATTTAATTCTACGAGCGATTCAAAGGTGGAGAGTTTTTTGATTCAGAGCCTGAATCTTCCAAGCACAAGTGCAAGAGAAGGAGGAGCAAGCAAGCAGCAAAAGGCTTAACAAATAGCTCATAGTACTCGAGCTGTTCGAATGCACCGAATTTGCATCGCCTTTTCTTTAAGTGCTCGCTTAGCCTTACAATGCTTACACACCATGCATGATCAGCAACATGATTGAGCTTGAGCACCGTCAGTTCAGTTCAGTTCAGTTCAGTTCAGGCGCTCGGTGGAGGAGGCAGCTCACGTCGCGTTCTCGATTTGCAGCAGCAAGGAATTGCCAGCTGAGCTGAGCTGATCTGATCTGATATAACACAGCAACTGGTGGCTTCTGGACGAAAGAAAACGAAAAGCTGAACGGGGACGGTTAGGAACGTTATGTTACGAGTTTGCACATCGCATCGACTTTCGAGCGAATGGCCCTTCGTTTCGTCATGGAACTCTAGCAGTCGTGAAATTCTCATCAAAACGTTTGCGCTGGTACAGTCTTTACATCACCTGAGTTTTAGAAATCAGGCAATACATGAGAAAGGGAAACTGGCCTCCCACTGACAGTCCTGACAAAGCCGATGTCAAATCCGTGACCCCTTCAGCGTCATTGCTCGAGTCCTAACTCCATGCGCATTTGTAGGAAACCATATCAGTGAAATTGTCTGTGTACTTGTAGCGTGTCTCGATAGAAGAGCATTGTGATCCACGGGTAGGAGTCAGAATCTTCAATTGTCTGTGAAGTCCTTGGAAACGAGCAGAGCGCTGTGTACATAAGATCAAGCGTGTAGATCACGTTCACAGCACTGGGTAGAATCCTTTAACTTTTGTCTTACGGCAACTTGAAGTTCATTACAGCCATGGTTTTTAAGCTCCAAAGATGTACTTAGTTACTTCATCAAATTAAAGTCTCTTTGTAGAAGGTTACTTGTTCTTCCTACTGAGTCGACTGAAAAACGCACGCTGTGAATTTCTAGCGAATGGAAGAAATAGTGAGACGGATGGGATTGCCTCTCACTTCATCTATATCCTCATCCGAGGATACAGACTTCCAAGCAGGCTCAAAACCTCTCCAAGGAAGCCAAGCAGATCATTCGACGTATCCTTCTCTCGATGTTTGTATGAAAAATCAGCAGCAGCCTAGATCTGCATCTTCCAGCTCGTCGATCAAAGGTGCAAGCTCTTCCGCGGAATGTGCTAGCGTTCTCGTTGAAGAGTCTGAGTGCGAGATGAAAGCAGTGATACCATGGAACTTTCGTGAGCTCCTGTCTCCTATTCGACTGACTTTACCCCAGGACCACGGACAGCTAGCGCTTGTCATGCAACAATCGACAACATTGCAAGTGCTACTTCCGAATAACATCGCACTTTCTGTCTCGATGGTGCTGAACGAGCAGACTGAAATCCAGCACATTATCCATGCTATCTTCATCGAAAGTCAAAAGTCTGCGTCTCACAGCTTGACGATACAGTCTGATAGGGAGATCGACTGGAAGAGCAGTTGGCTTGAGAGTGTAACCGGAGAGCCCTTGATCAAAGAGCATTTGATTAAGATGAAGAATCAACCTTCCGCGACGGTTGTGCTCCAAGTAGGCTTCATGACATGCTGGAACTCAATCTTCCATCATCGAAAGAAAATGTAGTGCAGGCTGAAGCATTTAACAGATCACGAAGAGTACTTCAAGTTCTATGTTGGATCCATAAGGCTCTAGAAAACCTTGTCCAATGTAAGGAAAGTCGCTTCTACTAACGCTCATGGGATGATCCGTGCAGGATGGTCAGCCGAACTCCGTGCACTCTCACGAGGTTACTAACGACTCCCACCAACTCATCGCAACTTTTAACCATAGACATGCAATCTGACCCTCAGCAAAGATGTGCCTTTTTGGAGATGATTGTGACTGCTGCTGTTGCTGCTGCTGCTTCAGTTTCCATAGCAGAAAATAGGCTTAGCAGATAGATACTTGTACCCTTAAAACATCTTTAACAATCTCTTTCGTGGTACTGATTTGGTGATGCAGCATTTGTGGGACTTGACACCGCAACCACAAATGCTGGGACGATTGCCTCAGGGATACAGTCTGCTCACAGCCCTTGCAGACGAGGTGGTACGTAAGACTACTTCAATTGTTAGCTAGCTCGTATTGACTTTGTTCATTTTTGATAATGTCACATGTCCTGAATATGTGAACAACATTGCAGGATAATGCACTCCAAGCTGTCTGGGAAACTACTGGTCACAAGAGACTGATCAGGTTCAGAATCCCGTTTCTTCCTCAGAATTGAAAGAAGAGACACGATGGTCCTTCCAAATTTAGATTTCTCAAGTTTTTCTGTCTGTTGGTTGAAATGTTCTTATTGAGTTCATCGAGAATGTCCATTTCACGTACTACACTTCTATCTCTACCCCTTCCACTATCGGTCCATCGCCTGACTGTTCTAGCATACAATGTTAGTGTACGTTACTTATATACGTATCAGAACGCCTGACGACGCTATTTTCTTTGAGCACCTGTATATGCAGTGTTTGTTGTTGGAGTCATTAAGTCCCTTTGGGAGATATACTTTTGTTGCAACTTGCTGTGAAGTAGCTTCGTGGTTCCTTCAGGTCATCTGCTCATATTTCTTACCTCATTTATATGGCGTCTACATTTCAGCATTGTGTTCAGATTTGGATAGATTATCCGGATAACGAAGTGTTTGCACCGTTCATGAGCTCAAAAGTCTAATCTCAGATGTGGTCAGTGTGGATTTGGCTCCAGATTGCATAACCATCTTTGACTCTGGACCAGGAATGGATTCTACTATGGATAACTCAATAGAGTTCTGGTGAGCAGATCTCTTCATTTGAGTCCATTGAAGCACTTATGGCTGAGTAGTGTCGTGTCAATGCTTGCAGCCTGAACACTAAAAGAATAAATCTCCTGTACAGGGGAACTTTGGGAAGGACCAAACACAGGGCAAAAAATATAGAAGCAATAGGAGGACACCCTCCTTTTCTGAAGGTAAGTTGACGAAATCTCTGAAGAGCAGGAGGCTCTTTTAGAGGATAATCTCTGACTCTTGTCCTCTATCTTTTCAAATTAATTCTCCACGGCTACTTTAAATACATCATTCTTCAATCAGTTTTCGTCCACTGGATAAAATGACCTGTAACTGACCTTCTACGATGTCTCATAACCTTGCAGCCATATTTGGGAAAATATGGTGCCGGAGGAGTAGCGGCTGCTTTGCACTTAGGAGGGTAAGTGCTCGTGAACCTCATTAACAACATCTAGATCTGCATTTGACACGAAGTAGGTACTAATTTGGTCGCAACATCGCCTTCAGATGTGTAAAAGTCTCATCCAAGACGTTGGCCTCCAAGAGGGTTGTAACGCTTGTCTTAGACCTGCAAGGCCTTGAAGAAAGAAGTAACAGTAGCGAAAACTTGTGGAAGGTTAGTTCTAAAACACTAACACAGGAAACACATTCATGCCAGTCATCGAATCAAATTTGCAGACTCAACTCTTCTGTAGTCAGATCCACCCGTAGTATAAGGTCGTTGAATTTTTCGCAAATGAAAATTTTACCTTCTATATTGATGTATGCTGTCCGACAGTGAATAGACTCCGTCCGCAGAACTTTTCACTATCGCATTCACTTCTCGCAGACTCGAGGATCCTTGAGAGAAATGACACAAGAAGAACGTGAAAAATCTCCTCATGGATCTTTCACAAAGGCAAGAACTTGAACTTGAAGACATCGCCTGTTGTGCTGTCTAGTAACACCTATCCATCTTGTGATGATAGATCTTCATGAGCTACTCTAAGACCGAATTATATTCTCCAATGGAACAGGTGGAGATAACCCGGTTGAAAGAACAGTACTGCATAAGCAAGCAAGCGGATGGCAGAAACTACTGGAAAGTTGCACAGCTGAAGCGTCAATTGAAAGACATATACTTTCTCTACATACAGGTGATGTGCATGCTCACGGCCTCAAAAACGTTAACGCGGGCTCTATCACTGTATTGAAAAAACCTAATTAGCTAAAGAAGAAGCTTTATGAAACAAGCACATGCCATCAGAAGCACGTAGTGAGGGGTCTGGTATCGGAGTTCCTCATGAATCGGGATATCTTGTAGATCTGGAATTCAGAGTCCTCTGACGTTGGCAGTTTATGGTGTTTCATAAATAATTCGTCAAAATTTCACTCGACACACTTTGATGAAGATATTTTCCTATCTGCGTTATTGAAAGCAGAGTGATGATGGTGTCTCATCTAAAGTGACATGTCCCGTGAATTTTCGGGTAAGCTGCATTTTCCATGATTCGAACTTATTAAAGCTGTGGACCCCGTGAGATGCTACTTACGATGAACTACATATGGAGAGATGCAACACCGAGATGAATCGAATCTATTTCATTACTCTCATAATTTCCATAGAACCTCCTACACGTGTTTTGATCAAGTGCCTGATAGATCAGGGCTCTCCATCAACTTGGAAAACTAACTGTTAATAGTCAAAGAAAAAAGTATTTTGAAGAATCTGCTGATTTTTTATGCATGAGGTCAATTGCATCAGGTCAACAATCAAGATTTGCTCGAGGTAACTGACTGCGAGATCAGCATTGTCAACATGCACACCTGTAACGGGGAGCCTTTTGTTTGCGATATGGAGTTCACAAAGCCTGTTGAGGGTACAAAGCTGACTAATACACCATGTAACATGGAAGGCTGAGTTTGGCGCATGATGAAAGTTTCTCTATCATGACCCGCTTTACAAAGAGTTGGCATGGTGACAGTGGCTTTGCTACCAGGTTCTCACAATCGGGATATCAACGTCGAAAGGGCTCATATCCGAATCAAGTGCGACTATTTTCCAAACATCAGAGTGAGAGCTGCTTACCTTCTTCAAGACGCAAGGTCAAGCTGAACAGCTGGTCTCACAGACTTCTGTACTCATGATGGATATCGGAGTGTTAGTGTTGATTTGTCCTGGCTGTATATGCAGGGAAGAGAGATGCTGCAAGAAGTAATAGACAAGCTCAGGGAACTTGACAAGGATTATCAATACAATTTCGATACCATGCCCAGAGTCGGTGTGAGATGGCTTGGAAGGTTGCTTCCTGACGCTAAATGGGTACCTTGTTTAACACTCCCAACGCCTCCTGCTGTAGGACGACGTAGGCATTTGTGTGAACAAACTCCACGAAATTCGAATTTTTTAAGGAAAATGATAATTCATATACATAAGCTGGTACCTACGTGAAATTTTGCAGCCAAATCTCCCCTTCATGGATGTTGCTCTTGCCCACAAGAAGCAGGGAGAAGTTCATCGCATCTGGACAAAGAGAGTGAAGGCGTTTGTTGGTGAGCACACTTCAGCAGGACCTCTCTAGCATTATATCTAATAGTAGTTCATTTGTTTCTTCTTCGTCGGATTGAATCCTCAAGGGACTGTATTCTAATTCTTGCTTGTGTTCTTTCGGCATGAAACTTTATCAGCTCTCTCTCGTCTTGATTGTTATATTTTTTGTCTAAGCTTCTAAGTTTCGCCTTCTCGTCCCAGACACGGATGCTGGTTTCCATCCGACACAGAGCAAGGTTAGGCAACTTCTGGCCATGATGATGTCGCCGTGTAACCTTTAAATTTCAAGTAAGAAAATGTTGCTTTCGGTTTCTCGAAATGTTTCAAAATTATACTAAAGATGGTGATAGACTGAACAGTGAAATGTTTGTGGCTTTGCCTTTGCAGACGGATTTAGAGAAAGACCATCCATTCACAACTGCCCTGAGGACATTGGGAGGCTCCCATGATGGCATATCAGCTGAAGGTAATAAATTGAAGTTATTAGTGTATTCCGTTAGATACACGTCTACATGTATGGTAAGGAATCCTATATATTCCTGTTAAATAATATGATTATTTCCAATCACTATATATCGAGGGCATTTCGATGGCGTTGTTTCCAAAGTATAACTTTTCGATTGCGGATTTTCTACGCTGATGTAGGAGTGAAAATCCGAATTAGATATATGGACAAGCTTCTCCCATTGGAGGAATTATCAAAAGTGTACATGAGGTGGCTTCAAAAAATGCATGAAGAATTTGATCAAGAAGTTACCTTTCTGGATCCTCCGACATTCATTTTTCACCAGGAAAGCCTCAAAGAGCTGAAAGTAAATAAGCCAGGTGATTATCATGAAGAAGTATTTCGTCTTCACCTGTCGGTACATAAGGAACACTGTCTGCTCATTGGATGATTCTTCTCATGCAAATCTTGCAATCGGTCGTATCTAGAGGTATCCTGTTCTATAATTAATATGTAGAACAAGTGACACAATGACTTCATTGCAGTGGCTATCCTCCACAAGAAGATAAAGCTCAACGAATTATACACATGGGAGATTAACGACGAAAATCCTATACGGCTAAAGCTTGGTAGAGGCTGCTTAGGAACCAAAGGTGCAGTTTGGGTCACACTGGAGTTCTTTTACTGTGCCGGCACAGATGACGAAAGAGGTATAAGTCGACAACAATAGAAAATTCAGGCGTTGGGTTTGTATTATCGATTCGTAGATGTTTAGATTGTCAAGTCATTTGTTTCATGATTTCATACCGTTTTGGAATCTTGCACAGTCTTTACTGCAGTCGTGCTAGCTTAGCCCTGGTTTACGGAGTCTGGCACGTTATTTACCGAAACGCACATTTTCCCTGTTGCAACCTTTGCAGGCGAAGTGAACATGATTTGTAGGTACTGGTTTCGTCTCCCGTCCTTTCAAGTTTCACAAGAACGGTGCCCAGCACGTAATTTATATCTCCTAGAAGAATAAATTTATAATCGGAGAGTATGATTCCTTGATCTTGTGTACGTACGTGGTGATGTCTTGGACATGCCAAATGCTCAGTGACAATTTAATCAGAAGCCGAATTTTATGTCAATCGTTCTGAACTTCTTGCCCAGACCCATTGAAGCAGCAGATGAAGATGGGAGTAAGCTGGAATATTCGGAAGGACAGTTGACTTTTCGTCTGAACAAGTCCTTGTGCTTTCCGTTCTTGACCCTCTTGTCTGAAAAGGTAGTAAGTGCATAAAACATACCTTCCTGATACTGCATGTAGTTGTTGTGCAACCAGCAAAGAAATCAGAGACACTCCTTACAATGCCGGAGCACGCGACACATGTCGAAATTTGACGGAAGTTTGGAGCGTCTCGTACTCATGAGTAGATGGAGTCTATTGCCTACAGTACATCTCTGCAATTGGAAAACGACGCCATAGATCTAGAGAAATAACTCAAGTTCTTCTGATCCCTCTAAAACTTGTGAACAGCATCTGAGTCATGATGAATTTGATATATATATATATATATATATATATATATATATATATAAATTAAATGCTCAGTCAGGACCTGGCTGGAATGATTTATCAACCCGACGACCAAATCGTTCACCCTAAATCTCTTTCGTTTATTCTGATGCAGTGCCACAAAGTTGATGAAAGTGAATGGAGTAATCAAGTCAAGAGATACGGAGGAACCTCACCTTCTTTTGTTGAGGTTTTAAGTCAAGAAGACTCTGAGCGCTTTGGTCTTCAGTTCGTAAGTTCAGATGTCCCTATCAGAGTCATCTGTATTTATTAGTATTTGCTTGTCATCGCACACCCTCAGCTGAAAAGAGGAAAGTCTCAGACAGTTCTACATCTCATCTTATTTATTGCTGGAAAATCCTCCATTCATGCTGATTAGAGGCTCAGCCGATCTGACCTTGCCAACAGTAATACTCAGTGCAAATGAACCAAATGAGTATTTTCGATGGTGGACACCGTGCTACAAGAATCACAGCCTAGATTTGTCGTGTTTTCCCATTTGGATTGGGGATTATCTATCCCGAAAGGCTAGAATTCTCCCCATATGTCACTGTCCCTGGTTGATCCTCGTTGAACGAACTCTGGTTATGAATACACGCCCATTCTAGCTTTCTGATCACGTTTCGTATGATGGTTTTGAACGATACTATTTCGTTGTTTAGATTCATCCGTATGAGATAAATGAGCATTTGATCAGGAGCATGTTTGCTCGGCTGCAGGCTCTACCAAGAAGCGGCACAACAGTAAGAGCGGGTTACGGCCTTCCAGAGGATTTGCTGGTGGTTGTTCGTCCCCGGAAAGGCCATGGTCCTTCCTTCAAAAAGGGGAGGATAATTTCTGAGCCTATGAAGGTTTCAATGAAGGTAATGTTCAAGTCTCAGGATGGTGGATCGCTGACGAGAAGGAAAATCAAGGCGGAGGATGAAACTGAACAGCTGGAACTGCTACACGAAACAACTTCTCAATGTATTATTCACCCAAGCGGGGTCAAAGGACTCTACAGCTTCAGTACCAAAGGCACAAACTTTAGCACATTGACGCGAAGAGGGGAATACACCTTCCAATTCGAACTGGTAAGCAGGAAATCCCCCTGATAGATTCGCAGTTGATAGCATCGATGCAAATTAAGAGGTTTTTGTTACTAAAAGACAAGTGAGTGAATTCCACCTAGGCTGTTCGCTTTTTAATAAAATTGATGAGGAGATATTTTAGAGAATATATTCCGAGTCTTAGTAGTTGTCAGTTAGAAGATGTCTGCCATTTAGATTGACACTGCAAAGAGATGTATTACGTATCCACGCCAGATGAAAATTGTTTGCATGCTTTGATCCTTTCAAACTCTCTTGTGTGACCTTCTGTCTTGAGGATGCTTCCTGAGGATGAAGTACTGAACGTGTCACCCAGTTCCTTGTTTAGTACAGCGTGCTATTATAAAACAAGAATTCATATGTGCAGATAAGTGACGATTATAGGTTTGTGCAACCAGCAATACGTACTCTTATTGTCGAAGCAGCTGACGGGAAATCAGACTGGACGATTTTCACATGTGACACACAAGATAGCTTGACCATCAGGTGCTTACTTGAATCCCATATCGACAGCAATGAATTCCCATCTTTAGCTCCGCGCGGTCACTTGTCTTGTAGAAATACAATAGTCTGATACGTTTTGTATAAGACTCGTATCATATTCTGACCTTCACTTCAAGCCTTATTAGCATGTTATACTGTCTCATCTACTGCTATCTATCACGATGGGTTGGTTCTAAGTAACAATGTCTTCGAATCTGAATTCTTCAAAACATTCACGTTTTGAATTTGCGCTTGATATTGTTGATGGGCGTGATACTTTGGGTTTTACTGAGTACAAGTTTCACGTTCAACTCCGTCTTGGAGACATTTCTGAACAATATGCCTAATCAAGTGTACAGGCTAGACGAAAAACTCAAGTACCCTTTGTTTATCGAGAGACGTGACGAGTTTGGCAACACTATGCCGCTTGGGGATCTGAAAGAAGTCACACTGGTTACAGTTGGCAAGGACGGTCAGTGGCTTGGAATGTCCACCACCGTAACCTTAACGGATCCAGAGATGCAACTGAACTCAAAGCGAGACACACTTCTTCTGGAGGTTACCTCTTCTGTCCGACTTCTTTACGTAGAGATGCTGCACCGAATTTGCATGAGCTAATCGCGAAATTTCGTAATGATAAATTTCTATTTTCATCTCTACAAAACATAAAATAAAAAGAAAAAAGATCATTCACTCAACTGTGTTCTCAAAAAGCTGCTCGACAGGACATAAAATTCGCAGTGTACACCTCGCAGGACATCCAATTCGACAAAGGGAATTTGGCATCAATTCAACCACATCGCGAGGGACTTCTACAGCTCCACAGTGAGGGCAAGAAACTTGCAGAAACCTCCTGCTCTGGTGCGTTTGGAGATCAATCCCGTCCAATATTATACATTGAAGACATTGACTAGCTCTTAAGTGTGGCCATAACTAACACGGTAATGCGTAAGACACTTATCTTACCTTTTGTTGGGCAGTTTTTCCGGGAGACATTGCACTGGTCGAATTAAAATCAGACACTACGCTTGCCTTGAAGAGCTTTTATCCCGAAGAGATTATCCAGCAATTGACAATACAGGTCAATCCATCGGTCCAAAAACAGTATATTCATCATTTCTTGCGCTTGACAGTTGAACTCGGCATATATATATATTTATGCTTTCCTCGATTGGTCTAACCCTGTCAGTGGATTGGACATAAATAAATTATCACCATTGTCAACTAGCTCTTTTCTTTGTTTCTAAAGGCCCGAGACAAGTTCGGGAACCAAGCAGCACAAGGTCAGAAACTGAAAGTCGTCTTGGATGGACTGAGTTTCTTCAACGAATCTTCCTTGTGGGAGGTAATACAAGGAGCTGGTTCTTGCGAGCAATTTTTACTGCTGATGTTCGTCATATTCACACTTGTCCACTCCACTGTGGTCCCACTATTTTATAAGATGGGAGGTCGACGTCTTTATCTTCCGTGGAATTCCTTACGTTTAAGCAGTCTGTTAGTCTGAGGCTAAAAACACAATCGAAATATTCAGGACCACAGAAGTTATTTCAACTTGATCTAAGGCCCTCGTCCTTCATTTCACGGACTCAATCTTGAGGATTTCTCGTACAGGTCGATGAAACTGGTCAGCTGCAGTTGGGAGGATTGCTGAAAATCACCGGCCCTTTCAGCACAACAGGTAAGCCGAGACCTGATAAATAGAAGCAAATTAGAAAATGTCTTGAACTTGTCTTGGCTCGACGGTGACTTCTGTTCATAAGCATATTGATATGGAATTCATCCCTCTAGATAAGGAAACCAAAGCTCATGAAGAGATACATGAGTATAGAATCATCGGGTTAAGGCTTTCTGCTATTAAGTGAAACAGCAGTATCCAGCTTGATTTCTGAGAGGCACTAGATCTGATTCAAGCCGGGCACACAATTTCGAGCAGCTATGAATTGCATGTGGTGCATGCTGATGTGCAGGTTCTATCAAATTCGTATCAGAATCTAACGTTGATCTTCTCGAGGTTCCAGTCAAAGTCGTCGACAGGTTTCTGCAAAAACTTGGAGAGGTAACAAGTCGATCAGAAGACCCGACACAGAATGTCGTCTAAATGGTCTGCTCGTCTAAGAGCTGGTCCGATGAACCCGCCATGTTCCTCGTCCCGCGTGAATGCCACAACCTCCATCGCAAGTAAAATTCTTCGAGTGGTTTCAGGGGATAGGACATACAAATGAAGAAATGAAGAAGGCCATATTCTTGTACTCTCGTGTTCCAATCTTCGTTTTATCAGTTGCTCACTGTGATGGACATTCTGGTCATGTATCCCAAAGTGTGCTCTGCTGGGTGGTCAACATAGTAGATCACATTATCATGGTTGGGCATTGTGTGCATGTCATCGTACATAGATCTGATAATGTGCGCAGCTACCAAGCGAGGCATGGTGTGGGATGCAACTTGCGGGAGTTGACGTGGAGATCGTCGACGAAAGAGGAGAACGCGATACTTCAGTTGATGCCGCGAAACCAGACAGCGTTGAACTGGAAGTGAGCTGGATCCCCAACGCAGCATTCAAGTTCACCGAAGGCGTGTGTACACTACCCACAATACAGCTTCCACGCACTCCTGGAGTCTGGGCTGGTACCTGTTACATCTCCAACAGGCATCAAATTAGTCTGGGCTTTGAGGTATGCCATACCGCAGAAGTAACCCAAGCATTATGGCTGAATACGCGTCATGTACTCCGATTGTTGTTTCCTGTCAACGCCCTTGCATATCCTGTGCACTGCTGTAACTCCATTCCTGTAGGTGGAAGTCAGAATGGCCGATGCAAATATTTTAGCCCATGCCACCTCTGGTCCTGAAGTCATCGAGACCAAGAGCGGAGAGCCCTTCAGACTACGTTTCAGAGCGCTGGTTGACACATTAGGTGAACCTGGTGTCTTGACGGATGAGCTGCAATCAGGAGTAAGTTACCTTCACTTCCGCTAAAATCGAGAAGAGACATGAGTCACGTGTGTCATAGTTGAGTAGCTGATTCATGGTACACCTGCTTGCAGGACTGGATGATATCTTCTCTGCTTTCATGATTTTCATTCGATCGATGAACGTCATTCTTCAGTTTCCTATCTTGACATTAAGATCCTAGTACAAGGCAGAAAGCAAGCAGGCGTACAATGAATCTGGTTTTCAACTGTGACACAGACGAATCGATGAAGTGTGGATAGGCGAATCATTTTTTTCACCGGTTGAATGGTATAGAAGATTCATGAAATCTGACCGATCATTACAAGGATCAGGAGACGAACTGATCAGCAAGTGGATTCGTGTTTCAATATGCAGCTTGTTTTGAGCGTAGCTTGTGAACGACCCAGAGCTCTACATCCTGACAAAGTCTTCTGGGACTTCGTTCTTCTGAAAGTAGAGGAAGGAGTGTACGAAGCTGTCGTCAGTTTGTCCCGGACAACTGGGACTTACTTCCTTGAATTGACGCATCTGGAATCGAAGATGATCGGCATGGTTCGCTGGAAAATTCTGCTCCGTCATGGCAAGCTGACCGAGCTTCTGCCACTAGCGAGGGATGTCAGAGGCATCATGCCCAAGCAGAGCAGAGCCCCTCTCTCCTCATGTCAAGTAGCTGTAGGAGACTTATTGCCAGCTCTGGAGATACTGTTGTTGGACTCTGAGAAAAACTTCTGCACTCGCTACGATGGCAGAGCTCTCGAACTCCAATGCAGGAAGTGTCCCCAGTGGAAGGTTCTGAGTGCGGAAATTGCAAACGGTGCAGCTGAGTTCGAGAGTTTGGTCATGTATTTAGATAAAGGAGAGTATGAATTGTACGCTGAACTGGATGACCCGGAAGTCTCGTGCGGCTGTTCAATAGACCTGCGAGTCATACATGGCAACTATCCTTCACAAATCAAGGTGGACACAGAGACTGCCACAGAAATATGTCTGTCGGGCGAAACACAGCAGTTTTTACCCGAACTGGTCATCACCTTAGATTCCGCAGACGGCCGGAGGCTCAAGAACAAGGTGCAGGTTAGAGCATCCCTCAGGAACACAGAGTGTGCCGAATCAACACCACTTCTGACGCTTCCCGATTCCGAGAGTGGGATGGCTTCATCGGTGAGCAACAATGAGCTCGTGCTTTACGATGAGACTGCAAATAAGAGAAAAAGGCACTGTGGCGATTCGAAGTACGTCTTCGATCAGCTGCCAGTTCCTCGTAGAGCTGGAAACTATCGCCTCAAGATTCATCTGCCTGAGTTTCCAGTCGATCCCATCTGGAGACTCATCTCCGTGAAGCATGGTCCACCTCATAGACTTGAAATCTGTCACGCCACGATAGGCGAGGAGTTGCAGCAACTGGAAGTCAAGCTAGTGGATGCCCACGACAACATCTGCTCTGAAAGCTTTGGAGAGCTCCGCTTGAGCTTCACCATCGACACGAGCGCACTGTTTCCCAGCGAAGGCATCAGTCAACCTTGTCCGCTGCTGAGTAAATCGACCGCAGAACTCATCGCCGGTGTTTGCAAATTCGACAAGTTGGAGTTCGGCTCTGGACTCGAGGGAATGTATCAGATGCACTTGTTCTATGAAGGCCCTGCTGAGCTTCCGGTCAAGTCGGAAGCAGTACGAGTTCTCATCACCAGCGGCAAAATCGTTCAATCCGTTTTGGATCGCTTGAACAACTTACAGTCGCTAACGCAGGTTACCATCGTCGACATTTTGTACAAAAATATTTTTTTGTGAGAACAGGCAGCATGAACGTCCGTGATTAGTACATAGGATTGTCCATATCGAGCAAGAGTTTGTACTAGTAAGAGTTTCTTCTGAGTATGGGGAATCATGGAAAGCATCAGATGCAAGCCACAGCAGTCTTCACTTTGTGCATGTCTTCCATCTGATAGAAGAAAATATGTAATATCAGGATCTGAAAGCAATGACGCACGAGATATCTCGCCTATGTCAAGAGCTTGAAACTGAAAAGAATCGTCTGGAGATACTGGACAGGAAGATTGACTTGTTCGAAGGTAAGCTTTAGACCATCAGATGCTTTCTACCCTTTCTCAAATTTATTCAGCTATAATACTTAGTAATTGTAGAACGCGTACTGCAAAGGATTTAGTCATTTGCTGATAGATGCTCGAGTTCCTCTGCCGGACGCAGCGCTTGGTTCACGTCCTTCAAATCTTCTGATTGACAGAAAACATAAAACAGCTGAGGGAGGAGCTAGATGTATTCGACGCGTGTTACGAACAAAATAAAGAGATGTTGGAAGCAGAGAAGGAGAGAGACAAACTGTTACAGACTCGCGAGGACGTGCACGAGGCAATTAAGAAGCTCCCGGGCCCAGATTCATCTCCTCTAGACTTTTGTGAGAAATTTGGCAGGGGCCTTGCAGCCAAGTCCAATGCACTTCTTGACTTGGTTGTCATGTTAGCTGGAGTGGAGGATGAGCGGCTGAACAGGCATGCTCCGATTCCGTGATCTGATTATAGACACACACATTCAGTTCGTACTACGTTTGATACGACAACCAGATTCTTGGAGCTGGTTTTCCGTGTGCATGTGAAGCGCTGAAGTGGTGATTTTTGCTCTCAAAACAGGATTCTTTCTGTGTACCTGGGTCGCAGTAGCTTGTTACTGATCGCATGCGAGACTCGTGAACAGCTGCGGCAATCATACGCGTCTAAGCTTTGGAATGGACGATGTGAAGTCATCTGCCTAGAAGAACTCAGGTACTCGCTAATCCATCGACCGCAGCCTTGTGGACAAGTCGGTTCCTAGGCATGAATTGCTTTCCAGAGAATGGTTTATGGTGTCAGATGCGATGCTGATCGTGACAGGATGTTGAACAATGTTGTCATCGCTGTGAAGTGAGTGTACTGTGCCAACAGATGTCGAGCACCCGCAGAAACTCCTCTGCCTTCCTGAGCCTGTGGGCAGGAATGGCCAGGTCCCGAGGGGCTTTCTGGGCTTTGCAGTGAACTTGATTCACCTCCAGCCAGAGCACATGCACACGAGAAGAACGCTGTTTTTCCACCTCCTGGGCGAGTGTCATGTTTACGACTCGGAGGAGAATATGAACCAAGCCCTCAATGATCTGCCGTGCCCACCGGGAGCCATGTCTTTGGATGGAGCTTTCGTCAAAGATCGTCTCCGGCACCCTCTCGGCCGAGGGTGAGATTTTATTGCCAGGACCTTCCTCTTTCATATTCTAAAAGTATATCAAATCTCACCTTCTTAAATATATATATGCACTGGAATCATACTCATAACATTGGCCTAGTGGAAGGCTCTCAAAAAGAGAGGAAAATATTTATTTTTTTGAACTAAATTCAGATATTAACAGTACGTTAGGCTTTCGTATTGACAAAGTAGATCAAATTCACACCTGCTTTTACATATTTATCTGAGTAATTCAAACCTAAGCATAGTATTCTCCTAGCACTCTCGAAATAATAAATATGTAATTATATCTAAGCAAGGGTAATGTATTACCACGACCTTGCGCTTTTATCATCGGAAAGAAATCAAATGTGCTATTGCTTATGTTGGTGTTCTTCTTCTTATGTCGAGAGACTTTCATGGGGACAAGCTCCAGGACAATATTATGCTGACCTTTCCAGTGACGTGAGTGACGAAGGCAAGTTCAGGATGTCTTGCAATGTCATGCTTGATGTGGATGTAAATGGTTGTGAGCAGGTGTCCCACAATATGCTTCCCTGCTGTGCCGTTCGAGGAGAGATCGCAGTGCAGCTTGCTACCACCAGCTTGTGAGGCCTTCAAGAGCCTGAAGAGGCGGAACGATGTTGGCGAGCAGATTCAACAGAAAATGAGTGCGATTCGTGGCTGTGAGCAGGAGAAGACTGACAGCAGCTCGAAGATCCAACGAATGGAACAGGCGCTGACTATTCAGAAGCAAAATGAACAGCGCTTGCAAGATATGATGTCACATCTGGTCAAAGAAGTCGAGACCGTAAAATCTGTAGCTGAACTTATAGACTCGAGATCACTGGACAGTGGTGAGCAAAGATTGCGTATTTTTCTCGTGTACCGCTGATCTTTCTCTTTCCTGGTACCACCAACAAAATGTGCGCATCACCTCATCACTTCCGCTTACTCGCATTCAGAATTTCAGTCCCTGTTAGCGCTCAGGCAGAGAATCAGATCCTACAGATACCCGTATACAGTATTGGTGTATGCAATCGATCCATAAGACTGGAAACTATCTATCAATGCACTTGGCTATCCATCGTGTTATAAGTGTATTGGAATAGTGAAACGATGAAAATTTCAAGGGATGCCATTTCATTTCTTGACCTCTCAAGATTACACTCAGTTCTCCAACTATCAATAGAACCACTGAATTGGACTCGACCAATCCAACCGAGAGATCTATTCGGCGAAAAGTAATGGAACCAGAGTAGTAACTTTCCTAATCACTAGAACGAGTAGTTTTAATGGATCTTTCTTCAAAATGACATCATTGTTCACAAACATAGATTCCACGAAGTGTCTACGAAGATATCTGTCTAACATGGACCCTGGGGGCTATGGGGGCTATGTAGCCCCAGTCCTTCATAGTCAGCAGTCCCAGTTATGGGCTACGGATTCTTCTTCAAATATATGTAAGCACTAGGAATGACTGACAGACATGGATAGTGGCCTCTCGGGCCCAGAGGGCCGGATTGGCCGTTTCTCTGTCGCTCCCTCTCGGCTGACCCTTGTAACGGCGGGTCGTACCCCCGCATCGGTTGTTGCGTGCCCGAGCCCCCGTGGAGGGGTTTGTTTCTTCAAGAGATCCGAAAATAGGTAATTGAGTAATGCACAAAATTTTATTAGATTCAGTCCATATGAGAAATAATGTATTGTACAAGGCGATAGTTTATTTCCAACTTAGCTTGGTATATCATTATCTTCATCAATTTGTCAACATCTTACTTTTTTCAGCCGATAAATCCATCAATAAATCCATTTGAAGTACTACATGGATAATACTATGTTTTAATCGAACTGTATGTTATGACCAATATAAATAGTATCATCCACAGATAATTGTACCTTAAGTCTTACTATCATGTTGTTCAGTATTTGTTTCTACTGAAGTTTGAATATCTCAATTTCAACCACTTATTACTCATGACTTAGAATAAGAAAATTGTAGGTAATGACTGCGTGTGAGATTTTACTATTTGATCAAATTTTTAGTTCGTCTTTAGCTTAATTTCTAGATTTTTTTTTCATTTTCTTTCCAAATGTGTTCAAAACTGACGGGATACATATGATTCAACTTATCTTTGATTTAAAATGAAATAAATATGAACTATATATCTACATTTCAATCAAATTTTACAATTAAACGATTATGTTTAGTTTTTTTCATTTTAAAAAATCATATATTTTATTTATAAATATATTTGGAAAAAAAATTATTTTTAATTTCATAAAATATGAAAAAATTCATATGTATCAAAACCAAATGTTTAAAAATCATCAAATGAATTGTCATTTGATGATTTGTTAATTTTTTCTACTAAAACTTTTGCAAAAATGTATTGATATCGAATAGATTTTCATAGAATTTTTATAAGATAAATATTTTATGGCAATAATTATGATTATTTTATGACATTCAAAAAGTTGTTGCAAATTTTAAATTTTATTTTATAGATTAAATAATTTTTTTTAATATTATTTGAAAAAACTTCTAAAAATCACATTATTTATCAAATTTTATATTTGAACACTCACAAAATTTGAACATACGCACTTGAATTTTGATTTTATCGTCAAACTAATAATTTTTATATTTAAGTTAAATCACTCAATTTTTATTTTTTTATATATGCTCATAAAAAAAATTTCAATATAAATATATATTAGAATTATTCCCATTAATTTTTTAATAAAATATAATTGTAAAACAAAAGGAAATTTTTTTTAACTTATTTCATTTTTTAATTTCCAATATGTCCCACTATATACTTTTATTTGATTTTATGAGTTCTTCCATTTTATTTCTCAAATTTTATCTCATCATCACATATAATTTTTTTGCCATTTTTTTCACGTATTTTAAGCTTACTTGTAGATTATTTTTTTGCTATCTATTATTTTAAGAATTTCTAATTAGTCTTGAATTGTTGTTAATTTTTGTAATCTAGCTAATTTTTGAAAGTTTCACAATCATTTTCATAATTTTTATTAAGTCATTTTTTTCCAAAATGTTAGTTTTTTGAAGAACATTAGACCCTCAAGTGTATATATAAATCAATCAATCACTCATGCATGATATCATTATGCATAATACAATTTTTACTGTTATGATCATGAAAAAATTATGTATAGTACTTCATTGACATGTTTAAAATTTACTAAGCAAATGTGAAATTATTTCATCAATTACATATCAGATATATGTACTTGATGAAATAATCTAAGATTTATTAACCAAATGTAAATTTATTTTATCAACTACATATCAGATTTATGATCTGATTATATAAGATTTTTAAAGCAAGATAGATAGTTCAATTTAGTAATATATTGAAAATACACAAACAAACCATCATTGTGCATTAATCAACTAGGTGATATCATAAATAGACCAAAGTCATAAATCCGTCTTAGTTTTCATATTTTCTTAGATTATGTGGTGTTGTTATTTTGATCTTGATAAAAATTTGAATACAAAATAGATCATGGTTTGAGGCAAGTTGACTATTTAATGACTATGGAGTGAAATGTTCAATTCTTGGAAAAATTGGAGATTTTAAAAGTTGGACTCCAGGAATAGCTAATGCAAAATCAAAATATATAATAACTAACATCCACATTGACTACAAAATCAAGTTTATGCAATAAACTCACACAATACAATGTATCTGATCTACACAGTTTGTCTCGTTTCATTACATCTGAAAGTATTGTGATCGAGACAGTAAACTTAATTTTGGCAGAGCTTTCGGGTGCATGCAATAATTCGGAAAGAGCTTGGAAAATGCTGGGGAGAAGGTGAGTACCCGGTGGGGGAGGCACATCGAACGGAACGATCGAAGGAAGGAAGGAAGGAAGGAAGGAATGAATGAATGAATGTCGAGACCGGAGCAGGAGCTCTGCTAGGGTTTGCCAGGGAAGGCAAAGTTGGCAGCAGGGGGGAACGAAGAGCGGATCGGTGGTGGAGTCTGTCAGTGTAAATAGAGGGAAGAGGTGCAGACGACAGCCTCGAGCGAATTACACGGATTACACACTTTCGATCGATCGCGGGATCCGTGACAGGGGAGGCGAGTAGCCATGTTTCTCCGACGCATCGCAGGCCCGCTGTTGGGCGGAGTCAAGGAAACGACGGGAATTGTGGGCCTGCCCGTGGTACCGAATGCGAGAGAGGTGTTAATTGGTCTGTATCGGAAAACGCTGGACGCAGTGCAGCCGATTCCTGAGTCAGCGCAGTACCGAAAAACAGTGGAGGAAATTACACAGCATCGGTTGGCAATCTGTAATGAGGAGGAAGACTGGAAGGAGATCGAGAAGCGTGTTGGAAACGGACAAGTGGAGCAGTTGATTCAGCAGGCCAAGGATGAGCTGACATTGATCCCCAAAATGGCTGGTGTGTTTCTTATCGTTTCTCGAGTCAATGGCGCATGCAGCTACCATCGTGATCAAAATTACTGTGTGTGTGCACAAATTATCAATGCATTTTGTAGATTGAAGCTTGCACTTGTTCTCCCGGATTGTTTGCAACTTGTTTTGGGTCCCGAATGCTGACGTGTCATGGAATTCATACGAGTACGACCTTCCACTGTGGATCTGCTGGTAGTTGGTATGTCATTTCTGATTGATCATTGATCGTTGATCCAGAATGGAAACCATGGGAGGCACCAGAAGGTTATAAGGTTCAAATTATGATCGAGGAGAATGATGTTCCTAGCCATGTTCCCCTCCATCGGTAGTCAATTCATTCTGCCAAAATAAGTGACTTGGAAAACTACAAGCAGATTACAATTACTTGTTCCGTTGATCATGATATCGACAAAGCAAGTTCTTCAAGCTTTGAATCCTGTTATTTATTATTTATTTTAAATAGGAGGTCATCTGCATTCACACCTAAACCAACCTGGCATGACGGTATTATGAGATGTATTTAGAGTCTGCCCAATGTAAATTGTGTATTTAACAGGCATAGGGACTCTTAGTTACTTGTTCTGTCCCACTGGACCTTTACTTGGAACAGGTTTTTAAGGCGCATTTTGCCTATGTGGAGCTATAAGTTTTGGCTTTGCAAGCGCATGATTTGCTAGATCATAATAACGTCAGCAACAGGACAGGTTCCAGTACTTTCTCTAGTGAAGTCAGTTTACCTCTTGTTTATCCTCTATAAAGGCAGTTCAGTGCCACTCCCCTGGCTCTCAATGGATTGGGTGAACCTTAATTGTTCAGACCGGGATCTTTGATGAGGCACATGGCTTACACTCCAGAGTATGTGGGCATAGTGAATTCGGAGTGCGTGCCTTCGTGATACAAATTCAATTTCATTTTCGGAATTCAAATTTTCTCTAGAGAGTGTGATGGCAATTTGATGGCAGTACCATGTATAAATAGCTGGCTGTCTGCTGAAGTAGTGCACTGTAAGTAGATATGAGTGAACAAACCAACTTCTGACATTTGTACTAGGATAACGCTTGGGACTAAGAGGCTGAGGACGCTTTGCCTGTTGTAGATTTCTTGTAGCTTGGAACTATTAGAGTGTGATAGTCACTTTCTCGGTTAATTGCAGTATAGTTATCTTTCGTGCTTTTCTTTTTCGGACCTTTTATGAAGAAAAGAGCTTACTAAAGTCAAGCTTTCTGGGCTATTATAACATGGTCATGTACACTGCATTCCTATTACAAACCTCTGCCGAAAGTCAAGCATTTTGAGGCCATCATTTCATGTGCCTTGGGAGTCTCCAGTGAAGCACATCTTTAGTTAACTTTCTTGAGAGGGTTGATTCCATTGATGGTGGTGGAAACGTCTGTTCTTGGAGCCATGAGGCAGTTTGTGCTCGAATAGGCTACTTGGCCTTTGGCTCCTCCCCCTTAATGACGCTGTGCTGATTAATCTGCGAATGTAGTACGAGCCACCAAAATTGTAAGTCCAACTTCTGACTGAGTAAAGTGTTAGTTGCGCCTGAGTCAGTTTTACGTAGAGTTTTATGTGAAAGCATCCAAATCTGGTTATAGTGGATGTCGTATTCCGTACAGTCTACCATCTTAGATAGGAGTGAGTATCGTTAATAAGCGCAGCGATCGAATGAGCCGTTTCCTTATAATTTTGGTGGCTAATTTTTTTCTGCGAGAACCTGACATCTGCAAAGAGCTGGTCCCTGCTTAAAGCGCGAGTATGCATTGCTGAGCATTATCATGTGGCAGTCTGAGAACTATGAGAAGATACCAGGCGGTGCGGACTATGCATGAAAGAGGTGTAGAACAAGTATTGCAACGTCATTTCGGATATTCTGTGCAGTTGTCAGATATTCACATCTCTTTGGAAGAAGAGAGCCAGGCCAAGCCTACCAGACTTTCTGTGGTAGATGGTAGAAGAAGACTTCTTGAAAACCTATGCCGAGGTTTATAACTCGTATCCTCCATCCAACAGAAGCTGTGTACCATGATACAGGCGACTTCTGTGATAAACTTTTGACAGTGTGGGAAAAGGAAAGTCTCCCGTACCTGAACTCTACAGTGGAGCACTCACAGCAAGGTAGCAACCTAAAGTCCGGCGTACCCTGTGCTGTGTTCTCTCTGCTTTGTACAAAACTGCGTAATCCTGCTCTAGGTTATGAAGCCTCTGAGATTCGTGTTGTGAAATGGAAGGAGGGCAATATGATTATATTCTTCCAAATGATAGCCTTCTTGCCATCAACTTGACAATTTGACTTTCCTGCACAGGAATAACTTGATCCTCACGACTTAATTGCAGCAAAGACGGCTGGGTAAGGAAATATCAGAGAAGAGTCTTACTAGTGCGTTTCACTGATGGGCATGGAAACATCCATCGTATTTACAACCACAAGTTAGAGCAAAATGACTTTCACTCTTGCAGTGATGTATTGAAACCTCGCCCAAAGCTCCAAAGCACCACTGTCTGCCTTTTAGCCTTCTTGATAAAAAAAAAATAGAAGACGAATTACAAATTTACAAATAGAAAGAACCTAGGTGCCTTCCGAACACACCAATTGTATGCACATGTGCCGCATCTGTTAGCGATAAAAATCGCACTACTGACCACTCTACAGAGTTCCTACTTTGGACCTCTTCTTAGACACAACTCTACATTGTCTACTACAGCTCTTGTATCATCTGACAAAACTAGATTCACACTGGCTGGAGAACAGGAAAAATATTATGTGGGTGACACAGTGAGGAAAAGTTTGAACGATGTAAGAAAAATGCGTTTGATAATTTTCGAGGTTTGACTACCTCACTTTAAAGCGTCATCACATAATTCTTAGTCTACAATGACACGGCATCTACAGGAGCAGCATCAAATAGCATGATCGCGGGTGACGTGAAGTCATTTCGTGAAAGCTTTGTGGGGGAAAAATGTGAAGAAAAGAAGAAATCAAAGAGACTATAGATGAGCGCTACAAACTTCTCGATATCGGTCCGAAGTACCAAACAGCCATGATTATTGTTCTCGGATATCAGAAAGTAGCCTTTATTACCTCTGAATCTCCATATCCCCTCATGCTTCCACAAGTCAGCATGCATATAATCACAACTATAACAGCAACAACATTGCCCTCCTTCACCACACTTTTGAAAGCCATCCAGGAAATATCTCGTGCGATCATACTTCCATCCTCGATCAGCCGTTGGGGACGGCCAAAAAGTCCTCTCCCAAACATGTACTCGAAGACCAGGGCTGTAATCCAAGTCATTATCAGTGCTGGCACTAAGAACGTGATCAATGCAACCATTGCCAGCAGCCCAACTTCTGTTCCTAGAATAACAGAATTGTGTAGCAGAGTCCACTCACTTGCACCTCTCGATAGGGGCTTAAAGCTAGACATCCAGGGAGGAGTGATCTGAAAGACGAGAAACAAAGCCCAAAAGAGCATTCCTCCATAAAGTACTGTACACCAGACCATCCACGAGCACTTACAAACAGCAATCCTGATTGGCACCTTAGATAGGCTAAAAATTCCTCCCTTCTCTTCCTCGAAGTTTGTTCTCCATTTCCTCATCTTCCAGTTCGTTGGATCTTACCGTGTGTATCAGGGTGCTCTGCAGTAGTAGAGGCGATAGCAGAATTTTAGGGGTGGAACGAACGCAATTACTCCATTGAATTGTTGCCAGCAGGCCTAGCATGCTGGATGAGCCAGAGTCTGGATTTCATCGATTCATACAAAATCTGAAATTCTGCATTTTTATGCAGGATTCTGAAATTTCTATCTCCACATGATCATCGGACCTCCTCTCAGCTTGGAGCTTGATTTACGTGATTCATCATGAAAAACCGCGAACTCCTCGCAGTCACAGCAATCTATAAAATACACCAACAACGCCTCACACAGCCATGGAATTCGGACTTTCAAACAAAGACTCACCAACCTCGTCTTGCAGGTCACCGGCTCCCGACGTTCGTCACCCTATCAGAAAGCCTCCACCGGATGTCACCTCCAATACTTGATTCCTCGACAAAGCTCTAGCATTCAAAACCCTGTGATCTCAGAAGATATTCATACGATCGGGTGCCTCAGACCGAGAGAGAAAGACTTCAAAACTCGGACGTAATCATCAATTTCCTGCAAGAGTGCTTTTCTAAACTCATGCTGCAACGACCTTCCGGAACTTTCACGAGAAACGAGATTCCTGAAGGCTTTCTTCTATCCCACTATCAGAGCAACTTCAATTTCCGACTGATGCAATCTATGGCGTCGCGGGCTGCCAGCAGCCATCGAGCTTCCCATTTTTTCTTGGGCAAAAATTGCAGCAATGGATCGATCGATTGCTGCGTGCCGATTGTTTCTTCTTCCTGAGGCTTCACCGTCTCAGCTTCCGTACTCTGCTTTCTTCTGGAAGACCCCTCGCGCCCCCACGTCAGCATGCCACGTGCGTGTGTTGCCATTCGTACCATCGTCCCCACGTTTTAATACAATTCCGTTTCCTTCAGCAGTGCATTAAATATCACGCGAAGTCTTACATGGTTATCATAGGACGGGGCTAGGACTGTGTGTCTGATTTCGGTAAATTAGATTAGAAGGGTCGAATAGCAAAATCTATCGTAAGAAATAATCAATTTCCAAAGAAGAAAGCTATGGGCTAACCATATATAGATTAATTTACATATATAGCAAAATATTTGTATCATTTATGAAAAGTAAGAAATTTAGTAATAAATACGATAATTAATGCAACATAAGGGTTTAACATGGAAATTTTATTTAAAAATGAAAAATGAAAATAAAAGATATTTAAAATTATTTTATTTTTCTATTTATATTTCAAATACATAAATAAATATAAATTCTTGATTGAATTGATGAAATAACAAATACAACTAATGAACACAGATATATGCAAAGACACAGACACAACGGAAATACATGGTTTGCCACCGCAGACTAAGTCCACAGAGGCACAAAAGATTGTGCTGAAAAAACCTTTAAGTGTAATCGATGACTTTCGCAAACTTTCTTGTATAGTGACAGCGTATGAGCTTCATTAACTAGGGTTGAGCCAACCTGAGTTACCAAAAGCCCTGAATAAAGTATCAACACAAAAAATACGAACTATCTAATGAAATTTTAATTCAAAGTAAAACATTTCAATATGAACTTTCAAAAGTCCAGGACATCCAAATATTAAAAAAATCTATTGGAAAGCACGACTGAAGATACTATCCATCAAGGCAATAGAATAGGATAAGAAATAGAAATTCCTGAGAGAACCAAGTCCAAATATACTGCTAATGATTGCAAGTACTACTTCTGGCTCAGCTCAGGGTCTCGGCCAGAAGGTCAAATTTCTGCAACCAAGTGTAACTTATATTTCAAAGGAAATTGATTTTATGGCTCAAATGTCAGCTACATGTATCATAAACGTGTTTTAGACGAAAAGTCAAAGGGATAAGCTACTGAGCACTTATTACTGATCGATTTTTACATAAGAAGGTGAAATTGCTAGATCAGGAGTCCGAACATTCCTTGCAGTTTGAATTCGTGTTCTAACGAGAATATGCAGAGATCGAGATTGGACTTTGCAATGGCTGCGGTCTTCTTCCTGAAGGTATGACTAAAACATATGAATCAGTACAGTTAGTCCTCAGCAACGCAACTGGAAATACGAGTCTGGCCCTGGGTAGCGTAGTTACTGCGAAGACGCTACAGTCCATAAGCTGCTGACTCTCAAGGACTTACGACTCAGCTACAGCTCCATGACCTCAGAGTTTAACCGCAGATGTAAATTGCACATCGTCACTGAAATTGAATACGTTAGATATTCTCCTCAGCTGTGTGTCATGGTGTTTGCACAACATCCTAGCAACGTAGCTGTGGTTTCAGCGAAGTGTATTTATTATATATGTAGTATGCTCTGTATACATTATAATTCTGCCGCAAATTTCACCTTGCCTCAGATTTGGCTGCTTTAAGTTTAATTCGTTACGTAGGATTCACTTTCGATCTATTACTGTTCTTAAATGCTTTTTCCCTCATTATTTTGCTGTTGTTTGCATGCTTCATGTCTTGGATACGTGGTTCATTTATACAATTTACTGTCAGGAAATTTATCAATCTTCGTAGTTTGTTTTCCATTCGAAGTTCTGTTGTTTTTTGACTGTATGTATCAGACCAGGCAGTTAATGACTTATCCTCGATGGTTTATGACATCCATGCCATACCAATGATTAAGGTCGTCAGTGGATCACATTATACACTCCCAATCAACGACGGGAGCGATGAAACTTGGAACTGAACCGCACCATTCTCCAGCATCGATGAACAGCAGAAGGTACTCGAGCCTCGTTTTCCATGTTATTCAATAAAATTGGAGAACTAGAAACCCAATGCAAATTTCCTCACCCTCCAACCAGAATACTGAAAATCAACCTCACTCGGTCGTTTGTGCAGGAAAGTGCTTTTTGCTCTTTTGTACTCTGGGAGTACAAAAGTACAAGAAGTGGTCGCACAAGTTCTCGATGGGACCCTTGGGGTTGACGATGGCCTGAATGGAGAACATGGCAAGACTTTCAGTTGGGCGACTTTCAGGTGGCAGGGTCCTCAGCCGAGGTCAGATCGGGTCCACAACGTCACCCCAGGGTCCTCCTGCGACTGGCAGGCTCAGATGGCCAGAATGCTCCGGGCGCTAACGAGTCCAAACCCTCCTCCCTCGAACCACGCTGCTTTGCCGAATGTCACGCCGGAGAAGACGCAGCCCAGCCCTCCCTGCATGGCCCACCGGAGGTCCCGGTCAAGTACGACGTAGTGCACCGGCGAATCGGCCCAGGTACTCGGGTCGGTCGGTCCTTACGCAGCCAAGTAAGGAACACAATTCACAGTGTCACGACTCGAGCACCGTCCGATCACCAATCGCTTGGACGCGATCTTCAGGGCGCAGAGAGATTTTCTTCGAGGGCCCAGCTCTGTACATGTCCACATCAGCATTTGGCCACACTCTCTGCTTACTACTCGGAGACATGGTGTGACTGTGCTCCTCGATGCTGACGTCGTACTAAATTCCGCTCACGTCTAGCACGGAGGGGAAGTACGTGACGTCGCGAGAAATCGCAGCAATCCGGACTGTCGATCCGGATATGTGAACGGAGTTTGGTGGTGCTCTCGATCAATGCTGCGGCCTTCGGGCAGAGCTCGCGATGGACCGGAAGGGAAGCTCGCCGTGACGGACCGGATGCTCGAGGGGAAGGAGGTTTGCCGGAAAAAGTTTTGCCCACGCTGACGCGGGCCTCCCGACGATGAGCTGGCCGGCCGATGAGGTGGCGGGGTCCGTGGAGGCAAAGCGAGGAAGGTGAGCAGCTGCCGGCATACGACGGCACAGTGCCGGGATCCCGGTGCGAATCGGAATGGAATGCGGAGCTGGAGGCCATCGAGAAATCCAATTTCCATTCGCCGCCACTACCCTGTCGCCTCTTTGCAAGCTCTGCGGGCCCACGATCCTCACCGGATGTCAGATATCGCGAAACGATGGAACTGTCAGATGCCGTCCCGTCGCAAGATCCGGATTCTGCCTCGGCTTTCTTTCCGATGTGTCTGTCGTCATGGCTCAGAAGCCGCGACGTCACCTCTGCGGGAGCACATGCTCGTCAGGACGCTCTCTCGCCAGCTGGCCGACGATCGTTCGCTGGCCCGGTGCTCGAGGGCCTCTCCGATCTGACGATTCCTAATTTCCGGATCTACCATTCGGTCATCGGCAGCCTCGTGGGGCCCGACCGCTTGCAGCCCGCGCTCGGCGCCGGTCAGACCCACGCCCGCCTGGATCTCCTACCATTCCGACGACGGTCTTGCATGGGGATGCAAGCTCCTCACCGGCAGGACCCGGACGGCGACCGCCTCCGGCGCGAGTTAGAACTCGACTCCATGGTGCCCGACAAGAAGACGACTGGAGGGGTGCAGAGGAGCCGGTACTCTCGAGTTTTGGTTTCAGCAGGGGTGCTGCAGCTGCTGCTGCTGCCATCGCCGAGCTCGCGGTGAGCTCCTGGGGACGAATCTCGGGCCATCAAGGCTCGAGGTCGCATGGACTCTTTAGCAGCACCGTACCAGGGCTGGATACAGTTGACCCGGCGGATCGACGTTGGATTTCAAGGCGCGGAGCTGCGGGACGCTGCAAATGTGCCTGCCCCTGATTTCAGCTCAAATCTGACTTCCGCGTTGTGACATTCTCGTACAAGCAAGCAAGATGTACCGACATTTGAGTTAAAGTGTAGAGCAGAAATCCATTCAAGAGCACGACACCTGAGTGAGCGAAATCACAATTGAATCTGGAAGATTTGGAAAATGTACCCACCAGAAGGCACAATTTCGTTCGAGGTCAATCTATAACCCATACCTGGGAACAATTTATCCGGTCACAGGGTCGCGTAGTGCACTCAGCTCGTGAGTACGTCGCAGAGAGAGAATCTGCAAGCATAAACTACTCTCGCAAGAAGTAACATCTAATAAGATTTGACGAGAAAACTGCTCCAATGTCTTCAATGTAGCAGTAGGACTGCGATCGAGTTAGCAGCTTTGTTGGGCCTGATCGCCACCACAGCACAGCCTGCTTGACAACAGAGCAGTTTCTGCTCAATGGTGGAAATGTTTTTTCACAGAACCATATCCTTCACAGAGGCTTTCTAACTGACTATACAACTACTGCAATTCCAGCTCTGAAGGAAAGAAACGCTTCTACTCTGCCGAGGTTTATGAGCTCGGAATCTTCGTTCTGCTTGCACTGCACTGCACTGCACTGCGAGCAGCATTACGGGAAAGACGGAGGCGACTCCAATGGGGGTCATGGAGGAGCTCATCCCCCACAGCCAGTCCGTGGTCTCCAACAACGCCGAGTGGAGGGCGGACCACAGAGCTCGAGTCTTCAGAGTGGAGTGATGACACCGACTACAATCCGCTGAGCTCAGGTTTCAGAAGAGATGGGACCCGCTCGGAGTAGGACGATTGCTGCTGCATGAAGGGATGGAAAGTGGGATTCTGGTACACGGCCGACTCGCGGCGGTGCGAGCTGCTGCTGCTGCTGCTGCACCATGGTCGCTTTTCGGTCATCTCCTCGACGAGCTCCCGCCAGAACTCGAACTTGTGGCGCAGAAACGTGTCGGAGAAGCGATCCTCGAGGTTCGGAAAGAAGCTCTGGCAGCATCCGCCCGCGTACGAGAGGAACAGCCCCGTGAATGGTAAGCTCGACAGAAGAGCGAACACCATGGCGACGAGAATGTGAAGAATCTGGCCGATGCGCGACTCTCGATCGTATCTCGCGTACTGCAATGCGTCTTGCAGCAGCGACAGGGCGCAGCTCGAGAACATCCAGCCGCCCACGATGGTGGTGATCAGAACTGTCAATCGGTTGATCGACTGCGAGGGAGTCACGGCGAATCCTGCAGCTGCGTGCGCACCCACGCAGAAGCACACCGAGACGACGAGCATTGCGTTCACTCCCACGACCTTCATGAGCAGCACTGTCACTTCCGTCATTTTCTCCTGCGACATCGTTCTGTGCGCCCTCAATGCATTGTTGCCGAGCTTCGACAGAACTCTGAGCCTTTTCGGCACGAAGCATCCGACGCACAACACCAGAGCTGACACAGAAGTGTAGAACGACATGGACGAGAAAATTGAGTACAGCATTATCGGCACCCCGGTCTGCATGCGCCCGTGCTCATCCAATCCCGCGGGCGGTTGCGTGTAGCTGCGAAATGTCTGCTGCGACAGCAGCATCAACACGACAGCGTACCCAATGACCGGCTTCACCAGGCTCTCGCGCAAATTCTCCAATTTGCCGATCAGAATTTCCTGCTCGGCGATGAACTGCTCCCGGTTGGAGCAAGTGGACGTGTGAGCCATCCTCGACCGATTCGTGGTCGACTCCTCGTCGGTGGGCAATTCCTCATCGTCCTCGGACGGCGGAGACGGACGCCCTTCCGACGGCTCCGATGCATGAACGCTCTCCATCTTCGATCTTCGATAGAATCAATCAAGTCCGCCCTGACAAAGATTTGACAGGTTTCATTCCTCCTGGTGCTGCTAGAGAAGGAGGGCACACTTGCGCACAGCAGATGGTGATAATGACAGTGATGACTGGCCTAGAGTAGGCACCAGGAGCATCCACTCTGCGCTCCGTAACGAGCGCAGTCGCTCACGAGGCTCAGCATCCATGCAAGAAGAGTGGCACTCGAAGATCTCATTTCCAGCGACCGAATCTCCGTCTTGTCGCAACCCGACCAGACGAGTGCGGCTCTCTCGCGCCATTCCATGATCGAGCTCAATCGCTCGTTTGCTCGGGCGAGCCCTCCTCTACTACTGCCATCCCCCTCGGGCTCCCCCTCTTGACTCATGGATGCTCTGCTGTGCGCGAGTCGAGTTTGAAAGCGTTCGTGGGCCTTCTGGGCCACTCCCGCGGATCGGATAATTGCCAGGGAGGAGCACTAAATTCGGATTACTCTGCGAGCCCTTTTCTTGTGCCCAGTTTAGAAAAGGGCCCCCCTTTGAATGAATGAATGAATGGAACTGGAGCGAGGGAGGGGACCTCGGGACCACATGGGACCACCGTCTGGATCCGGGAGTCGACAAGGGGCCCTCCCTGGGGTCCATGGGAACCGAAGAGAACGTCGGATGCCCCGATGCCATAACACGCTTTCTGATCTCGGTTTATTTTTGCGTTTAGTGTCATTTGCGTCATTACTCCAGCAGAGATGGCGCTCTCTCGGTTTCCGAGAATCTTCCATTTACGTTTTGGAGGGTTTGGACTGGATCGCAGGACTTGACACAATGTCATGGGCATTTAGTTTCGTCCGATGACATCGACGAGAGCCCGTGCTCGATAAGATTTGGACTATTGCTCGATTTGGATGCCATGCTCAAAGCTCTGCTCTGCTCTGCTCTGCACTGCACCGATGCAAATGTTTGAGGCGTGTTTGCGTCCGATGAATTCAGAACTCTGATTGTTCATTTTCGAGAGCTGGGACTGCCCTGCCCTCGTTCTGTGAAATGTAGCAGTGAGTGAATTCACGGTGTTTCCCAGGTCTCTGCTCCGTTCATGAAATGTAGAAGAGTATGCGCCAGATGCTTCCTCGCAGCAGTTGGTTGACTCGAGGGGACAGTAAGTCTTCAACTTCCGTCGCTGGTGACATCCACCACTCGATCTGACACTGAAGTTGTATGATGTGGTTGTAGAAGCGCTCTCACGAGGTCCATCTCGTCGCCCTTCTGCCGAATTTCGTGGCCGTTCAAACTTTCTTCAAGCCACCCGAATTTCGACAGATAGTTAGTACCCGACTGGACCCAACCGAATTGTGTGGTTTCGTACTCTGCAATTCTCTGATCTGACCTCCGCCAGAGGTTCAATCATTGGACAATGGTCAAGATTTTGAACACTTGCTTTACAAGTTCTGCACCTAGTTTCGATTCGAAGATGAGATTGCTTCTGTGCGGCTCAAGTGCGGAGGCCTCATGTACTCTCAGTCTCTCGTCTAATCAAGAACGAGACTGAGAGTAGTAGAGATGAGTTCAGAGGCTCGCAGCTCACATTCCTTCTCAGATTTCCCGGTCTCACGTACAGGGACGCTCAAACTCCAATCTCTACTTCAGCAGAAATGTCTTGAGCTGTAGAAAATTTTGATGGCAGTCAAAATAGACTATATAATTTTCCGAGAGAGCATTATTCCTTCAATGCGTTGCCTGTGATGCTCGGAACACCATCGTCCACCTGAATCTTAATCTTCGTACCTGTCAGAGTCGGACATTTTTGGTAACTCTTTAGGGTTACCCTGTAAAGGCCATAGGGTAACGTAAAGGTATAGCCTCGCGGGTTACCCGGTAATTACCGGGCAATTGTGGATATTCTTTTGCACAGACTAAACCCTTCTTACGACGAACCTCGTACCGGCGAAAAGCAAAAACTTAGTCGAGAGTTCGAAACTCCCCACCTGTTTATGTCTATCACAATGAGCTACGTGAAACTCCGTGGCAATGAGCGATACAAGAACCAATCCACAATCGAGAGAGAGTTCTTGCCAAAGTAAAGTTAGACTGCAGTTGAAAAGTTGTAATTTTTGTAAACGAAAATGCCAACTTTCGGTAACTACTGCTGCCATGTCTGCGGATCGTGAACATTGCGAGAGATTGATGTTTCCCTTGAGGACAGATGGAGTCCCGTAGTCCGGTGCTCATGCCATGCTATCGAAAAAGTCTGACATTTCCTCCACATCCAACCTGTCACATCCCCTATTAAGCTATGACTACCAAACTAGTAAAGGTAGATTTACAAGGTAACCCTAATAGGTTAACGATAAGAAATACTCTTACAATTTTTATATCTTTACGAGTCAACCGAGTAATTATCCATAAAGGTAGAGGCCTGTGCCCGGTTACCTTTTACGTTACCTTGCCGAGACTTCTAGTGTCTTTTACGTTACCTTGTCGAGGCTTATAGTGTCTGACTCAGACACATACCGCAGTCACTCATAAGCAGGCTTGGCCACGGTCCGGTTAACGGGTTCAGAAAAAAAGGTGGACCGGTTAACCGCCGGTCCGGACCGGATCGTGACCAAGCCTATGAACTACATTACAATTAGGGTGACGAATTTTCTCAGGGAACGGTTTAACGGGACCGATGGTTAACTGGTTAACCGCTAGTCCGGACCGCGTCAAAACCTATGAGTCATAAGGACGGATTGTAACGTGTCGGCTGGGTCTCTTCCTTGTGGATCCAACTCCATAAACATAACCTAATTTATAATTCAATAATATGTGAAATGATACAAGTCACAACAATTGCACATGGTTATGCACTTACATATATGTACACTATGTGTGTGCACCCATCACTAACACCATTTATTCTCTTCCATAATCTCTAGAAAACTAGAATGTATCAGCTCCCAATCCATATAGGAAAAAAACCTCATCTAATGAAAAGATTTGCATTGGTTAAATAATAATCTTCTAATCTAAAGGCTGTTATATGTTGTTTCGAAGAGAAACATAAAAAGTGTGATCGATCCGTAATCTAGCCTCATGATTGGCAACGAACATAATAATAATATTCTAATTAACAAACTATCGATACACATCAAACAATATGCGCGAAGAAGAAGACCAACATGGAATATCAATCACAAAGTACGATATAAAAATATTTCAATCCAAAATTATGATTTTTATCAAAGAGATGAAATTAATCCAAGCTAAATCATCATAGGATTAATAGTACATTTAAACGTGGAATCTTTATAACCTCCAGACAAATTAATTACATCGCTAATCCGGATAAAGTATTATCTTCTCTTATGTTTTTTTATCAAACCCACTCTTCTTTCAACCAAACTATTTCAAAAATCTACATACCTTCATGTCTTTGAAATTATCTAATTTTCACACTGGTGGCTTTGCGCTCGAGGTTCCTACCCTTTATCTAGGATAATTTTTCAATTGATTTGATACAAGATAAAAGATATGATTATAGACTATTGCCTTTAACTTTCATCAAAAAACAACGAAACATAAAATTTTGGACTTCCATCACTTTTGTTTGATATACTCTTTTCGTGGTCTCAATATTAAGCCTGAATATAGCTTTAATCTTCCGCCACTTTGCCAATTTCGCTTCAACCATTAAATTACAGAACTTCGAAATCTAACCGTCGAACTTCGAAATCCTACTTTTATATCGCCACCACGGTGCTTCATTTCATCAACTCCCTCCCTGCACACTCTACAACATCCATATCAAACCTAGCATGACTCACAAGTGCCTAAAACACCTCTAACGATCAAGTTCTCACCGTAGAATCCAGAATGAAATTTTGAATGGTTTTTTAACACACATGAAAATAGTTTTCTCTCGTGACCACAACCTAATGGATAGATTGGAGGTGAGCCAAATTCATTATCTGATCTAAAAACTCCAGAGTCATGCACTAGATATTCTCAAGGTAGTTCCGGTTCCAGACTTCAAAATTTGCATTCGAAAGAAAACGAATACCACTTGAAATCTTTATATCCTGAAGGAATTGCTGGCTCTAACTTAAGACCCAATGCAAATTATGTTTATGCTATTCATAAATGCATGTACCTGGGATTCGGATACATTAGTCGTGAAACACAATAAGTATGCTGCTATCGTCGCACTTATGCACTTCACAACTTCTTTGACTTTTACATGGTGTGGAGATGGATGTGCATTCTCCAACCACAGCAAGCTCTCTCGTGAAAGTGGGTGGCTGACAGGACTTTGTTTTAGATGAAGCCGTGAAGTACTGAGCAGAAATGAAATAATCGATCTACTGATGCGCTTATGAACCAGAGGGTCTCGACTTTGCAGTCAGCTATATCCACATTTACGAGATCACTCAGAGATATATGTTCATTTGATGTGTTCACATTCTGAAAGTTGTAGTTGAAGAGATCGGCCTTCAGTTGTTACAGTAAATCAACTGGGATCAAGAGACAGTGCATTGTGATTATGCTCGTCTGAACTAAGCATCGTCGTGAGTCTACAATCGGCAGTAGAATGAATCTTAAGAGATGAGCCCCTTGTTCAACCCGAGTGGAAAACATGGAACATGCCACCATGGGATCGTGACAAGAAGCTCCAACGGTAGCACTCACGGTTTCACTCGGAGGTTTGGTGTGCCGAACAAGCATCACCTGGCTTTTCCGCAAACGTGTGTTCTCCACGGTGCCTACACCTGTCGCCTTTCATGACATGCAGCCGCTGTATTACGTCGAAACACTCCAATCCGCAGCTCGTGGCGTTTTGACCAGAGACAGAATTAAGATTCTTATGGGGAACAAGCTCCGATCACCATCCACGAAACTGGACTCTTGAAGCAGAAAGTAGTAGCCTGATGAGCTGGGATTGCAAGGTATGTGTAAGGCACAAGAAATGTAAATAGTTTTGAAAAAGTTTACATTGGAGGGTGGACATGCATTCTGATATGAATGTTAAGTACGAATCTCGAAACCGAAAGATTGTTACAAATTTGATGTGTTGACATTCAGTTTTAGGACAGAGTGTTGTGTACTCTTAACGAGATTTTTCCATCTTCCGTGACAACCAGACCATATATTTGACTTGCCCTTCCTCGCATTAGACCAGCGATCAGTGGAGGCCTTACACATCACTTGAAAATTTTCACTTTTGAGCAGTTATCACTTCACTAAGATTACATGATTATCTACTAGACAAATTATTGCTGCCTACTGATAATTTTCGATGTGGGAAACATCAGAGGCACGAAGTTTCCATAGGCAAGGGTCTTTCATTCTGGTAGTTGGGAGCTAAAGGATGGACTAGTCTATCAAATTGCAATGCCTTTCGGCGTACACACTGTCTTCGATCTTTACAAGCTAGCATCAGTGAAGGCACTTGCCACTTGCACATCAATCAGATGAGGTCGATGTTTGACGTGTATTTCAGATCTGACTGCAGCTTGGGCGTGATACGTAGCATTGCCGTTTGGGTTGCACCTGTCAGAATTTCTACTGAAAATTCCATTGTCAATGTAGAGTCAAATCTGTATCTTTCCAGTCATCTTTCCGGCGAATTTTCATTATCGATGCTACGAACAACCATGAATAAGATGGTGGTTAGCCACCTTCTTGTCTCAAGGTTCTTCGTGAATTCGGTCCACAATCTTTTTCCCTGCTCGATCTCCTCATAAAAATAGCACAACTCATCTTTGATATAGTTCGTGCGTGTATGCATGAATACAATCTCTCCCACGTTAAGTGAGACGTCTCATGTCTCTTCTTCCACTCCTAACCCTGGAACCTATTCTGTGAACAGACATCTCTTGCACTTCCACTCATCTCAGAAGAATGAAATATTTCTCATTTAGCCCAATCGACAATAATCTGCACACATAATAATCACCATAAAAACAACAAACATAAAATGTGTACTCTCGTTGCCTTGACATCTTCGTTGTTATAATCGCATACGCTTAGACAGTTCTCACCATTAGCGTAGATGCTGACAAAATAATGATCGCACTACGTCATTATTGTTCTTCCTTTAAAGACTAACAAAAGACGGATATAGGCGAAAATCGTCTCCTCACGCTACGTTTCGCTGGCAGAACTTAATCACTGCATTTGGCCTTCCACTTTAAATTCAATCGAGAACTTCTCATTTTACATATCTGCCCATCCTCCCAGGCTGTAGTCCCCTCACGTTTCTTGACAAGTATGTTCATGCTGAGGCATAGGAGTGCGAATTGTGGATAAAATACAGCTGGACCTGGAACGAGCATACCTGAATACAATCCTGCAAGGACATACAGTACGATTGTACTCATCAATACCGGATTGTCAAAGATTAGTCATTTCGCAAGACCAAGATCGTCTACTCGATCGGCAAAACTAGGATTGAAGGTGAAGGGTGTGACCTGCAGATTGCATACATGACTGGGGGTTGCATGTGAAGCGATAATCAATAAACATAAGTGAATAGAAGCTGGATACGACTAGTTCGAATCATTATACATAGTCCCAGAATAATTTGACAGAACTGGATGGCCAGTCGATCAATTATTCAGTCTCTATACGATGCATCACGAACAAGCTACGAAAGCAAGACAAACTTCGACTGTTACTTACAGTATCATCTATGCAATCTACTCAATCCAGCATTCTTGTGAATGATGTACCTTAGTAAGCCGTGTCAACGAGCTTGCGTTGAGGCAGACCGAAGTGACTTCGAACGAGATGTACGTGCTGCGTGAAGTCCTTTTTCAAGACCCTTATAAACAATAAGCTGTACAAATTGATACAACTGAGCAGAGTCCAAACCAAGTGGAAGGTCCTGCATGCTAAATGTCAGGAGAGAAAAATAATTTTCTCGTATCATGTCAAAAGTCTAGTGTCACACACGGACATCTTTCCACCCTTACTTCACCTTTACAGTATCAAGAGTGCTTTGTTCCAAAAGTGGCGGCAGCTTCGGATATACCAGTAACCACTGTTAATGCTCGTGATCACTTGGCAAATACATCAGCTTTTGCTGCTTCGCTTGCAACTTTGTCAGCGGTGATTGAAGTTGGCGTCCGTTCAACACTACTATCAATCTCAGCTTTTTGTTCTTCCTTGGACTTGACAACGTCCATGGTGTGGGCCGCTGCTGGCACGTCCACCTTCTCTTTTGTAGGGTTGATCTCTGTCTCAGATGCTGCTTTCTTCTCTACTTGATCCTCCACTTTGCTATGATCGTTAGATGGCATGTGTGCTGGTAAATTTATGTGTTCTGTTAGGCTGTTCTCCACGTCCTGGTAATGTGATACGGGGGCCCGTGTCTCGTCTCCCTCTTTCTTTGAATCAAGCGTGGACAGGGCTTCTTGTGCTCCTGGAGGTTTCTCTGCCTCTCCCTTAGGACTGATCAACTCTTTCTCCACCTCCTCAAACTTCAAGGTTGCCCAGGGTGCTAGGCCAACTGTAGGACTAGCGTTTACAATATCAGCAGGTCCTGTTGTCAATGAAGACACAGAATCTCTCGATGCATACCATGAGTGTCCGCACTTGAGACATTCCAGCTACATTACAAAGCGGTGCAAAATCATTATCAGAATGTGGAGGCTGTCCGGACATTATATCGGCTAAGAACTATCCAGCTTACTGAGAAGGCCAAACCTTTAGACAACCTTTAGACTGTTCAACTATGACCCAGCAAATTGTTCAGCTAGGTAAGCTATGATATATATTACGCGGATAGTATGAAGAGTTTGTGCAGTATTGAAGAGAGATTGTACAACGGTAGTAGTAACTTCGCGTAAATTTTACTGATATGTATACAACCTGATTGACAAGTGCACAGTACAATTTTCTTAACGCCCAGGAAACCAATGAAAGAACCCGAAAACATTATTCGGATATATGTCCGTGTAAGTTACCAAGACGTCTTTTGAAAGATTTCACGGCAGCAAAATAATGAATTGAGTTTAACGGCAGACCTGATATCTATCACCGTATCCAACTTGTATGATGTCCTTGACACCTACTTCGCGCTCCCCGCAAATACCACAGCGTGCATCCGTCATCTTTAAAAATAAAATTCAAAATATGAGTTAACACGAGAATAGATATAGTGCTCATCACCAATGAACAGATTGTGAGCTCAATATTTGACTCACCTGCAGTGTTTGCAGCTCAGCGGGCTCTCTGGCTTTTTTCTCTGCTGCGGTAAGTCCATCCTGCATAAATGAAGATGACTCAAATCTAAGTGATTCCCGTATCTTTTGAAAGAACTATGGAATTGAACCTATGTGTATCTTTCACAGCCCGCTAAGACAAGAAACCAAAGTAACTGAAAATCTCTCCAAACGCACACTTGGCTATCTGGCATGCGCTGCATGCTAAACTCTTACGGTGTTTCAACATGTATTCATTAGTATGCACATGTCATAAAAAGGATACCATCAACCAGAAACCTAAGCGGTAAACTTGAAAGAACGGCAATGAATAGCTCACTAAAAGCAATGCATCTTCATGACCTGTAAGAAAGATTCCGATCGTTTAGAGGAGGAAAAGACTCTCGTAAATGACAACATATCCCAAACCAGTCTAAATGGTGTAAATGCTCGTAGTCTTGATTTTACCTTCAACTCGACAGGAGTCATGTGAAATACTATACCCGGCTCTAGTTCTTTATTCAGCACTCTCCGTACCAAGCATGGACTCCTCTGTTTCCAACATTCCAAATCAGGTTCACAAATCAGGTTGACGTTTAATTCATAAATCGCAACATACAATACATGCACATCTGCAAAAAACCACACAAAACGGATCTCTTGAAGTATTCGAGACATATCCCTCACTGCTACTTATACAGTCTTCGTTCCCTATCTTATCTCAAATCGTATCTCAGAATACTAAACGTCAAGTTAAATTATCACGATTCCTTCAAGTTAAATTATCACGATTCCTTCATGGACACGTGAGGAAAAACGTCACTCAGAGTACTGATGTCAAACTTCAAGTTAATATTGAGCGTAGTTTCTCAAGCATGTTGCGCTCACTGAAAGAATAGAGTTTGTTTCTAGATGAATGGAATTAGCTTCAGGTCTACACTGTCATAAAGCGAGGGATATGTCCCAGTGCTCGACTTCAATCCACACAAATAACTTCCATTGCATCGTGTTGAGTAGTACCTTAAGATTGAAATCTAGCTGGCGCATTTTCAAGTTGTACTTGTGGTGATCTGTATCATGAAACTCATGAGCAAATTTTTCCAAAGCACTCGCTGCAGAGATGGCCGATTCTGGCCAAACAATGACGCCGTCAACCTGCCCATCCACATATGTGTACTTTGTACAATAAGCTTATAATTAAAGCCGATGTAGAGGTTATGATGTACATTGACAATAAGAGATGAATCATTTGCGGCAAATCAGCTTGAGTCCAGCCCTAGATTACTTCGTGTTGCAAGCTGAATCGATATGGAAAACTGAACTTGACATGTTTAGGTATCCCACCGTACTTACGTCAGTAAATGACTGTCATAGGAGGCTAATAGAGAGTGCTTACTTCATTAGAAAGCCAAAATTCAAGACAAAAATTCAATCTCAACCGAAAGTGCAAATGTCGTCAAAAACACATGTTTCGGTCTAGAAATAATTTCATATTTGAGAAAGCAACACAAAATTGAACACTGGACATTGTTTATCAACATTGTTAAGACTTTGAATTGTTCTTCAGAAACTTCTCGAGCACAGACACGTACCATATCCTTTTTCAACTTCTGCTCTCCCTCGCCGTTGGTCGGTTCTGAGGTTTTCACGTCATTTGTGTCTAGAGGAGTATCTACTTTGGGGGTGCTATTATCTGTTTCAGGGACCTTCATCGGCGTATCTGATTGCTCAGAAGCGTCAAACACGCTCTTCAAGGTACTTGTAATCTTTTCGAGCCACCGGTCTCGCGCTGTCTGTCCGGTTAGTACATTGTTAGCATGAAGTAGTTCAGCTATATCCGAAGGAAATCCTGCATTTGGAGTTTTACAGCTAGACGGAGTATCAATTTTTGCACTTGGAGGAGCATCAGCCTTGGTTGTTATTTCAACAGGTGAACTTTTCGCTACAATTTCTCCTGAGTCGTCTTTGTTGATACTCAGATGAGGGACCATCCTCCGACGACTGTGACGTCTAGTCTTCTCTGCTTCTTCTTGGTCAATAATTTGCGCAGCCTCTTCACCGTCAATGTTCGGAAGTTCTCCCAGAGCATCTCTTGTTTTTTGGACAAGAAGATCAATTTCTCTTTGTTTAGAATCTTCGTAATCTTTGTCTGTCAACTTCCATAACTTCTTTTCCACTGTATCATACACCTGCTGCACAATGAACCCAGGGTGCTTCGTCCGGATTGGAGGTTTTTTTTGGGGAGGGATAAAATGAACAACACACTTATGCATGACTGATTCTGCTGGAACTTCATCTCTGTGGAAGCTGTAGAAAAGCTCACGGGAGTCAGATGAGGTCCATGAGCCTCCACCTTTTTTTTCCGCCTCCTCTGGTCGATAGAACCACTGACCTGTCACAGCAACAGTTCCGTCTTTCGCCTGCTTGATCTCCTGACATGTAGGAACAGAATGCTCATGTTCAGATCCAGTAAAAAAACTGGGTTGCAAAAACACACCCTCTCTCCCTACGTTCGCATATATGCCCAACGGACACCAATTCACACTCCAGTTTCAACGTTGCAACCAAGATTGCTGTTACGCTCTCACACCGTAGGTGATGCCTTGAGAATGTACGAATGTATTCTATCTAAGCTTACATAATGTCTGCAAAGCCCTCATGATCAGTACGCACTATCTCCATAAACTCCATTATACTCCATACTGAATGAAGAGCGACATGCATCCAAAGCTGATATGGTAACTTAAAGATCTTCGTTGTCTGTGAAAGGCAAAAAAATTGGACGGGTATCTTTCGAACTCGAAATACAATGCACTTGTAACAAACACATGAACCACTTTGAACTCAAAACAGGTGACGAGGCCGAATTCAAATATAATCAGTACCTTGATGATGGCAACATATGGCTTTTGTCCCGACTCAGCTGGAGCGACAAGAACTGACTCCTCCTGCAGTACAATTCGATTAAGCTTTCAAGCACCAGAAATTATATCCTTGAAGAAAACTGTCTGAGAACTTTTGAGTGACTTCGGCTAGCAACTTACAACGATTTCAACTGTGACATGTCTCCTCTACTCTCTACATAAAAGTTGACTGACTGTCGAACATTCCATCATCTGGTGTGGACTGACAGATAGCTTGACTTTCCTACAAGCAATACTTTCAACGGCATTACTAGCAACAAAATACAACAAGAACAAATTTAACGGCAGTTTGTGAAACTTCTTGCAGGTGGGAAAACCCATGCACTTGAAAGGTCAGATATCTAGCATAAAGTAAACACACTTTCAGCCTTTCTTATTCAGAACTATGCAAGGGACGATTGATTCATAATAAATTCAAAGCTTCAAGAAAACAGCATGTACTTTCAGATCTTGAATCGAGAAACTTCCAGTTTGTGTTTCCATGAACCCAGTCGCTCTAGCCGTATTAGAATGCCTAGCCTGTGTAGCCTGCGGATCTAGCCTGCGGGTCTACATACATTCGTCGAAACACAGAAGGTAACATTTGCACCCCGAGTTATGCAGCCTCGAAAATTTCCCCATATCCATTGATCCAGACCATCGACACAAGTTCTAAGCCAGCAGTGAGACACGGGTATTTGAAAAATCTCATCACTGATTTGGTAGTCGGCAAAATATGAAGCTGCTCTCAGTCCTACATGTCTTCTCTTAAGTGAACCTTAAGTAGATCTCTTGTATTTCTTCTAGCTACTACTGATTTTATAACCCAGTGTTGCCTTTGTTGACAAGAAATTGTTCAGGAGTACATCTAGATGATAATATACATCTTCAACATCAGGTTTTGTCAATGAAAAATATGAAACAGATATTATGCTTGGAATTCGGAATTTGCTGTAAGCTTAAACCTTAAGAGTTTTGCGAGAAATTGGAGACAGAGATGAGGACGCACCAGGGCATAACGAGTATTCTCGACCTCAAAAGCTCCATAATGCTTGCGTTCAGCCTTTCCTTTGTTGGAACGCTTGATAACTTCTCCGATACACTTCACTTCTATCGGTTCCTCATCGCTCACTCCAGCTTCCACTTTTGTCACATCTTTTTCCAAAGATTTTGGTGACAGAGCGTCCTTGCCTCCACTATCTGTCTCTGTTGCCTGAGACAGCTTTCTCCTTCCAGAACCTGGGCTTTCCTTCATCTGCGTAAACTTCGATAATCACACTTGTAAGTTGATTGCTCATGGAGAAGCAAGTAACTTAAACACCGGCAAGCTTCACATGATAAATCCTCCCTAGCAGTCACAACTTTTACAAAATTGCTCTATATGAATATGAATGCAATTACAAAAGGAAAAAAAAATACAAACAAGTGATCAGCCGAACACAGAAGAACAAATATTTGTCCAAAATTCGTTACCCAGTACCCAAGATACAACAGAACCGAAGATTCTGAAGGTTTTCTTTCCTCTGATTCAGAAGAGAAAAAACCTCAGAAGCTCAAGGCCCAATTCTTATTCCAGAATTAGTACTCACAGGAAAAGATGTAATTTACAGACGCAATTCACTGACAGCATCAAAGAACAGATCAAATGAACGACTGAGATCCATTTAAGTCATAACCACAATGAAGAGAGTAGAGCATGACGTATGATAATCTGAACGTTTATCGAAAACTCAAGAAACAACTTTCGTCACAGAGACGTTCCTCACCTAGATCAACGGTAAACCGAATTAGCAACAGCAACTACACTCGTGGACTGAAGCAAGTAGCCGTAGACTTCAGACGGGCAGCGCCGCCCAGGAAATCGACCTCGACGATCAAATTGAAGTGTCAGAAGTGGGCTCTCGCAGATTCTCGTGCCAGTCAGTCAACCCAATGCATGAAAGCGACACTGAGAAAGATTTTCTCTCGGCTTCCATTCCTGAAGAGCGTCCTGGCCTTCAAGACATCGACGCCGTCGTCGTCCTGGCGTCGACCGCGAGGACACGTGGACCGTTGCGCCTGGCGCTCCGGACATCTGTGTTGGACGTTGATACGCTCTGGGCGCTCGATTTGAGTTGTCAACGTCCGGAACGCGGCACGTGTGGGCGAGTGAGGTGGATAATGAATGTCGGAGGTGCTCGTGAGTCAGATGCGCAGGGTTTGCGCGACGCCGTCGGATCAGACCAAGTTCGAATTCAGGCTGCGAGGTCCAATTATGCGCAATTCTTTTGCCCTAATAATCCTTCGATGACATTTTGATGGAAATATTGACTTTCATGTCACTTTTGTTGCCGATGAGAAGATCTACTTCTCTTCTCTATTTCGACAAAACACATTTGGGAGACAAGACAGCCATAACCATCTTCGTTAGAGATTCTTACGCAAACTTCTTCGTTGCAGAGACGTGAAAAATCCTTTATGTCAGCTTGAACTCATTCCGTTTTTGGCAGCAATAATGTGTCAACATAGTCTGAGAAAATCCAAATGCTTCGACTTGCATTCTGCTATCTTTGCGCTGTCAAATTTTGCCTTCTCTCGCTGATTTAGGTAGTTATTCAAAACTCGGATCTTACCAAATTACAGACGGGATGTTGGACCAATTCATCAACCTTTTGTCCAACAACAATGGAAACAGTCAAATGAGGTTGCAGAAGCTCCGCATGATAAGCTAATATTTTATCTTCCCTTTTTCAAATTTTTTTAAAGTACAGTTTTTATTTTATATTTTACTATCGTTCCTCAATATACGTTTATATTCTTCTCAATAATTAATCATTCTTTATACTTTATTATCGAAATATTATATTCCGTACATGATAACTTATACAATCAAGTTACCAACCTAACTTTAGGCTTTATCTTTTAACCTCCGGTCTGCCGTTTCATTGCATCCACTATATGATGGGTTTGCCTCGTGTCTAATTAGTGTCTAAATGCATCCACTTATTTGTGTCGATTCGCATTTTTTGTACCTCTAAGCAGTACCTGCGTTATTTCGAGGGATCTCACGGCTGAAACCACATCATGTACGCAGAAAAAAGCTCAGGAGAGCATCAACAATAGATTGGCCCTGGTAGTAAAGAGCGGAAAGTTTACTCTCGGATACAAGACCACATTGAAGTCATTGCGCGGTGGAAAGGGTGAGCATCACCTGGTGAAATCTATGAATTATCTGACCGATATATTAGGACGGTCAGGGAGATGTGATTTCTTATTTCCTTGTGATTGGTGGCAGGCAAGCTCATAATCATCACAATCAAAAACGTCCTCCTTTGAAGAAATGAGAAATTGAATACCACGTCATGCTCTCCGAGACCGGTGTGCACCACTACAGTGGAAGTAAGAGTTCACATTTAACATAATTGTTGATGATTCCGAATGTCACATTTGATATTTAGGTTTTGAAATCCCGGGTGGATGGCATATCTAAACTTTCCGGAGGAGATTTGTCTGCCGGGTTTTTATCATTATGCAGTTCGGCTTATCGTCTTACCAAGATGCCTCATGTGGAAAATCAGCTAGCGAGGCTGGTGTACTTTTATATGTATGATGCGGTACTGTATTGGTTTGAATGTGTAGAAAGCGTCAACCTGGGAACTGCCTGCGGAAAGTACTACCGAGTTTTTTGTCTCAGCATCACAGACCCTGGTAAGAATCAACTCACCTTCGTGACCTCAAGATCTGTGGAAGATTGATCGTAAGTGGAAGGTTTTTTAGGATGAATGTATGTAGAGGTATCTGCGGAGTCTTGGAGTATGCATAGAGTTTCTAGAGTTGCCAATGAACTCAGTTGTTCTGTAGTTTGTGATTATTATTTTGTTATACGTTCATACAGGCGATTCGGACATCATCATGTCATTGCCCACCGACTAACTTCTTCCATCTTGATGTGTTGGAGGATGCGAATTGTTAGATAAGAAGTGGAAGGTATAGTTAATATCGGGAAGAAGTTCTATGACTGAATTGAACTCAAAATGAAATGAGAAGAGTGTTGATCTTTTTGTGGTAGATCATCTTGAAAATAGTGTGTGATAGAATCAGCAATTCTTACTCCGTACTGAATCCATCGGAAGCTTGTGAAGAGGTTTCTGTTCTATTTTTAGTGCGATGGTCCTGTTTGAGCTAGACTTCGGTACCTAGGAGTTTCCTGGATCTGACTGCAAATTTTCTTACCAGTTTGCACAAGTTACAGCAATCTTTAGATGAACTTGTTTTCACTCGGAAAGTCTTGTGTTGTGTCCTATTGGCTCCTTTGTGAGCTACTTGGTTTCACAGTGTTCCTGTTATCCGTTCTCACTATATTGGTGAATATTTTCATGCCTGATAGCAAAAGGTTCAGCGATTAGCGTAAGGTGAATAGAGAGTTTTTCACTTGAGAAATCCTCCTTTGTGTGTGCGTGAACTTACATGTATGGAAAATTTGTCACCTTAAAATTGATCACTTGTCTGCTTCCTTTGGTGAAGTCATTTACCCAAGAATTTCACCGAAGTTTGAAACAGATGAAAACAACTCGATTGCATTTAGCGTTCGATCATGATGAAGGAACAAGGGCAATTATATATCTCCAACAGGGATACGATGAAGTTCTGACCTCATACGCAACGATTACCCATAAGAAGCATGAAGTATTTACTGAGTTAGATTGTCGTGGGGAAGAACGAAAGGGTTCGAGTAAGAGTGAGGTGAAGAGTGTAGTGTTCAAGTATCACGAGGAGGCTTGTAAGTCATGTCTACACCAGGTAACCTTATTGTGCAAATCTGCCGAAGTATGAGAGTGGGCTCCGTGTGGAATGCCTGTTGGTTGAAAGCACAAATGAAAATTTGGCGAACGCTCTGCTGCTTAATTTCGGAGTTGCTGAAATTACACTGAAGCCCCTGTAAGAACAGAGTACAGCTCTGAACTCAAGTCACGTGCAATCAACTTATGTGATCTCAAAACTATAGTCCCAAATTTTCCTTAAAAGATTCACGTTACGTAGTCAGGTAGGGCAGAGTCTATTACCAACCGACGAACAATTTAATCCGAAAGAGATGACTCGAAAATCTTCTGATGAATTCAACTTTGCACAAAACTACAACAGATTTCTGACGCTATGTAAGGCTTCACCTTCTGGCCCCTGACAGTGAAGGGGGGCGACTTTACGATATGGGGTTGTCACAACAATGGAGAAGTGAAACTGGAGAAAATGCACCGATTGCACCGATTGGATATCCGGGCCTGCTGTTGATACTCCGATGTATACACACCCTTGTCTCTCAAGCAGATTGACTTGTCAAACCAAAAAATGAAGCACATCTGGTTCTCTTCTCTTTCACTCTTCTGTCCAGCTAACCATTCAGCCTCGGTTTCCATCTCTCTTTCACATAGTTGTTGAGATGACAGTACCCAGTCAACTTTTATACTCTCCTGACATTACAATCTATCCGCAATTTCGGAGTTACTACACATGTAGAGAATCTTTACACAAGTCAACAGGGGGGAAGTCGAACCCCAGCGTACCTCTACCTCTAAGGCATGACTCCTGTGCATGTCACTTGTCAGAACACTATGAAATCTTCTTACAGCCAGAAAATTCAACTGTGGTGGGTGGGACGGTCAATGATTTCAGTGCACTTCCAAACGTTGCGTCAGTAATCGGCATAGAAAACTCATAGTGTCTGATAAACAAGTACAAAGCGGATAGGAAGACCCCATTAGTCTAGCATAAAAATATCAAGTGGGTAACGTGAAGCTAGATCCCGTAGCATCACAATACATACCCATATGCACTAAACATGAGCATCCGAATGAGCATGACCTAACAACACTATTCTATCGTGACTTGCACTAGCTAATGCTTTACGAACAGCAATAAAAATGTATTTATCACAAATATTCTACACCATAATCAATGTAAATTGATAAATATAATAATATATTCTATTGCGTCACCTCACAAGCATTTGAAATTTATAGTACATAGTTTCCTCGTATTTTAGCATTAGATGAAACTCAGTTTAAAACTAGAAGAACTAAGAGATAAACTCTGAATAACTTTTCATACTTGCATCTCTTTTATATTGTTCTTCATTTGATCCAAGAGGATGGGCAACTCTCATTATCACAACTTCGATACGACCAAGTTTGTGACCATAAGCTCATGATATCGAACTAAGTAAGAAAACCATTAGCATTGATAAGGATATGCATAACAAGTTACCACAAACTTAGTGACACACATGATGAATGAGGTGTTATGACATTTTATGTGACAAAATTCTATGCATTTTGTGATATGATGAAACTTTTTTAACATATCTTCTGCGTAAATTGTAAATATAAGTCTTTCTGTAATCAAAAGCGAGAAGACAACAATTATAGAGAGAGTGCATACCTAACCTCTCCTTCCACATCATCATCACATCATCAAGATAAGAGGCTAACCTCAATCGTTTGTTGAGGTTACTCTCTTGGCTATGGACCTCATTTGTGACGTGAGTAACTTTGCTTTGTGTTTATAACTATTTAATCTTTGAATGTTGATAGATTGAGTACAAAACTCATGTGATAAAGTTGATTGATCGACGAGATTCCGTGCCCACTCTTACACAAATTAATTTCTTTTTTCTCATTATTTTCCTCCCTTTTTTACTTTTTTTTTATTAGTGGAGATGAGGAGTAATCTCATGTGACAACAAATATCGCGCTTTCATCTCTTCTTAGTTCTGCCATCTGCAACGTTCTCCTCAAGGCCAAGTCCACTAATCTCCGCCTTCTCTTTAGCATTCACATCTTTATAAGTTAGTCAATTGGATGCTACACATTTGATTTTAATCGAGTTATACCAATTGAAGTATTTGTTGGTATGAATACATAGGCATCAAAATATGTACACATTTGAGGTAGCTCGATGAGGCTATGTACAGAGGGACAAACCACTAGGATAATGTTTATCACAGTGTTTCAACTAGCCCTCTTTTAACTACTGAAAACCAATTTAATTAGCATTTTACTACAGTAGTAACTTGATTAGAGTTTAATCTAGGACTAAATTCCAAAAAAATTTGTCTTTGTGACATTTCTATAATTATGAATTGAAAATTCAGTTAATGTGTATCTTATGTCAGATTATAAATATTTTTTGTGATATTTCTAACCAAAACTTGATAATTTGATTTAGAAAAATGAGGTACAGAGCATTGAAAAATGCATAGATTACTTGTGCTATACTTTTTTTTAAAATGGCAAAACATCAAGATTCAATTTTCAAAATTTTCAATCTAGAAAAAATACAACACACTTTTTCTGGCTGTAGTAACGATGCAAAATTTGATATAAGGCAGTTTAGGGAGGGTTTAGGGTTACCCCTAAACCCTGACTCACAAATATGAGGAAGACTTTTTTCTATTTATTAATTCATACCAATTATTCTGAAGCTTTAAAGTCTTTTGGACTGATACATAGTATATCAAGCACACTCACCAAATAATGTAGACAGTTGATTTTAAAACAACATGTAATGAAATCCTTGAATCACTGTTAAATTGGTTGTCTTCTTGAATTGCTGTTATTTCCCAAGAAATTCAGTTTTCAATGATGATCTCTTAATATATGTTTCATTCTAAAACTTTTCGAGGAAATGATGAGATTTGTCTCATTCATGATCCGATGGTGAATCAATCCTTTGAAAATATTAGACATGGAGGCGGTTCTTTTGCTTCACTGCCAAGCCAGATCTCAATCCATGAGTACTTTCAGTTCAGAAAGCGAACCTTTTCCTCCAAATTACCTCGCTGGTCTGCATCCAAACTCTGGTGACATGTAAACGGCATGCTTGCACTAGACCACGTGAGCATGTGTCTAATTCACTAGCGGGTTTATCATTATCAATCACCGCATTACTTTCACTGCGGACAATATTATAGTGTCTAAGCCCACCGTAATGGGCTAGGCCCATCATATCCCTTCGGTTCATCCGCGTACGACCTGATGGGTCTTCCCCTCTTTTGGCTGTATTACTCGGAACCCCCACCATAATGGAGACCCTGGATCCTGTGTCGTCTTCGCAATGGCACACACGCGAAAAAGCGAAAGAAAAGATTCAAAGTCGCGGCCCACGTAATAAATGATAGAGATTGCGAACGGAACGATTCTGCTGACGTCATCCGCATCACCTGGATCCAGACGGTTCGCGTATACAGTAGGCTCACATTTCCGCCCGTACATCTCAGTACAGTACAAAGAGCCCCGACGGCGAGGCTCCTCTCTCTCGCTCGCTCGCCCGCCGTCCTCCAGCCAGAGTCCACTTCCCTCCAAGGCCCGTCAGTCTGTCAGGCGGTCATGCGCCGAATTCAGCGCGGACGTCGTCCACCGACCCCATCCGCCCGGTCCGTGCCCAAGGCGGACGTCGCATGGCAGCCGGGTCTGCGAGATCTCCGAGCAGTTCCCCGCGAGACATGAAAGTCCAAACCGAAGGAGCGGGGCTCCGCTCCTTCGGGCAGGGAGAGGTCTGATTGCCTTACGCTCCTCCGGGCACGTACATCGGGCCGGTAAAAAATCATTTCCGCCGGTGGAAATCATCATCGGTCAGACAGGGAAGGACCTCCCGTCCCCTTCCCCCACTCCCGGCGTCCGATTGGCCCATACTCCCGGAACGCAATATATTTCCACGGCCGCGGAGCATGCCCTGGATCGAAACCGTCGAAAACAAACCTCGTGTAGATCCATCCATCCATCCATCCATCTATCTATCGGCGCCGGTTCCGGTTCTGGTTCTGTAGCCGAGAGGAAGGACCGAGCGGAGAGAACGGCCAACGCCAAGTAAGTCCGTTCGTTCGGCGGAGGAGGAGGAGGAGGAGGAACAAGAAAGAAGAGCGCGAGAGTGAAGAAGAAGCGTCGCAGGTGAAAAAGGAGGAGGAACGTTAGGGCAGGACGTTGGACCGCTTAGTATGGCGGAGGAGGAGCGCGTGGGTGGGTCGTTAGACCTCGGCTAGAGAGAAACTGACTCTCGAGCAGACGAGAGCAGAAGCGCGGACTTGCAGTTTGGGTTTGTTTGAGAAAAGAAGCACTTTAGTAACAGAATTAGCTGGATCTGTAGTTGTGCCGGGCACCGAGACAGATTTTTGCGCAGCTGGGAGCCTTTCTTGCAGCAGCAAGGCCGGAGCCCCAGAACGCAGCAGAGTTGCAGCAGAGCAGCGCAGAGCATCACCATCAGGAGGCGGAGCAGGAGCTGCTGCTGCTGCTGCTGCTGCGAGGAGAGGAGACCGGATGGCGAGGAGGGAGGGCGGAGGATAAAAGGGAAGGATGTGCTGCCGGAGGGCTCTGCGCGTGCTGCTGCTAAGCCGAGCGGGCCGTTGATGCAGGCGAGAGGGCGAAAGAATGTCCAGAGCCAAAAGTAAGATTGGATATGACAGTTTGCTCGGCGGTGCGGACTCTGAGCGTCGTCGGCAGCGTCGTCATTTGAAAATGCGTGCTTGAATATATGGTGGCCGCGGCTCGCCTTGGACACGGGGATTGGGGACAATTTTGGTTGGAATAAGGAGGAGGAGGAGGAGGAGGAGGGAGGGAGGGACAGGGGAATGGGTGACTTGTAACTGGCGCTAAAGCAGAGCCAGTAGCAATGCCCGGGTTCTGAGAGTGTGATATACGAGGCAAGAATGGTGTCAGTGAAGCATGAGAGGAAGTGGAGGCGAGCAGGAGGGTCCCATGTTCTGAATTTTCCGTAGAAGGAAAGAGAAAAAGTGCTGCGGCAGCATCAGCCAACGCAATCTGCTTGACACTCAGCGAGTGTGAGGTTTTTTAGAACTGCAAGTGGGCGAGAGCAAGCGAGGCCAAAGTCCTCAGCTTACCGGGGTAGTTCATTCAGCAACCGTAACTACCCGGAACAGAGTTCGCTCTGCACCATTGCTTAGTAACTCGGTCTCAGAGAGTAGAGAGTAGAGAGAGGTAGAAGGTGAGGGGGAGGAACAGAAGAGTCAAGGCAACGAACTAAAGGTTGAGAGAAAGAGAAGGAGAGAGACCGAGAGAGAGAGAGAGAGAGAGAAGAGCGGTGCGTGAGGGCAGTTGAGCAGAGCAGCGGCACACCAGCAAAAGAGTGCCTCCTCTGAGTTGAGGTATATTGTGACCGGGCGATAGTAGACAGTTTTTTCTTTCTTTCTCACAGCTCTGCATCGATTTGCAGCACTCGGTGAGGTCTCAGGAGCACGCAAAGATCTGACAGGCAATCCGTATAACTAAGTTATTCGTTCGGTCCTCCTTCTGTATGCCGAATAGCTGAGTCTTCAGCTTGACATTACTTCTCGAAGATAATCGTGGCGGACGAGATGGCTTCCTCGGCAGCACCACAAATGTATCCTCCTCAGCAAATGCAGCAGGCACAGCAATATCAGGCTCAGCTAGGCTACACCAATCCGTATCAAGCTGCTGCTCCTGCAAGTTATAACCATATTGTTCCTGCCTATGGGCAAGTTCCAACTTCCACTCAGCCCCAGCATTTAGGAGGAGGGCAGCAGCAGCAGCAGCAACAACAACAGCAACAACAACAGCAGCAGCAGCATTCTTATGCGTATGATTCATCTTCTAACGGATTAAAGAGATCCTCTGATGAAGGTTGGTATGCATTCTCCTCGTGGTTGGAGCCTTGACACAGGCTGTGCATTTTGTAGCATGGTTTGCCCTCTGGAGATTTATTTGCTTAAGTCGTAAGCTGAAGAGTAGATCAGGCGGGAAACCAATGCTTCCCTTGTGTACGCACAGTAATTATATAGATCCTCACTGCTATTTACTCCTTGCTATACTCATGGAGTCTGCTCGCTCACAGTGTCCACCTGTTAATTAGTCCTTTTCTCACATTAATTTCTTTATCAAGAATATCAAACATTTTGTCACTTGTGTTCTAATCTGTTGTCTTGAGTCGCCGCCATCACTCGTTAGTACTCCAGTACATATCTACTACATCTATTTTCGAAATCTACACCCACATGAGTCTTCCTCTCTTCATGCTCAAGATTCCCAGGGTATTTTATGAATTTGACCCTGGGTTATTTTCTATTTTCTTCATCTCTTTTCCACTCTGGAGAGTTTTTGTACCCTGATGTATGCTCCGGAAAGAGGACTGCATCGCTTCACATTATTTTATGACTACAGTCAAACTCGATATAAGGATACTCCTTATAAGGATAACCTCGTAGATAAGAATATTGTTTGCGGTCCCGTAGATTCTAGGCGCCAGAATAAGGATACCTTGTCCGTGAGGATTTCCTTAGTGATTCACTGTCCCAATTTCTGGACCTCACGCGTATTTTTTACGTCTAAATCCACAACAACACAACCACCAAAATGGACGACAAGAAACGGCATAGAGCCTGGAGCGATTCTGAGAAATGCACTATCCCGAAGCGCTTTCAGAGTACTACCAGTCAGTCACAACATGAAGTTGCTTACCAGTTCACGAAGAAGATTGGCCACTCGGCTAGACAAGGTCAAGCTTTGGAAGTTACAAAAGGGGAACATTCGCAATATGCGTGCATTAGATGAGATTGAGGTCGAGATGGATTGTAACAAGACTTCTACAACTATTCAGACTACACTCTACAGCTTTTTCACGTCTAAATAGGCCATCTTTAATATAAGGATATCTCGACATATCCTTATAGTCTCACGGTCCCGATCGTATCCTTATATCGAGCTTTGACTGTAAGACTAGATTAACAACGTCGACTCACTATTTTTGTGAGTACACATACAGATGCAAACTGCTTTCGTCAAGTTTCCCTTTTCACCAAGGTCTTCTTTTACATAGCCCTAAACCCACACCACCAGACCGAGGTTTGCAAAGCTTCTCATTTCTTGTGATGCCATTCCTTCTGGTCTCGTTCTACTTTCTTGACTTGGTCTTGAAGCCAGTATGTTCCTTTACTCAAAATTGATGTTGGCTAGATTTTTGCTTTCAGTACTGGCTGTAACCTTTTCAGCCAGGATGGGTGAGGCCTCGACGTTTGGACGGCGTTTTCGCGTCTGAACATTGCTCGCAGTTCCTTGTACGCAGAGAGTACCATTATGTTTTATACTCTGCATTTTGAGAAATCTCGTGACTTCTTATCCATCCCACTAAAACTACACGGGTATCCCGGCCGTTCCTAGGACATTTTTGGAAGAGTATTAGTAAGCGTTTCTCTTACTTCTAACGTTAGTATGTCACGTAAGCGTTATACGCTTGAAATTAGGCATGTCATTGAGTGATGTAAGATAACAGATGACTCGAGTTGGAGATTATATCACTTGACAATACAACTTTACACAATGTAATACTTGTTCCGATGTATATTCCGTTCTTGGTGAAGAAGGTAGTATGTTATGTGTTCTTGAACTATATATATGCACTCATCTAACTGGACTACTTATCCACGTTGATATGTATCAGCTATCTGACCATGGGTCTTGTTGCGATTGCATTGGTACATACGTCTATTACTACTGGTGAAATTGATGGCTACTACACTGCTTGGTATCTGCGTTTATCTATACCATGTTGGTTCATTTCATATTTCGCTCTTCTCCAAACGGTATTCTGCAATATTACGGTATCATATTTATATTTCAAAACTTGAAATAATTCGTTCATTTCACCTTTTCTTTCTCGCTGGTTATTGAAACTAAATGGATGTTTTATCACTGGGATGCACATTACTATCCTTTGCTCTTTTTGGAATGTTTTTGGAATGTTATGCTTATTTAAACGTTCTGAATAATCGTGGTTACTATTCACATAAATGACTTGTCTGCAACGTGAAGCCTTGCAATCAGTTGACTTGTATTCTAAGCGGCCACGGCCGGACAGTGCTGGCACTGTTGCCTTCTATCCACAGAGACCTGGAGAAAAGCTTTGTTCTTTCTATATGACCACACGTACTTGCAGCTTTGGAGTCACTTGTAAATTTGATCACCCTGCTTGGGTGCCTTTTGGAGGCATACCAAATTGGAAAGAGGTATGCTACTGCATTCAAATTCCACCGTGTAGATTAGTTCGTGTGTTTCTCTCTGCCTTTGTTTTGTGCGTTTTAGGTGTACTAATGCAGTTGTTTGTGCAGTCCCTCATGTTTACCATTTTGTGATTGTATATACAATAGCAGTTTTCCATATTACTTGTCTGTCTAAGGGACTCGATTAATTATCTTGTCTAGCGTTGATGAACATACCAAAGTTTCAATCCGATGACTGGTTACAGGTCACTTCATCAGGAAATGCCGCCTCGGCCACGGATCCTGCAAATCTGCCTCAACGACCTGGGGAGCCCAACTGTTCAGTAAGTTTTTTTTTCAAACTGACTCTTTGACGCCGTAACCAACCAATAAAGACTATTGAAGACTTTTTACCTTATTTGAAGACTTTTTGTTTACCGATAAGTTTTAGATATAGGCTTGTTTTATAGTCATTCTTTCAAATTTTCTGATCTGAATCATCCCGTAAAGCAAACGAATGCTAAGTACTGATGTACTTGGTCTTGATTTGCTGTGTCGGATTTGCAGTTTTATATGAAGAGAGGTGAGTGTAAGTATGGGCAAAGGTGTAAGTTTAACCATCCCAAGGAAAGACGTGAAACATCAGCTGACTCAGCTGGAAGTAGCAAAGAAGAGGGTTCTCAAGGTGCACAAAACGAGGCAGCTACTAAAAATACAGGTGGCGGAGTAAATGGAACTGCCGGAGCAAATGGAACTTCAGCGAACAATGGGACTACGGCAACGAGTACTTCCAAAACGACCTCAGGAGGAGTTCAGATGAAAGGACATTCAATGGGAGATAGGGGTTCTGCAAAATCAGCCCCTCTGAACTCAAAAGGCTTACCTTTGAGACAGGTATACAAATGTGTTAATTACGCCAGTCTAGTAGCCAATGTGTACATAGTTCCCGCTGCTCTTATTGAGTCCTTGTTTTTGATCTTACTAGTAAAAAATCACTTCAAGCTTAGCAAGTATGAAGATTCCTTGATCGCATGCCTTGAGATCAAGGCATGCGAAGTTTCTTTTTACATAACTTTTAGCTTCTGTATTTCATATAAAGATATAGAGGATAGATTGTTTAATTACTCTAATTACCGTATTCTGTATGACAGTAAGGTCTTTAGGTTGTCCTTCTCTGACGAAAGTCTACATATTTATACTTAACTAGAAGGTTCGAGTATTTCTAAACTATTTACAGCACATACTTTAATGATGGTCTGGACTAATTTTTGCAGGGTGAGAACGAATGCACTTTCTACCTGAAGACAGGAAGGTATGTTTCTGCCTTTCGGTAAAGTGGACTAACTCATTGACAAAAGTTCCTTAGATGGAGACACCATATATACTTTTGACGAGCAGAAGCTCCTTCAATCTAGAGAATTGTAGTTTCATTGCTGGTTTAAGTCTGAGGTGTGCAAACGCTCATTTTAACGTTTGTCTGTGTGGTTGCAGTTGCAAGTATGGAGCTACTTGTAGATTTAATCATCCGGAAATCCCCAGTAAGTAAATTTCAGTTCTCATCTGGGTTCACCTATCGCTGTACGCATTACAAAATTTACACTGTCTATGTTCAATTTGAACTTTTGACAAGTAACGTCTGATTTATTATCCATCTTTGCGAATCCGATCATTTTGTCTCCGTCCGCTGCCATTTTAGCATATTTCCTCCCACGATCTGCATGCAAATGTGGTGTAACGATGACTTGTTCAAGTTTTGTCATTTGCATATTATTTGCATTTTCTTTGCATTGTCTTTGGGTCTCCGTCATTTGTTACTCTCAGCATTCTTTTCCTCATGTGTATTGTTCTTATCCGTCTCAGTCAATATCAAATTTGCGGATACATTGCTGTTATCTCAATCTGCTAGACAGCATAATATGAAGCTACTCCCATCGGGTAAATCCAGTGTTGATCGTTCCACACTTATCTCTCATTGCGCAGGTAGGAGAACAGGAGCGCCTGTGCCAACTCAGAGTCATCAGTCTCCAAACGTAATGCCCCAGATGCCATACGCAGCCACTGGGAGCTATCCATCTCAAATTCAACTCACTAATATGGGACAACAAGTGACATACGCTACGGTAATGTTTTCTTCATGCTTAATAACCTCTTTACAGGTGTCGATAGTTATCATTCTGGATTACGAACAAATTGAGTTGTCTAATCTATCTAAAATTTCTAAGATATTTCATTGATTTAGGTTTCCAAAAGTCCAAACTCATGAAGATCGGAGCCATACCTCCTCGTATAAGAAGAAGCTCATCGAATTGATCTTTGTAAGAACTTTATAATGTCATGAACAATCACCGTCTTATTTTCCGAAACGCTTGCTTTAATCTGACACTTACCCAGGAAACAGAATATAGAGAAAGTGTGTCTGATAGTTTGGCCATAGACTCTTCAACTCAGACAACAAAAATCCGTTGCAGGCGGACATGAAGTCGCATGATTCACAAGCTGTAGCTGCTGCTTATTATCAGCAGTGGCAATGCCAAACGGCGCTGGCAGAAACAAAACCAAATGAGATGTCAGCTGTAAATATATCCTCGTATCAACAGCAATGGCAGACTGCTCCAACCCAGACTGATGCAAAAGCGGGTGATTCATCGGCATCGAAGTTGCCAACTTATACTCAGCACTGGCAATATCCACAGCCCGTTCAAACAGAAATGAAAGTGAGCGATGCATCCAATACTTTGACTACTCAATACCAGCAACAGTGGTCATGCACGCCGCAGACAGACGCGAGAGTCAACGATGCATCGGCTCTAGGGACCACAGCAATGCAACAACAGTGGCATGGTTATGGCAGTGCTAGTTACGGGGATGCGACATCAACTTTAGCAGCATCCCAGTATCAGCAGCAGTGGCAGTGCCCGCTTGGACAGACAGACACGAGAGTCAATGATGTTACTGGACTCGCCTTAGGATCCTCTCCGTATCAGCAACACTGGCAATGTCCGCAGACACAAGCGGACGTTACAGTCAGTGCTGGACAAGCCACAGGAACAACTCCTTACCAGTGGTCGTATTTGCCACAGCAGGCAAATGTGAAAGTAGCTGAAGGAACACCTATTGTAATGGCTCAATACCAGCAACAGTGGAAATACATGCCAGAGCAAACTCCCATAAATGACGCACTGTCTGTAGAAACGTCCCCTCCAGTGAAAGTAGATGTGAGTGGTATAAACTATGCGGGACCTCCTGTGCTCCTTCCTCCTTACAGCCGTGCCTGAACCCACTTTATCTCTCTAGGGATCTTTCTATACCCGTCGTGATTAGGAACATAGGGACAAGTAGGAAACTAAAGCTCTTGAGCTTGCCACTTTTGCTCATGATTTGAGACTATCACAATTATGTAAGCTCCTTTGAAAATATTCAGGAGTCATCATTGATGATAACTTCTTGGTGAAGTATGATTGCATCTCACAACATCTAACTATCTTTTGTATGTATATTTTTCATGCTACATTCTGATTGCTGTATCTCTATTCCAAGATACAGATAGGCTCTAAGAAAAGATTGCTCTTCTTTTACGAGGTTATTTTAGAGTGCATTGCAGATGCATCTATTTTGAATCTTTCCTGTCACTATCATGTCTTGCTGTTCAACTTCTGATTTACACTTACGTGTATTAACTTCATCTTTGTCCGCAGCCTGGCGGAGCAATATTACCCGTATCTCCACATCCGCAGAGACCTGGAGATCCAGACTGTTCTGTAAGTAAACTCAATCTTACTGGAAGTCCTACTCGGTTGCAAGTCAATAAGATAATGCGTGCTATGAAAGAGGTCAAACCTCTGGGTTTTATATTTGTACTTCCAAGGTAATTGAGTTCGTCATTTGTGTCGGTCCATCATTGCGGAGACCTGTTCTGATACATCATATATATCTATATGCATACGTCAATACGAGAAACAAAATTTCACATCAAATTGATGGCTTGAAGATGAGAGATATCTTGCTTACAATTTTAGCAGGTATTGACGAACATGCTCTTTGAACTTGACTTATTTGTCAAAACGTACAGTACTACCTGAAAACTGGAGAATGCAGCTTTGGGGCGTCCTGCAAGTTTCATCATCCTCCTGGAAGGGTGCCTACTATACCTAGAGTTGCGCCCAAACTTACTTTGGCGGGTCTACCCAGACGAGAGGTATGTCAAGCTTATAACCTTCGTATTTTTTTTACTGGGGAATTGTCCCGATTTCAGGGGTATCTAGGCAGTCCAATTTATGGGGACGAGGACAAAAGATTTTCTTCTTACGACAAAGATCTTACGTTCTTTCCGGAAGAGAATATGTGTACGCATTAAATTTTTTCAGAAATAGCTCAATTACTTCCCCCATCCCGGGGTTTGGTAATCGAAGGGTACGTTCACATTTGTAAACTGGATTGGAGGACTCTTTGCAAGAGTGTACGTGCTTGGTCTACACCTATTTTCTACAGTTTTATTATCTCTAGATCATTGTGGATCATACCTTTCTTGATTGAAGTGGAGCGGTGTACTATGAACAATCGGAGATCATAGTGCAGTCAAAGTCTTTTGAGTACACCAAATTGTGGCTACATTTTGCTCGTACTTGCTCTTGTGTGTACTATAATGATTGTTGGTTTGGTTTATAGCCTGTATTCTCGCTCACTCATGTTATCGCATTTCATGATCTCTGAGTTTCAAAATTTCACACCTTCTGTCTTTACCACTCATGCTGTAGTTCATATTATCCGTGTCCATACTTCTGGAAATTCTCAAAATGTGTTTTCACAATCATGCCCTTTTTGGAACATGACGAGCGGTTTGAGCGCACGAGGCTATCATGTAAATATAAACGTGTCATTTAAATGGAGCCGGTTGCTGTGGAGACTAGGGGATCTGTTTATTACCAGACCCCGCTCAAATACGGCCGAGTATTCTGCAGTTGTTTCCTGCTTGGTTATTTTGCATGTTTGAATATTTTCACCGATCGCATGACTTGGTTGTTGGTCCATTTGCAGTGTGCTCGTCAACAAGGATCGTTTCATATGCTTTGTTGACGTCGGCAGGTTTTTCTAGTTGGAGTTCTATTCACTCTCGTTATTCAGATTAAGAAACCCCCTTCACATTCAATATCTCCAGTTCATCTGCTGCAGTCATTTCTAGGGTAGATCTACCCTAAAATGCCCGCGGATCATCGTCTCTCCTTCCGTCTCTGTACCTGTTACTAGGTTTTACTGTTCAGTTCGTCGGCTTCATTATTCATCTTTCTTACCTTTAGAACTATTCGTAGATGTTGGGCTTTTATTTTCTCTTGATTGGACGTTTTCTTCTGAAGCCTTTGTCGGGTATGAGTCCAGCTCCCTCCAATGTTGTATATTTGTGGAAATTTTCGTTGTAAGTCCTTCGATCTTTGTCTTGTGCGATAAACCTCCGGCGCTGAACCCACACTGTCAATCACCTGCTGCCTAAAATATAAAATTTTCACGTCAAAATGTGCTTAATCTGATCGCCTGTTACAAACTGCCGTGCGCCTGCTTTACAGATTGATGTCTGCTCCTAAGTGGTTCCCTTCCAGACTGCACAAATCATGTGGTCCGCGGCAACACTCATACCTCAGAGTGTACTTCTCATTCGGCTGCTTCTCATATCTGATTGAGAGACACCAAACGCAGTCTTGTGTCGATCACCTCATCAGGCAATGCTATATACTTGTAGAATGTTGTGGTGTTATTGCGCAGTTCGCATTTCACATAATATTTTCTACAACTGATCTTTTCATATTAGCACTGCTCGGCCACGGCGCGGGCTGTGGTACGCACATACCATAAAATACAATACAATATAGTACATATTTCCAGATACGGCTTCACGTTCATCCCTTATTCCTCTATTTATCAAACATTTTTTTTTCAGTGATGCTCTTGGTGTCATATGCTTATAATCTTAATTTCTTCTACTGCCGTTCGCTGCTTTTTACATTGAGGGTTCATGGCTCTGCGCTCTGCTACCCCTATTCAAACCGCTCGAGTTGAATCTACTATTCTTGGTCATTTGTATGCAGTTTTTTCAATGCAGGTCTTACTCCCACATAACTCTTCAGTATGTTGATACTTTGGATTGGGATTGTAACATCCATGGTTTTTATGCTCTGCAGGGGGAAACCATGTGTGCCTACTACTTGAAGACAGGGGCTTGCAAGTATGGATCGACTTGCAGATTTGATCACCCTCCACCTGGAGAAGCTGCAGCTAAGCTGGCTGCTGAACCCGCGGAAGCTGCAAAGCTGGATACAGTTGACTCCGATGCAACCGATACGCCTGAGATTCAGGAGACCAAACAAATATGCAATCAACCAGCAAAACCAGCGAAATCAATGCAGTATGTCGATCTGAACCTTATCTCTAAATCGGATGATGACGAGGAAGTAATCTCTGAAGCTTAACATTACAAACTCGTAATCTCGCTCACTGTCTTCTGCCTCTTGGAATCTAGTCAACCACGCTAATTTTATTTAAACACCGAATATGGAGAGATCAGTTCCTGGTGCTGCTCAGTTTTGTGAGCAGCAACACTTACGGTTGATTTACCCTGTGAATTTTAGGGCAGATGACAATTCTTTGCAGTCTTTGGTTTCTTGAAAGTTGTCCTGGTACAAAGCTTCTGTTTTATGATGTTTTGAGTGCTAGAGTACAGTTATAACTGTTTCTTTCCTGGACATGTCTCATCGCTAATATACAATATGTCCCACGAACCTGCTGATTGTTATTTTAATTGTCTTTAAACAGTACATGGCCATTAGCTTTGATGCCTAAGTTTCTAGAAATGAAGATGATGCAAGGACGAAGTCGGATGTATATCTTGGAAAGTTAGACATGCATTAGAAAGATCTTTTTCTATGTTAATGTCCAGCGTCACATCTTGCAAATTAAAAGCTGAAGGTTTTTGTGACTTGACCACGCTAGTGCGGCATTTGGGGTCTGAATCTCATATCAATGTTTGAAATTTCTCATCTTGCTCGCGCGATGATCGAGGACGTAAGGGTATGGTTCGAAGGTCAACAATCACGGTTTGTCAGTCAGCCGATGTCGAATTTTCTTTTGCTGATGCAGTGCGCGTGTGTGGTTTCAATTGTGGACGAAGTGAGGTTCTATATTGGCTGTGGGGTACTGACCAAAACCTTTACTATCTACAGGAACTAAGATCTTCTACTAAATCGTGAATGTCATTCGGGCAACCGTGATCTTGTAAGCAAGATCAGCCTTAAGAGAGTCGTCAAGTGAACTACACGCACACAGTGTTATCATGAACATAACCTTGCTCCTCTTGTCTGCAATCTAACTCACTGTGAAGGAGGAGCAAATGGATGCCTCAAGTTTATACTGAGAATTGAGAGAACCGGTTTATATTGAGTATCTTGGACTGGTACACCGCCGGGGGTTGATGAATATGAGGTAGCACTTTCAACCCTTTTATATGTCCTCCCTAATATAACTATGCCTTTAGGACTGGCTTTGATGGAATGCGACAGCATTAGAGATTTCGCTACTTCATCAGTTGCATGTAACAAAATTTTGGGAAATACATCATGACTTTGAAAAAACAACTCATGGGCTTTCATGCGCGTAGCTGGCAGTGTCTTCTGAGATTGCCGAGTTGTTCAAGTGGTTGGAGAATGATTGGATGACCGTTTGCAAATAAACCTGGTGTGCGGAAGACTGTATATGTACTGACTTCAGCCAGTTCAATTCCTATTCAGCTCAGATATAAAGCAAACTTAAAACCTTTGCAAACTCAAAGGTTTTAGACACTAAATATGTCGAAAGGACTACGCTTGGTTTAAACCGGGTAATTGGTTATCGTGCAATACAACAGAGTGAATTTCATGTCTATACTTATTCACGTACATGATAGGAAAGTGAATTTCGTAAAATTGAATGTACCGAAAACACCTTAGAACTTCATTACATGGCAAGAATTTCATGTCTGTACTTACTCACAAAACTTCATCACATGGCAAGAATTTCGTGTCTACATTTATTCACGTACATAATAGGAAAGTAATTTCGTAAATTTGAATGTACCGAAGACGCCTCAAACTTCACTATTTATTCAGATTGAAATTCACAAAACGAGTTAAAATTTCATGATGATTTTATTTGAATACATGCCACACTGTGACTGTAAACTGTGATTATAATTACATTTATTAAATGTCAACACACTTTTACGTAGACAATTTTACGTACAACCTCTACAATCTCAAATGTCAAGTTGCGTACCGGCAAAGTTACATCAACTTGAAACTTTCCACGAAGATTCCTAATGAAAAGTCGACGTTTAAATCGATTCCTAATGACACGTCGACGTTTAAATTGTCGAACCAGATGATTGAAGTTTGCGCACAACTAATCCTTCTTCCACGGGCCGTGAAAAATTGAAATAAAAACTCTGAGTATCTGACAGCCACTACCAACATCATCCATAGCTTTCCCCCAGAGAGATACCTCGGTTCCTCCGCCACATACATACATACGCCCATGGTGGACATATGTAGCCAAGGCAGTGGGTGCGTTTCAAGTTGGCCAACCAGACCATGTCTAGGAACGTGCGAAGGCTTCAAAACTATGAACTGCTTTCTTTCCATCATGAGAAACAACAGTAACACCACTCACGAAAAGACTAGAGCCGTAAGACGTCAAAAACGATGTAATCTACAAACGAGTGCGAGCCACAGTATAACATACGACAGCGAAGGATACTAACACTAAGCTCCGCTGTTCAGAAGAAAACGCTTGAACCAAGTGCCTATGTTCAAGAAACTCTCGAACTCCGACTGAGGTCTGGATACACACGACACAGCACATGTGAGAAGCGTGGCTGAGATCAAGAAAGTCCCAAGACTGCTACATTCGTAATTGGCACCCTAAGGTGGCAAAAGAGTGAAGGGGAAGGACCGTACCTGTCGATGGCATGCATGTCTTCGGGGAAGATGATAACTTTCACTTCAAGACCTCGAGCACGTAATGCTTGCACATACTGCCAACACACGCACGATAAAATTGGTACATCCTCGAGAGTGAGACTCGCCGAGCACCGGCGAAGAGCTTACCGAATCCAAGTTCTACACAGAGACAAATGAAAGGCAGTTCGACCATGAAAGGATAGAAGGGATTGAACCTGCAATCCATTCGACGCTGGAACCCTCCGATCTTGCGCTCCCAATAGAAAAAGAGTTGGCACTTTCACCTGCTCGACCACGTGGAATTTGGCAGACAGCTTTGAGAAAACAACTCATTTACACCAAGCACGCAGATGACCATCCACTGCAAGCGCTCAAGCAATTATCTGGGTCCCCTGGTTCGCACCCATGTCTGTACGTCTGGACTGCGTGCTGCTTGCAGCTACTGAACATTGTATACCGTAACTACTCTCATCTGACACTAAGTGATAACCGGTGAAAAGTTGCGAGGAAAGCTATCGGGCGATACGGAGGCTGAATCTATGTGATCGAATCAAAACCCGACCGGACCAGTTCGTGAATTAATGATGTGCACACCTTTGATAAGTGCGCAATTGGCGACGCCTTGTAAAACATACTTAGGTCAGATATGGAAGGAGCATCAGAGTAAGCACTAAGAGCGTCTTTTCCAAAAGTCTCCACGTAACACCAGTCCGGAATGTCGGTGACCCCTATCATCGACGATAAATTGCATACAGGATTTCTGAGGACGCCGGTCACAAAAGCATCGGGAGCCTGCAAATGCGACGAAACCACGTTCTTAGAAACAAATTCCTGAAAGATAGACTTTCATTTTTTATTGAAGTCAATCTTGATCGCTTCTAGAAATCGATGGAGAAAACGAGAGAACAAACGAAGCTCAAGGATGGGATTGATCTTTACCTGGCCTATCAAATGAGACGTGAGAAAACCACCATGAGAACCACCCAGAACACCTATTCTCTGGCGTTCGGCTAGACCTTCTGATATGACATGCTCCACGGCAAGAAGCACATCATCCACATCCTTAAGAAGTAAATACCACAAACAAGTAATGTAAGAAGACGGAAGTCTCGGCAGCGAAGTCTTGCTTATCTGATCATGGCACCCGGCTCTATGCACATCCTCAATTGGAAGCCGAGTTACTAATGGGATCCCTGAGTAGTAAAAGAGCATTATACGTGGAAGCAAGACGTCTCTAAGGCTGGTGTGCAATCACATTGTCTACTTCAGTTCCGTAACCTAAAATCCACCACGGTTTCTCAAGCCGCTCCTCTTAAGGCACTTCTGGTCTGGACGAATTCTTTTTACCTGACGACCCACATTGCCCCGAAGAGATTGCAGCGCTTCCTCTCCAAATCCAGTAGAGCCTCTGTCAACGATGTTGATTTTGTTAACATGAACGTCACTGAAAGTCCAAATCTAAAGAAAAATTCAAGATCGGCAAACCTAAGTACACCTTGGAACGTGCGAACGATGAGAGAGAAAGAAGAGGGACTCCTGTTCAATATTCAAATGTTGCAAGTTTCTTTTGGAGAGTTTCCAGCGAGGAGGATGCTGACAGAGGAAAAGGAAAAAACCTGTAATTCACATGAAGTAGACTGAAACCCAAGGCGGAAAGAAAGACCAAGGGTCTTGAGTAGGTCGTTTGAGACACAGAATGCGGTCCTCCGTGGAGAACAACGATGAGAGGTGGAACGTCCGACTTCTTGGCTCCTTGAGGTTGTTTGCTGTGAAAAATCCTTGGGGAAACATATATGACTTCAATGGATGGCTTAGGACCTGCAATATTAAAATCAACTCGAATCAACTGACGTTTAAGGCTCTTCATTACTATCCAGACCAATACAAAACATGTGTACAGCAGTGGTAATCATCCGCAAACGCTTGCAAACAGCGAGTGTTTAGACGACTAGCTTAGCAGCTTGAAGCTGCCCTTTCGACACATAGAGGAAGTGAAATAAGATGTGTTTGAGTCTTGAGACAACATCTCGCTTCGAAAACATGCACTCACAGTCCCTGTGGAGAGCACACGGAGAACAAAGACAAAAGAGAGAAGAAGTACGCACAGCTAGCTCAGAGCGCTCGTCTATTCTTTAGGTTCCAACATGATTCATAACAATCTACGCTGTTCACAGAACTCTTGTTCCTCTGCTGTTCCTCCCATGCCTCCGTACCCTTCATTATTTAGAGGACACAAATCTTAGCACATCGATGTTGCGCTACAGAAACTGAACAAGGTTCCCAGTGAAGGCTAGACATGGTCACTTTAGATCTTCGTAAGCTAGTAAACTCAGACCTCCAGATTCGGAATTCGTTGGCTCGGCACGCTCAAGGGGTACTTGAAGTACTTCATAAGTCATTGTTGCTAGAGCAGTCTCCACCTGCAAAGAAAGCGTGGCTGTTACTTCGAGCCATTGAATCACACGATCAAATATCCATGCAACTGATATTTCTCGACCCTTCTGACCTCTAAAAAACTCACCTTCGAAGGAAACTTGAGAGATGGAATATTGATATTTGACCAGTCCCATTTCTTCCCCGAACCAGTATTGGTGGAGCTACTCAAGTTGTTGCCCAGCTTCAGGCACGGAGGACTGGTTGGAGAGCTGCTTACTACACACATTTTACCAACCAAGCGACACAATCAAGGCGCTGAAATATTACAATTTACAACTCATAGATTTGTCCTGCCGTTTAGGGAATGATGCTTTCCAAATCGAAACCTACCTGCCAGTACCACATCATCTTGCACTCCAAGAAGGCTCCACGAAGCGATAGTGTCGTGAGGAGTGATCCTCGTTATAGCGCCACTGCATATGAAACAGCAGAATTAGTGCAATGGCAACGACAAAGGAAATTGGCAACTCATAGTAACTCTGATCAATGGCGGAAACATACAAACCTTTCAATATTGACAGCAAGAATGACCTGCATACTTCGCCATGCCGAAGTGAAAAGGAGAGTTGAACCATCCGACAGCCAGGGTTGTGCGATGATATTTGACACATAGAGGCCTGGAAATCCATCTTCACGTGGATTCATCACTACTGGCACCTGTGATGTAAATCATCATGTTGGTCAGCAGCTCATAAAAGTAGATGTGAAGAGGACGAAGGCTGTCACTGCAATCATCAGATCTGACCTCACAAGAAGTGAGCCGATGGAAATATTTTTACAGTTCGTACATCCACAAGCCGCAGCGAGATCCGCGGCTCCTATCTACTAGCTCACGACAATATCCTGAAATCTCTCAAAGGAACACTTACGACTTCTCTCATTGGTAAATTTGCAGACACGACACCATCAGTGGGCCAATCAATAGCATTGAGGGAATTTGTTGCACAATGAGCACCACTATCGACAGCAGCTTTCGCAGACAGGAACACCAGCTGCGTTCCATCTGGACTGCACATGATCGATAAAATTATTGCTCTGTCGTATTAACAACAATATTGACCAAAAGCATCAAGAGGACAATCAGGTATGCTTGCTAAAGTTCGAACACGGAGGAGGTTACCTTCAACATGGAATCTAGAGTTAAATGATTTGAAAGTTGCCCATCTTTTAGTTTAGGCCGTGTTCTCTACCATGCTTCTTTGGACGTATGTCCGTCCCAACCTATCTTTTCAATTTCCACAGAATATAGAACGTTGAACAGCAAAGTAGTATATTTGTTCATATAACAACCTGAAACGAGGAATAACGGCACTGCTGACTTCTCCCGTCAGCTTCACAGGATGTACTGCAGCTTGCGCCACAACCCTGCAGAAAGACAATAAAACCCTAAGAACTGAATCTCGCCCTGCTAATTTGTATTCTTACGGTTCTTTAGGTACTATCAAAGTGATGACAGGCGCCTCCAACAAAACCAATCTGATGCAAAATGCGCAATCCCAGATTTGTCATCTTTTGCAAACATAGCTAACAGATATAACAAAAGACAAGTTCCACGGGTTTCTGGCACTTGAAATTTCAATCTTGCAAGGAGGCATCACAAGTTAAAAGAAATTTGGTACTAGGTACAAACAGAGGTTGCTGGTGGCATACCTGGATTCAGAAGGAGCTTCGATTGCATAAAGAGCGCAAGGCCTGTTGTAGCAGTACTTCATCCCCAGCTTTCTTGCCGTGCTGAAGTTGGTTGCATATGATGGCCATCCGACGAAAATCAACTGCTGAGCTGGCTCACCGGGCGGAGGTGCGGGTGCCCAAACAACTTGGCCGACACTAATATCTTTCGGGATACCTTCGACACGCTGCACACAACCACTGAGACCACGAACAATGGTTTAAGGTTTCTCCAAAGTACATCAGCAGAAAACGTTGACTCATGTACAACCCTCAGCTCAGCTCAAACTTCAACCTCAACGAACTTAGCTCAAAAAGAATCACAACTAAGAATCAACCGAATTCAGAATTTTGTCGCACCCAAATTATAGCTTTACAAAACCTTACCTGTTGATGCTCGCTACAAAAAGCATAGGCCTTCTTTTGCCTGTGTAAGATTCACCCCAGTCTTCCATCCACTCTCCTTGGCCCTTCCATGAGCTAGCATCCGATTCGGCCTCCGACCTGCTACTACTCTGGCCTGTTGCGAAGAGAGACTGGCCATATACTGGTAATGGTGCAGATGGCTCTTCTGCCACATATGCAATACTTTCCTCATCATTACTCCACGATACACCTTCAAACCTGGATGATGGGCAGAAACTTGTAGTGAGCATTGCAGAAGTGGAGACCATTCAGTTTGCACTCAGACTTGACACTTCGAGAGAAGAAAGAGATTTCATCAAGATACTTGTCTCTGTACGCACCATCCATCTGCATAAAGAGAACCATGAACGGAAGGGGCCACAAATAGCTCCTTCAACAGCTGTCCAGGGCCCCATATTTCAAGCTTGATTGCCGCAGGACCCTCTTTTGCAATGGGGTCTGCTTTTCGTACGATCAAGAGCTTCGTGCCCGATGGAGAAGGCACAATCAACAGAGCTCCACCCAGCTCAAATGGAAAAGGCGACCAGTGGTAGTCTTCCGCATTCCCACTAGGATCTGGGATGTAAACAGTAGAAATGAAAGTTCTCTTGGCGTTTGCTTGAAGGTTCACCGAGCTCATTGCAACCACCACATCCACACCACCACTTCCTGTAACAACCCAACATTTCCGTAGAAGAGTCAGCGATCGGATGAGAAAATTAATTTGCTTCAAAACCTAATTCACTACAATCAAGAGGCTCTTGATGTTCCGTAGTAAAGGATTCCGTGAAGTTTTAGACAGCTCAGTGTATTCTTAAAAAAAAACGCCTCCTTGAATTACTACTCGAGCCCGAAACCAGTGAGCCGCAAACATGCATGCTCCGACAGCTCTTCATTTGCGTGACTGACTGACCTCTTCGCGAGGAGCTTGTCCAAGCTTTGTCAATACTCGGGATGCCACAAAACGCCTGAAGCAATTCGGCTTCTTTCGCTCCTGTGACTTCGGTCGTCGCTGTCGTACCAGATGCAGCACTTTTCTCACTGGATTGATCCATTGCACTAACCACTCGCTTTCTGCTGCATTTCCTACGAGACAGGAATTCAGCCAGCGCAATAATGTGCAGGGCAAGACTAGACCTTCGACATTACCGAATAATTCATCGGCAATGAAAATGATAGTACAAAAGAAACCCCGATTACATGGTCCAAAGAAAAATGTTCAGATTCTCATTGCGGCGGATGAATGGCACAGCGCATGCGGACGTACGAAGAGACGCTTGCTGTGAAATTGCTTGAAGAAAAGTAATTCAGATCCATGACCTCTATAAAATGCGATGATTCCCACAAAAGTGTGCAACCGAATGCTCTTTCAAGGACGAACCAACTAGACAAACACGAGGTAAAAGCATCGGAAAAAGCACTGGTCTCAACATCCCAAATTACAACAATGCCATCAGAAAGAGAAAAAAACTTGTGTTCATAGGAAACGTGGCTTCAAAAATTTAGAAGAGGTAGCGGTAGCTGAATGACTTCCAACTACTCAAACCGATATAAATGCAAATGGTTCAGAAGCGCCAAATCCTTGAAATCTGAACCAATCCAACATTCTTTTAAAAAAAAATACAATTGCTCACATTTAGACGAGAGCGCAACATTCCAATTACTCCAGCTATTCAAATCGCAAAACGCACAGAAGAAGATCACATTACCACAAGGTCCTCGAGAAGGCGCGGCGAGACAGAAGAGGTCTCGCTTCTGAAAAGAGGCGACGGCACGAGCGCGAAGGGGATGATGATGATGACGATGATGACGAGACCCCAAGCGCAGGAGCAGAAGCAGGCCCCGGCCCCGACAGCCTTCGAGGTGAATAGGCCCGAACCAGATTCCGACCCACGCACGCGCCCCCGATCCCGATCCCTCCCCTTCCCCCGCTGCCGCTGCCGGCCCCCGCGCACGCTCCGCACTTGACAACTTCCATTGCCAAGCAAGCGAAGGGAAAGAAAAGAAAAGAAAAGAACGGAAAAGAAAGAAACGCGCTCCTCATGCTCTTCCTTCGTTCCCTTCCCTTCGCTTCGTGGCCTTATCGAAGCCTCCTGGATGTCCGCTTCGCCTTCTATTGGTTCAGCCTCTTCTCTCTTTGTATCTTGTCCACGTGTAAGAATGTAACCGGGGGTCTCTTCTTTGCTCCTGTAGGATTTGAGCTTGCTTCCATGTCATCGGGGCCTTTTGTCCTCATCATGTCTTTGGTCTCTCCTCGTATTCATTCCTTCACCATTTTACTCCTTGCACGTGTTCTGGGGCGTTTGGTGTAAGACGAGGCGGATGCTCTCCATCATAATTTAGCTTGCATAATTAATTGCAAGGAATACATCATGATTATTCATTTAAAAATTAATTCTAACAATTTCTTCAATCATGTTATATCAGGTGGTCATTGAAATTAGCTTGATTTTGGATAATCAATAAATGCACAATTTTATTGAAGCATACTAAACAGCCTATGTAGCATGATGTACTAACATCCAAAGTGTCATGTCAATCTCAATAGCCGACTATTCACTCTTAATTTGAGCTCCATGTAAGAATATGCCTCTCATACATACTAGAGCCGGTTCCAAAGCCAATGTAGAGAAAAGCATACGTTTCATTATCTTGATTTATGGAAGTTTATGAAAATCTCAACAATAGCATAATATTAGCTTTTTGCTTTTGGATATCATTTGACTTGATTATGTTTTCGCTTGAATTTTACTAGATTTAATATACCAGTAGCATACTCTTGTCTTTGTATGAGGAAAAATCTCATATTCCAAATTGAATTAACAAGCTTTTTCAGTCATACTAAAATACATTGATTACATGCAAAAGTCAAACATCTTGCCAATGTTTTCTTCAAATGAACTTATGTAAGATTCATCTTGCTAGTAAGGGTAGAGCTGTCATGTAGCATGGCATGAATATAGTATATTCTAAAGTTGAGATCTTACCGCTAGGGTTTATCATGATTTACAATTCAAATATGATCGCAATCATTCTCGTGAGAGTAAATGGATTTGACTAGACTTCATAACCTCTTTTTTTCCTCGTAGATTGCTTTGAAATCCGATCAAGAGTTTCAAGTGGTCTTGCTCTATTTCCAAAACTATTTTTGGTCTAAATTCTATACGCAAAAAGGAAAAGAATGCATGTATTTCAAAAAATATTCTAGTAAGAGCAACGAGCGAAAAAGTGCAACTCGGAGGCTAAATCATTAGGTTCCATAATGTAATGTAAATGCAAGTAGTTCTAAGCCAATTAATGGCTATTTGGCCCTCCTCATTAATTTAGACATTAAAGCGGATGGACATTTAGATAATATAGGTTTCGCAGGTTAGGGTCTACTGATTTACGCATGACTAGTTATGTGTAATTATCTTTAGCTAATAAAAATAAAAATTACTTAAGATGAAATTATGTTATTTTATAGTGCACTATGATAGTTGCTAAGTCAACGATCCGTGTATTTAATAGATGGAGATTAACTGTCTAAGTTTACAATGACACATCAACAATTTGTGTACTTGTTAAAGTTATTCGCCATGCCATCAATACATTGGTAGTGAAATGAATAATGAAGCAAAAATCTTATCTCTTTATACTTGTTGATAAGATCTATATAAACAAAAATAGAATCATTCTATGTATATTTCATCTTTAAAGTTGGATTTCATTCCTTTGTAGGATTCTACCATGCATCAAATCGCTTTAAGCTTTCATATATCTGATCATTCAACCTGGAAAAAAATATTCAAAAAAATTGTTTTTAAGTAACATCATTTCATCATCTGATATGCTAAGTAATCTATTGCTTTCATATTGTTATTCACACCAAGAGATTCATGTGGGCAAGGAATTGAATTTTTGTTGCGGCAGTTATGATTGTCATGAATGGTGCTTTGAATATGTTGTCTTTGAGCATGTCAATTACGCACATATGGATGTGAAACTCATTCATTGAATAATGTTTGCAAAAATTTGACCAAGTTGCCAAACTTCAAATCATTACTCAAGATGGTCATAATCGTTTCAAAATGCATCAAGAATCAAGGCTTACTTAATTAGATATTTTTTCCAATTTGTGAGTAAATGCTTTGCAAGTCCTACTAAATGGTCTTCTATTCAGCTTCACGTTGGTCGAGTGTGAACTACATGTTTGTTTGTTTCAAGATGATCAATCGTACTATCATGAAGATGTCAAATTTGATTGAACCGTATTGAGATATCCTTGGCCCGTCTTCAAGGATCGAAGATACTTTTCCTTGGCTATCTAATCTTATCTTAATAAAGTCGCCTACTTCTCCCGTATTTTTTTATCCACTTATTGCAAGTGGCATCTTCAATTTGTAGATTGATTCTTCAAGGTGTCGGGCAGCTTCAATCCTTAGTTTGCTAGTGGTTTCAAAGAGTAGCGCTTGAATCTATGTGCAGGGTTGATTCCACAGCCAATGATATGAATGAATATCAGATATGAATGGACATAAAAAATTGCAAGCTCAATGGGCAATGGAGTGAGCATCGTCACATGAAAGTTCTTGGCCATACGCTTAGCATCAGTAGCAAAGTAGCCACATAAACCAAGAAAAAAGATGATTTTTGCTGCCAAACATGTACCCATGTCAAAATCTGCACTAATGGTATTCATTGCGCCACCCAACACCTAGAATGGAGTTTTCTGCAATCTCTTCACAAAACCTGCTTCATAGATATACTACTCTATCTAGTCAAATCATCTAGATGAAAGCCCAAGTAATGGAAAGCTTCCAACCAGAACTAGTCTCAAATTAACCACGGGATTGATGTATACTCCTGAAACACAAGCTGTGCAGGAGACAAGCACAGTTATAGTTGCACCAAAGATCCATGCAACTCTCGGTTCGCATACATCAAGGTTGTTTTGTAAGACTAGATGTTTGTATGTGTGATAAAAACTAGAGTTAATCATGTTTATAATAGTTATGATTAAGTTTAGCTAGTTATGACTAAGTCTAGTTAGTTCCAACTAAGTTTGTCAAGTTATAACTATGTTTAGCTATAATGTCTATACTTGGCGGAATAACTAGAGAAGTTTTAGAAGATTTGAGTGAGCACTTCTATTTTGTCTTGTACAAAAGTCTAGATTCCAAGAGAAAAAACTTTTGATTTTATGTTTAGTTTTGATTGGTTTCACTAAGTAAATAGTACTCCATTGGTTAGACTTAATCTAATCTAGACTTAGTGGCAAGTGAAGGTTCTAGAAGTTGGAAAGTCACAAATAGCATGTCACCACCTCAATATGAGATGGTGACATGCTAAGCATTGGTAAACATCTAGAATGTTTTAGGAGCCAAATGGCATGTTGTTACATATTGATAATTAATCAACCTTACTATGATTTATTTTTGTAAAAGTAAGTTAGATAGGATTTATCATTAGTTACTATGGTAAATTCTTAAGCAATATATATGGGGAGGTAGTGAAGAAACTCTCAAGCAAATTCATATGTAGAGACTTGTTTCATATATGAATAAATGACGATTTTTTGCACCTTAGAGTGTCGATGAGTGTGTGAGTTAGAATGATACATTGAGGGATTGTATGAAATGATGTTTGGACTATGAGTATGAAGAGAAATCCTAGTCTTTAAGAACCATGCTTAGCTACCAAAAAACCATCTGAGGTAAACATGAATCAGCCCGAAGATTGCAATTCCGAGCGATATAGAATGCAACATGAATCTACGTCCAAGCTATACTCTAGTATGCACAGTAGTTTCATTAAGGTTTAAACCCAAAATTAATATTTTATTTAATCTAAACGATGATAGTATGAGTGAAAAGTGAGTCGTTTGATGTGTGCAAGCCAAAAGCAGCCAGTGCTATACACTTTTTGTACTCCAACAATTCACTTCTAAGAAACTTATAAGTAATAGGACTAGAAAATCCAAAAGATATTGGACTACAAGTCTTGCTTTAGCACTTTGAAGGACCAAGCTTTACCTCTCTACTTCTTCAGAACTTAAGGAATAAAGCTTAATTCACATCTTATATAGGAGTCCAACTTCAAGATAGGACCGGCATCTTTGAGTACATGAGAGCTAGATCATCAATCAAGACTATTTCACCCTCGAATACAATTGTTGATCCTTTGCAAGTAGGAATATGCACTCAGTTGATGAAGATGTATTTTCTTCTTTGAATGATGTTTGATCACTATCAAACCTCACTAGAATAACAGAGTGAGATGTGTCCATTGTTGTCAAATTTTTGCGCACTTGACGAGCTACATATAATTTAGTGACTCTCATTGACCAAACTACCAGAGATGACACTTCAGCACCTTATTGGCTCAACAAAGGGGACAATGTCTGGTAGCTCACTGCATCCACGTTTGCTGACAGTGTATCAGCATTGATGATCCTCTACGGTAGTATGATGAAGAAAGAATGAGCAATTAACTTGACCTTCATGTGACTTTGAGCATTTGCTGCATTGCTCATCAACTGGGTTTCATGGACTTTCAAGATGTACTTTGGAGAAAAACTCCTCCATATTTGGAATAAGGCGGAACTTACTGAGGACCATAAATTTGTTTTAAGCCAAGCTAATATCCCATTGACAAGAACACAAATTTTTCCATCACTGACACCTATGTATCTGATGTCGATCCTCATTTATTTGTAATTTGTGTTTGCAACCATCACTCTTCTTCTCATTGTATGATCTCTTTTGGCCGGATGATCATCATATGCAAAACCTCGCTAATATAACGTGAATAAACAATACAAATTTAGAATTTCTACCATAAATCTAATCTTTGTTAATCTAATAGGTACTCTTTGGAGAAAAATCGAAAATATTTTTTTTATCTAAAAAACAACCATCTCACATAGCCCTCTTCTAAAATGTGAAGCGTCCTTGCGGACACTACATACTATAGTATTTTTATAGTCTATCAAAATGCACTCTCACTGGTAAAATTTCTTCCTCTACACCTGTAACTTGAACCGGGATATTTGCAAAAATAACTTGCATCACATACAGTACTAGCCAACAAGTGTGGAGCTTACCTAGTAAATGAACAAACTTGTATTCATGGAGTAAAACTTGAATTTTTTGTCATGAGACTTCTTGGTGATTGCTTGTTGTTATTCCAAACAAACAATTGATTGCATCCTCATTTTTTCTAACTTTTCAAGAGCATATTTCCGTCAAGCTTAAACTCTGATCGGTAAAAATTCTTTTTTCCACACTGATCTTTGAAGAAGATGCCTCAAATTCGACTGGAACAGAATAATGTTGTCCACAAATCAAGTAATAAGGGGTGTGACCAATAGTGACTTTGTAAACCAAATTATAGGCATACACAACAGCAAATAACTTCACATTCAAATCTGTCTTGTGCACCGTAATTGTCTTGTTGACTATCTTATCAATGATGCCATTAGCTCGTTCAGCGAGCCCATTTGCCTTGAGATGATACGGAGTAGTCTTGCAATGCTTGATCTGATACAATGTGGTCATTTCTTGCATAGTTTGATTCAAAAATATGCTTTTTCCTATCACTCACAAATTCTAAAGGTGGGCCAAACCTGCAAAAAAACTGTTCATATAGAAACTTGGTTGCTGTTTTGCATCATCCATAGTTGTGAATTTAGAAGAATATACCTATTTCTTCTTTACTCGGTGACATGAGTAATAGATCCAATAAAATCAATCCTCCAATTTTCAAAAAGGGCCAAGAGCAGATGTGAAGTCAACGGATGATGACATGAATGAAGTGGTTTAACCAACCTTTGACAAGCATCACAACTTGTAACAAATTGATGAACATCTTTGTGAATTGTGAGCCATCATCACGCCACATCCAATGTCTTTTTAGTTGTGTTTGCTAAAGCAAATGTTCACCAACATCCTCTTCATGTAATGCCCTCATTACCACTACTACTTCTCTTTTCTCTAAGCACCTTTTCAATCTGCCATCTACTACTTCCTTGTGCAAAACTTCCTTCATCAACAAATAAGTTCAAATTTTTCTCATGCAAACTGTTGCCACCTTTTGATTCATCTTTTTATATATGATCACATTGTGCAAGAATCCTATGATATCTCCATGCCATGTGGACTGAACTAACTTCACTTGAAATAAATCTTCATTAGAAACATCATCAATCTTTTTGTCATCTTCTCCTCCATCAATCCTTGAAAAATAATCACCATTGATATGTTGTTTACCATGCCTCACCTTGATTTCATAGATGATCTCTTGAAGAAGAAGCATACATCTAGCCACTCTCTCTATAAGATCAAGCTTTTCATCATGTATTTAAATGTATTATCATATGTATGAAACATCACCTTAGACCCTAGCAAATAATGCATGAAGTTCTTGCAAAAGTAAATGATGCCAAAAGCTTCTCTATCAATAGAAGAGTAGTTTTTCTCCGCTGCAGGCAACAGCATACTGACAAAGTAAATACAATGATCTTTGTTGTTCTCATCAACTTGGCTCAGAACCACATCCATGCAAAAGCAAGACACATGTACAAAAAAGTGAAAATCCTTACTCCAATATGGCACCATAAAAACATGAGCTTCTACTAGCCGTTGCTTTAAATCATTGAAGCTTTGCATACTAGTAGGTATTGATTCAAAATCAACATCAATCCTGAACATGCAAATCAATGAAAATGCTAAATTAGCAAAGTGCTCATTGAATCGCATGTAGTAGCTCCCGTAGCCAAAAAATTGCTTGACTTTAGTAGCATTGGTAGGAAACAAAATGGCTAACCATACTGCAATCTTATCCCAATCCACCTCAATACTTCTCTTGTATACTTTGTGATCGAAAGAAATTACTCTGTCACAACAAAATAGCATTTTCCTGGATGTAACTTTAGACCAACCTCCTTGCACCGTTTGTTGAAAGGCAAATACTCCACTTTCTGTTGTAAACCCCGTCTTCAATTGATCCTCTGATCAAAATCTGATTATAACCTGAGTAACCATCCATAAAACTACAGAGCTTTTGACTTGCTACTATATCAAAAATCATATCGGTGAATGGGATATGATAATGGTCCTTCTTAGTGGCGTCATTTAACTTCTTGAAGTCTTGAGAAATTTGGATTTTTGGTTTTCCATCCGGACCAGATTTCTTAGATACGAGAGTAGATTTTTCTTTTATTGTTAGAAAATTACTGAAAGTCAAAAGCATACTCGTTTTTGTTTGCTTGAAGGAAATAATAAGAAGTCAAATTTTCATATATTACAATTTTTGACAACAAAAGTTCTGCTTTCCATAACTCATGTACAATTTTGAAAGTTAAAAAAAATGCAGATGATACAGCAAAGATCAAGTGAAGAAAACAGGAGGATTTAAAACTATGTTCATAGCTTTTTTACTATGTTGCATAACTGCAATGGCTCTCTCATAGATTCTAATTGTAGTTTCAGTATTTTTTTTTGAATACATCGAATAAGCATTGTTCAGTTTAGATAAATTTGGCTAAATAGTTTCAACTCAGAATTTTAAAAATAAAAAAGATACTTGAATGATCATCCTAATAGCAAGACCGAGAGAAACTTAAATTTCATCATCAGATGCACAATTATTTTCAAAATTGTGCAACATCCAGGTACTGGAACTCTACACTAGAGAAGATTACTTTATGGTACCTCATCAAACTCATAATGTTTGATGTGACCCAATACCTTCCTTTTGGGACCCCCTTTTGGTACGGCAATTCAGTTCACCGTCACTTATGTTCTCCTAATAGTTCTTGGAACTGTTTTGTTTCCACTTCAATGAAAAAAGTAAATTCTCCGTGAAGTTCAATTAGTCAAAGTTCCCATGGCTGTCAATCTTCATCATGCGAGAGGCTAATTTCTCACGGTCGAGAATGAGTTTAGAGTTAGAATGTATGGGCGTTATTTACTTACACTTCTCTACTTTTTTTCTAAAACTCTTGGCCGGAGTCATGTCACCTGCGTATTTTGGTCCTTGAAGTCCCTGCCTTGAGTACATTAAGGTGCCTCTTTGAAAACTAGTGAATAACTAGGGAACTTTGGGGAGAATTCACTTTTCAACAAAGAGCCGCAGTGCTTATCCCAACCCGACTCAAAGCAGTTACAAGAACCGGTAGTAGAACATCTGAATTGCCGTTAGAAGAATCCCATGGGATAAAATAGAACGTATTGGGTCCCATCAAAACTTCTGCATTCAAATGGGTCCCATCAAGTAATTCTCCCGTGTACACCAAGGTACTGTAGTAGTGATGTGCTTTTGTCTCCCGGCTTTCTTCGGCCCTTAATGCAATTTATCCTCGGCCTATATCGAAGCTCTCATTATCTGCAAGTTGTTTTGATGAGATGCTCTTTTTTTCGTTGATGATGATGTCGTGATGTATTCTGTTGCTAAGTCTGTTTCCTACATATTGTATTTGTTAATGTAACCCTCGTCAATATTTTCCGCAAAAGCCCCGCAGGCTGTTCCTGCGCTGTAAGCTTCAGAGTCTTGAATATTTAGAGTGACAATATTATAGAATAACAATAATCTGCATGCAGTTGCAGTGCTCGCTTAAATGGTGCAATGCATCCGGTCCAGAAAAAGAAATGTCCCGAAAAAGTCACTTTTGTCCTGACCGTGTAATAAGCTGAGCTGCGTCCCTCAATTCGAGAGCAATAGGAAGAGAAATGGTTTGTGTGGCCTATTTTAGTCATTCGATTAAACGACAAAAATGACGAGAGGAAACAGTTCCTCTCGTTCGGCTGACTGACAGTCGCAGACGAGAGGGAGAGACTCGATAGTAGTTCAGTGGGAAACATCCTTGTCTGCGGGACCCACCTCCGAGGACGTCAAAAGGGTCCGACGCGAGGGTCAAATGAGCAGCAGGAAGGAAGGAAGTCGGGGGACAGGCGGTCCACAGGCGCACTAGTTCCCGAATGGAACCCATGGAGTGTCCAATCAGCCGAACGAAGGCGTGCATGGTACCTGGACCCGTGAGCACGGGCGCGGGAATCTACCCCGAGAGTAGGAAGATGCTGGCGCAAGTTCCTGGATTGTCTCTTCTGGGCATAACGGATAGAGAGGCGCCGCGGGCTTGCTGCGGGGGGTGGGTCCCTCCACAGCCTCACTCACTCCCTCCCTCGTCGTCGAACTGCGACGATCATGGCTCTTAAACGACGAATGTGAACTAGCGAACCAGAAAGTCTGGCCCTAGATCCCCAAACTAGCACAAACGCAAGCATGGTTCTGTAAGAATCGAGGCAATCTGACTACCTCGTGACATCGCCCTCGCTTTTCGATCAAAGGAGTCCTGCTTCGATTGGAGGTCGAGATCTCATCTTTTAATATGATGCAAGGAAACGTTGTTTTGATCAAATGTGGTCTTCCTCCGGTCGCCGCCTTCGAGTTGCTACTTTCTCCTCTTTCGAAGCATTAGTGAGATATTGACGACGATCTTGGACATGTTTTGTCTCTTCACCGTGAGTTCTCTCTGTGTTTGTAGGTTCTCCTCTCATAACCCTCGAGGAAACTAGTGCCACCTCAGGGGAATAGAAGTTGTCTAAAATTTGTATACGTCCAGAATCAGCGATTGGTCAATTGAGTACACCGAGTTGGGTTTTGGGTTAAAGTGTATACTACTTAGCCACATGCATGTTCACTTCTCCTTTCTTGCGTTACTTTGAAGCTTAATCTCGGGGATGAAATCCCCGCTGATCTTTTCCTATGATTTCAATACCATTTACACTGCTTTATTTTTTAAGATAAAAAGAGAAACTTCCTTATTATCCTGTTCCGGTTATGTTGAGAATGTATATTCTTCTTGTTAGTTATCCTTCTCTTTCTCCCTTTCTCCCTCCCTAACTAAGCATTTATGTGGATGGATGGTAGAAATTTAGAGTAAGAAGTATTTGTGTCCCTACGTTGTAATTTCCATTTCAATATACTTCTCACGGAACTGCCATCAGATACGATACGGAAAAGAGGCCTTTCCCCACAAGAAGAATATGAAACTGAAAGTCTGACTATGCCTAAAGCAAGACACCCTTCGATACCGTCGTAATACTCTTGGACTATGTTCGATGGATTACGTATAAAACTGCTGGCATGTACTCGGTGTTGTCCAACACACTCCGTGGCAAACTTGCTCCTGTCCAGATATATGTCTCGCCGTTGCCAAGTCAGATGTGGAACTAATTTGCGGCGTGGTCCCAGATCTGACCTTGGTTTGCAGGATCACGAGGACTTCTATTTTTGGTGTTCAAACTTGAAATCAGCAAAGTCTCAGATGCCAGGGCTCAGTAGGACCCACCTCAGTAACAAATACAGAGGCCAGATGAAGGCTTCTTCTGTTCTAATACAGGGCAATGAGAATTCGGTCGGTTCCTGGTGAAGTTCATGAGAAAAGGAAGGATCGCACAGTAGTAACTGATGGCTCTTGTTGCTTTATTCTCATAACCAATAACTGATGGCCCTAGTTGCTTTATTTTCATAACCATGGACTTCTCCTGGACAGAAGCTACTGGCTGCTCGAAGTCTACAACGGCTGCGCTTTTGGCTTTTGGTCTGGTCTCCTATTCCTACTTCAGGTAGGCTCCTTGATTTGATTGCATTCCTCATGGATCGTCCGGAGTTTGGCTCTCCCCTAATCTTCTCTCTCTAATTCCACCGTTAGATTTTTTCTTTCTCCCGTTTGGACATTGTGGGAGATCGTGATCGATCGTATTGGGCATTCTTTTCCACTTTTCATACGCCCAGGTCCAATTCGTCTTTTGCAATTATGGTTTAGATATGAGATATCCTTCTTTCAGTCACCTGTATGTGAATTGGGATATTCCACAAGGAGTTTAGAACGAGGTGTGGAGGTGAGGTGCGACAGGCTGCAGCAGTGTCGTTCGTCATGTCCAGTTTGGAGATTCAGGAAAGCAATGGTACTGTTGGATCTTCACTGTTTGCATTTTGATCCGAATTGATTCTTGTACATATAACGTGTGATTTCCTTATAGGCTGGAAATTGAAAATTGTTTTACTTCGTCATGTGGGTTGACTCCAGCTCTTCTCTTCTCTTCTCACTTCCGGTACCCTCTCCATTTCCGATGTCATCATCCAAATTTTAATTGACTCACCTTTTATTCTCTCTCGTCTTTGCCTGAATGGGAACGCTGGAATTCACATAAGAGGAGAAAGAGACAAAGAGTTTCCCACCTTCATTTTGTGTGGGGCCGCTCCTGCTGTTCCCAACTTTGAAGGTCTACTCATGCAGACTATTGTCCATTTGACCATCGGACATCGATGATCGTGCATTTAAATCTCTGCTGGTGCAAAGCAGTCGACTTAGAGAGGGTTCGGTTAGTGTCTGTGTCTGGGATCGAGATGCCAATCCTCGATCCGCGGTTTTTCTATGTAAATCGATTAAAGCTAGTGTTTTGAAATTTGTACTAGTGCTGTTTCCAAAGGATCGCGGATCGGAAGTAGATTTCGGAGACTTGTATTTTGAAAAGTACACAAAAACGTTGGAATTCTCCTTGAAAGCCTTTCAGAAGGCTGATAGAGATGCTGATTGCTGATTGCCGCGTTGACAGATAATCAAGAGTTTTGGCATATGGATTGATCTTATTTGTGGTTAGAGTGGATGTTTCTGAATTCAAACGGTTAAGCCCCCGATTCTCAATGCGCTCATGCAGATACTTTTGTTCCGCGTTGATTTCGCGAGTAATTCTGAAGCTTTTCCTTTCGAAGCTTCCAACGTCTGAGTGTTGGGGAGATTTTCGAAGGTTTGAGGAATTGGTTAGAGCTTGAGTAAGTAATCAGCCATGCCAGGGTTGGCACAAATTTATGTGTTTGCCCCTGAGCTTAGCTACAACTTGGAAGCCGTAGGTGCGAACAGGTTTGGGGAATTAGCGAACAGGAACTCTTTACGAAGGCTTGTCGCTCAGCATCCGAGGCCATTTCATCCTTCAAGCACTGCACGGGTACAATTCAGTCCATTCGAAAGTGCTGCAGGCAAAAGCCATGATACATTCTTGGGCTTTTCTGTTAGAGAGAGATGCGCAGTGTATCATCCGATTCGAAGACTGAAAGCGGAAAGGAAGCGAATCATCACATCATGCAGTTCATCCGAGAGTCTTGTGCATGAGGACACTGTGACGATTGCTGGCAGATCCGTCGGAAAAGAAAGTTTGAAAGTTTTCGGCATCGCAGTCTGCACTGTCCTTCTTGCCACGTGCAATAAGGTCCTCTTTAAAATGGCTTTGGTTCCCATGAATCAGTATCCATTTTTTCTGGCACAATTTACCACGTTCGGGTACTTTCTCCTTCCTTAAATTTTTTTTCTTTTGAATACGTGTGAATTGGAATCTTAGATTGATATTGATATCTAATCAAATTATAATCTTCTGACAGATTTCTCATGTGAATTGGAACGTCAGCACCTTAGGAAGAAACGAAAGGCCTCCAATATGGGAGTTACAGAGCATGCTATTGACTGGAGAGTTAGAGTGTTTCACTGATTGCGAAATTTGTGTTTGAGAGCTCTACGAGCTCAATTCGCGATTGGGATAATTTACAGACGCCAAAAGACGACTGAATGTCGATTGTTTCAAAGCTGGCTGGTATTGTCTCATTTCTTGGTAGCGATGAACACAACTCTAAAATTCTATTACCACGCTGGTGTATTTCCTGCTCATAGGTATGTGCTGGTGTACTTCTCAATCCTGTACTTCCGATTTAGAGCTGGAATTGTGACGAAGGAGATGCTGAATTTGCCAAAGGGGCAGTTTGTTGCTATGGGAGCTCTCGAAGCTCTTGGGATTGCCACTAATATGTCAGCAGCAGGTACTCGTTAGTTAGTTAATCGTTCTTGGCCCACATTTCCCACTTTGTAATCAGCGTTTAGCGATTTTCCCAGATTGCATAGATGTGCAATTTTACAGTTGCAGGAGATGGATTGCAAACGATTTTTTGAAACGGAAACTTTCTACTTTGATAGACTCATCGCCGTTCTCAGCAAAAACAGACATTGCGACTTTGTCCATCCCATCCAAAGTTGATACTAATTTACTGTTTAGAGAGCAATGGGAATCAGCATCGCCTGAATTCCCAAGCAGCTTCAAAATCTACTTTCTGAAATCTGGTGTGTGTTGTTTTTGTACATCTAAACTCTAGAATTGTGAGAACTTTGTGCTCATGTTCGTATTGGGAGTTCGTATTGTCTGCGCAGCTGTTCTTCCTGCAGCTTCTATCCCTGTCCTATTGCAGGTATATATATGATTCCTCTAATTTTACCTACTTTCGGTCGAGATTATTCTGATTGATTTCCAACTTTTGGGCTACGGTAACTAGTCAATAGAACACAAATATGCAATCGTGGCTGAAGGATTCGGTACTTAGATAATACACAATTGATTATCGCTAGGCTCCATCTGGACTCTCAATCTTAAGCTTTGTAGAGCTCACGTGGTAGTATATTTGTCTTCTGCAGACATTTTTGGTATGGCAGCTGATTCTATCTGCCGTTTTACTCCGAAAAAAATACACGAAGGAGCAGATTGTGGGCTGCCTGCTTGTTGTCACGGGAGTTATTTTGGTTGTTTCCAGGTATGGTCCTGCCTTGATGTTAATAACAAAATTCGTCTCTATAATGGAAGTTTTGATATACATGTTTGCTTTCCCTCTCTTTATTTCCTGTTTCTTAATCACTTGTACAAGTTTCGAGACTCTCGACTACTCTCAGCCTAACATATAACTTCTCCAAACTCATGCAGTGGTGGTGGAGCGGGGTCTACTCTTGAAAGAGGACTTCTCTGGCCGTTTGTGATGATGCTTTCTGCCTTCTTCAGTGCGTCAGCTTCAATCTTGAAGGTAGCTGATGGTTCAAACGATTCGCTTTTTCGCTCTTCATAATTTGTCATGTATCCAGTTTACCCCCCGGCAATTTTATATTTAGAAACAAACATTCTTTGTCTAATTACTGAATATGACAACCAGTGATCGACTGTTATGGCAATATCCAGTGTTGAAGCAATCGTTAGTGTGAAGAGAAGATAATTTGTATAGCGTATGAAGATTTTGAATTGACCAGTGTTTAGTCACGAGTTGCTCCAATATTGCTCCAGACACGTTGGAGCGGTAATCTTCCAAATTACTGATCGAAGGATACTCAGCCTAGCTACTGACTTTGTACTTCTTGGGAAGCAGGAATCAGCTTTCAGGAAAGCCAACAGCCAACTGAAGGTACTACCAGAACATTTCAAAGTTCATCCTTTAAGGTTGCAGCAAAGTGTTAGCTAGATATACTGTTCACATTTCTTTAACACGGTGCATGTTGGTTCTACATCAGAGTTTCATATTCCCTCCTTTCACAGTCTTGATGTATTATGTTATCCGAGGGTCAGCTCTATCACGTTTTGACAAATTTTAGGGCATCATGTCGTGATACGAGTGTGCCTTTCTGTGGTGTCTGATTACTGTCTCAAGCGTTGTTGACATGCCTGTCATTGGATTTACCATGCAGGGCGGATCGGTTGACATATTTGTGGTGAACTCATTCGGCTCAGGTTTTCAGGTGACACTTGGTTCAAGTATTCGTTGTTAATGATAAATTTCTGTGGCATCGTGAGATGGATAGTTCTAAAATTTTCACGTGCATGGACACAAGAAAACTGGTTTTATATCCGAAAGTGGTGCGTTTACTTAGTTTCCTTCAGACAGTTAACTGTTTTCGCCCAAAGTTAACAGAATGGGGTTAATGAAATGGTATTGTGTTCATCAGGCATTGTTTGTGCTCCTCCTGTTACCATTCTTATCGAAGACAAGAGGTATTCCGTTCGGTGAGCTTGTCGGCTATTTCAAGGAGGGAGCAGCTTGCTTTGTAAATGCTGGCTCGCTTGTACCAGGTACTCAGCTAGATTTTGAATGTGATGAATACTGGTTAGTCTGCGGGATTTTTCCGTCTAGCTATATAACCATTCCAACACTTCTCATCGTACAAATTGGAGATTTTTTAAGCCCGAGCAGATTTTGTTCGAAAGTAAAAGTTCAGTGGCTCTTTGCTATAGATACTGGAGAAGCACTTCATGTATAGTGAATCACTTTTCCTAAACTTTGTGCAAAATTGCTTCGATTATCCTTCCGAGAGCTGAAACTACATCATGCGGGCTGTTAAAATCTTGAAGTTTGATTCCCTGTGATTCGGAGGCAGGCTCAAATTTGCCAAGAAATAGATTTGGTGGAGAATTAACTCTATCTGTTTGTAAGTACAAGTTTACTTTGCTGATTTGTTTCGATTATTGTTTCAGGATGTCAAGGAGCACCTCTGGTACCACTCTTATACGTGGCTGCCAACATGAGCTTCAACATATCAGCCCTCGCCTTGATGAAATCATCTTCTGCAATAGTTTCTTCTCTTGCAACCACCGCATCAGGTGCCGTTCAGTCTCTTTTGACAGGGTGAACTTAGAGTCCAATGCAGTTGTTGAGGGAACGTCACTTGCGTTTTAAGGTTTGAGTTATCTGGTTGGATTTGTCGCTAAACATATTCTCTAGTGCTCTTTGAAGATGCACAAGTCTTAGTTGAAAGTCACATTCCGTACCTTTTTCATCCGAGTAATAACTTGATTAGGTTTATGATTGTTGTGCAGTGCCTCTTGCAATCTATGCCTTCACCTTACCGCTCCCTTATCTCGGCATTCCTCCTCCCATGCCACCTGGACTTTTCTACGGATCAATGATCCTGGTGGTCGGGCTGGCTGCATACAACTTGGCGCCGAAAGTGCCAGCGAAGGTTGATTAGACGAGACTTCTCGGAATTTTGCAGGTTCGCAGTTCTGTAAAGAATAGCACTATATCAGTCGACATTTATCCGGGGTGTATTTTAATAGTTTGCAGAGAACAGTCGTTCATTTGAATGACTCGAAAAAAATATTACGCCATTCTTTGTTTGATTATGGAAATAAGTGGTATTATGCACCCCAGTTGTAGGGAGGGTGTAGTGAGATCCAGCTTGACATGAAATGATGTCAAGTTCAAGTAGAATTTGTTCAACACGTTGTAAGGTACAGGTAGCAGATATTTGGTGACAACTAGTTCTTATATCATTGTACAGTTCCGGCGTCCTTGAAACTTAAAGCAAGCAAGGGCCCTGCTCTGAATGCAGTTAGCTCCAGAGCTCAGACTCTACGGAGAGTTTTGCTCTTTCAGTTCACAAAAATCTCAGTGTTTGGTCTTGAGTCCACTTTGTGGAACTGCTTGTACGAAGGCAGCTGATTTAGTTGAAGATCATTGCCGGACTTGGTCGGTGGTACCCAAGAAGTTCTGACGATCCGAGTGTACCAGCCAGGCCTTCCATTCACTCTCATCATCATTATCGGAACCATTGCAAGTCGTTCCAGACAGTTTATTTTATTGTACGCACTCCTCAAAAGTCAATATACTTTACCTATGGATGTCTTGTACATTTCATCATCAGAAAGCGTTCTCGTGTAGGAGTCGTCCTGGAACGCCTGACATGTTTGATCGAAAATCCCAGCGTCGATGCTCGCACTTCTCATCATTCTCTGTCAACTCAAGGGCTCCATGGTTTGATGAGGAATGGGCGAACGGAACCCTCCAGACATCCAATGCTGGACAGTTTTGCCTCCACGTCGTCACCTGATTCTGATTTTGCCGATGCTCGTGCACTGAAGCCTATCAACACGGCAGAAGACGGTCGCCATTCCTGCCAAAAGCTTCTTGTAGAAGGCGAGTGCTGCTCAGGATCGACGATTGAATCGGACCCCTACATGATTCGAGGTGCCCCACAACGACAACATGATGGCCGGACCAGGCAAGTACGCAGCGCAGCCACCATGATGTTTGAGTTCCATGTCAGCCCACGACCTACAACGCCGTGACCCGGCAACGAAGATGCCACAAAAAGCAAGCACTGTTTCTACCATCATGGTGAACACTCCCCGCATTAGGCTGCGAGAATGGCGACTTCGCCCCGAACTCCCAATCATGCCATGGAGGCCCAAACTCACGCGCGATTTTGTATTTTCGGCAAGTTCATGGCGCTGAGCGATGCCTGTACCGACGTTGATTCACATACTCTACAGGTCCTTCCTTCCGAGCCACTCAAGCTTCCCGAGGTGCAATCTGTCGCCGGCTCAAGTGCTCCAGTCCAAGGAATCAGCAGTCCCAGGGCTCGGCCTCAGCCCAGCCCGGGCACAGTGGCGACGTCGAGAACGAAGCTCGAGTGCCCGCCTATCGAGCATTCCGAAGACCGAGTCCCGTGCCCCATCAACCAGCAACGACGACGCCGACGCCATCCGTCGACCCCCGGAATCTTTACCCTCGAAATCCGAGCATGCAGATCATAATCTAATCGACGCCATGCTCCCTTTCTTCCATTCCAGTTTCCACTCCGCTCGCTCCTATCCCTGTCGAGCACCACGACGACGACGACGCTGCTTATTAAAACCCCGGGGCGGAAATCCTCGAGGCGTTCGTGGGACATCGTGCGACCAGCCCAACTATTTTTAACTCCCTTCCTGTCGCCGCCGATCCCATTGCACATTGTGGCTACGCTCGCCGAGAGAGCCACTCAGTGCGGCCTTGTGCTCTAACCCGCCTCCACAGTCTCAGCCCGTCCCTTCGTCCTCGGGCGCTTTTCTGGGCGCTTTTGGAATTTTCCAGTCAGTCCTGCGTTACAATTTTCCAGATTTTCTGATCTCGTTGACCGATTTCCCGACCCTCGAATAATCTGCAAATCTCGGCTTCTTGAAAAGAAAAAAGGAAAGAAAAGAAAAGCCGTGTCCGCACAAACGGAAGCCTTTTCTTGCGCAGAAGTGAGATTACGGTATCGATGTCCATGGAGGGAGGGAGGGAGGGAGGGCAAGGAACTGAAAACTCCGGAACCAAGAAGCAATGCTGTCTTTTGACCTTCCGCCTTTTGACATTCTCCTCGACCTACGGAATATTTATGCGCAGCCCGGTACCCATGACAGGGAGTCATGGCCGTCTGTGAGCGGAAGCACGCACGCACGCTCAGCGATGGGGAACGGGCTACCCGAATGCGGTTGTCACGAGATTGCTGATGATACGGAGACGGAAAGCGAATTAATGAGAGGAGCTTTGGAGATCATTGTTTTTACTTCCGGAGCAGCAGCTTACAGTTAAACTGCTGCTGCTGCGGACTAATAAACAGATCGCAGGGAAACGTGGCCCAAGAAGGCCCGGCGGCAAATGCAGCACAGAATTGTAGCGGGCGAAGACTACTGCATCAGCCGCATCCCGCTCTTGCCTCCGGGTGGCACTTTTCCTCTCGCCTTGTACGCCACGGCCACGGCCTTGTGCTGCAGCAGCAGCAGCAGCGCCTTGCAGAGGACGGTGCTAACAAGGTAGTGAGTGAGTGCTGTGATAGCGAGCGAGGTGCTGCTGGCCAGTGGCCGAAAAGAAGGAATCTGGGATTTCTTAAAACGCGGGCGGGATTAATTAAAGAAGAAAGTAATTTGGGATTAGAGTCGGGTCATTGATTTACTTGATCTGTGACAGAGAACAGGGAAAGAAAACAAGAGCAGCACTGAAGCGACGAGCTCTGACTCTCTCCCCCTCTCTGGATCCATCTATCTATCTCTATTTCTCCCTCTCCCTCTCTTTCTCTCTGTCTCTCTTCCTCGCTCAGCAGCGAATCATCAGAGACACGCAAATTGAGACAGAAAGAAAGCCCACGCACATTTGGATTTGATCAGCTTCCCACCTGCGATGGCTTCGGATACGCAGCCTGAAGGTACGATCTCGAAATGGGTCGATCACGACCCCAGGTCCATTTCTTTGCAAGTACATTGGCCGATTGACCATCTGTGTACAAATGCCTGTGTGATTATTGCTGGGAGGAGGAGGATTTCCACTCACTGTGACTTTTCACAAGGAGCAGCAGCAGAGGACGGTGTAGGAGACTAGAGAGAGAGAAGAGAGAGAGAGGCTCTTTTGGCCTTCGTAGGTTCTTTAAACCTCAGAACCCATAGTCAAGGAACGGATCTGACCAACCCAGTACCCAGAAGAACCACAACTCGGTCGACAACTTGTTCTCCCAAGGTTTTCTGCAGAAGCTTGTATGTTCCTCCCAGCATTCTGTGACCTCTCCTCGCCCCCTTTGTGGTGTACACGGTGACCAGCTGAATCAAGCTTGATCTTGCTGTAGTGCATAAGAGCATCCTGGGTTCGGCAATTGGCATGCATCAATCTGATGATGTTGTATTTAGAGGAACTCTCATCGTACTTCATCGTCTGTATGGCGTTAGTGGTTCTATTGTTTAGAGTATAGTCTCAACTCTGGAAGTATTTTCTACTTAAGCCTTCAGTTCCTATTCTGGAAGTCACACAAGTAAGTAGAAATCAGTTTCTTTATCCATGTCCTTCATAGACTGAGTGCGAGCAACGGGGAAGCAATTGAGAGGCACTGAGTGCCCAGGGAAGGAGTCAGCCTACAGCATTCATTTTCTTTGATCCACAGAACCTAATGCATGCTATGTTCTGTTCCGGATTGCTTACATTCTTATCTAAAGAGTTGGTTCTCGCTGCTCGTATTGTTCGGTACCAGTGGAGCCTGAAGGCAAGAGAAATGCGTCAATCACGTGAAGAGAGCTATCTCTGCTACAGCCAGTTGACTGACCATTACAAACGGATCATGCAGGTGACGACGATCCTCGGGCTAAAGTCGAGGAATTGGAAACTGCTCTGAGTGCTGCGAAGAAGGAACTTGCTATGAGGTTCTTACTCTTCCCCTACTCTGCAGGGTGGGCCCAACTAAATCTTCTTTACGTAGTCTTTCTTCTAGGAAGATCATGGGAGAAGCCATGGATTAGGGTGAATAAGGATTTGCTGATTGGATCACGATCGTTAAAACTCCTTCGCCCTGCAAAGTGATATGTCTGAAGAACGGTCAGTGATGGTCTGGTAGCCTTTGAGGAGATCAGTTACGCTAAAAGCTACTGAATGAGTTAAGCTGGAATTGGATGATGTGCAGGGTGAAGCATTATGAGAGTAAACTCATAACAATGACGGTCATTAATAGCGCACTCACGGTACAGATTCTTGATGCTGAACCGAAACATGCAAATTTCAATGCTGGAAGCAAGAAAATGAAACCACGCTAGCATTTGGAGTTATATGTTGCTTGAGAAGAGTCTGTTTAGAAGAAGTTTGCACCCATGTTTTCACTACTAAAACCCTCTCCATCTGGACATGAGCAGAATGAGAACGAGAAGTTGAAGGAAGAAGCTGCCAAGTTTCTTGACCCAGATGCCTCATCTCAAGAAATGACGGAGCTGCAAGAGGAGTTCACTAAACGACTGGGAGTGGCTGAAAGAACAGTAAGTTCAGTTCTGCTGCGCTCAAGTTATCTCCAAAGTCCTTATCACATCCTAGCACTTATTTCGATGACATGCTACCTTGTCCCCACATTGTAGATGCAATTCGTAGTATGTCGAACATATCAGTGATGCTTTGCTCCTCTTTGGTGGGTAGATTAATAATGATAAATCAAGCCTTCTAACACATCAGGATCAATTCCACTGTGCTTTTTAGTATGGTCTAAATGCATAGGCAATCTTTCTCGAGAAAGACTGCCTCAGAGGTCCTGAACATGATGTGGGTAGTTTATTTGCTGATTTTTTACGGATACTGTTCTTTTAAGGAAAAGTACAGGAATTGCAACCCGTCAAATATATTGGCATTGTCAGAGATCCCCGTTATTAACTCTTCTCAGCAACTTCTCAGGCAGCCACCATGAAGGAAGAATGTTTCACTCTGAGACAACAGGTCGAGGAGCTGAAGAAGGGCAAAGATCTTGTTACTAAGGAACTAAACGAGAAGCAAAGTTCAATTGAACAGGTAATGACGATCAGGTCAGAGACTTTCACAGCCAGGCACTAGAATCTTGATGGCTCTGCTGTTTTTAGATATACTTCTTTAGTGTTCGGGCTGTTTGGTAGGAGAAGTAACTTATTTTTAATTATCAGACAACTGAATTTCTGAAATAATTCACATTAATGCGTGTGCAGTATATCATGGAGGGGGAGAAGCTTTCAAAGAAAATGGGAGAGCTAGAGAGCATCTTGAAGAGATGCCGGTCTGACTTGGCAAAATCAGATCAAGAGAAGGAGAAATTGTCCACGCAAGTTCAGGTCTGTTTTTTTCCTTCATCCAGAAGTTCACTAGAAATTTATGTCTGCAAAATTAGCTACTATAACATCATGATCTGGAGACGGGATTTCTCCATGAAAACTGTATGCTCATTAGTATTGACTCTAGCTAGGAATTTGTGACCTTCATCCTTTGACGTTTTTATTGCTTGAATACAGATCCTAGAAGCTGCAGCAAGACAAGCTGACAAAACTAGGTGAGGCTTTTGGATATCTAGCAATATAGAAGTTTACTTGCCAGACCATGCTTCCGTCTTAAGCTTTCCAGCGGCTTGCTTGGAAAGCTTGATGTTGGGAATGAGTTCTTCTGCCTTTGTACCTAGACTTAATTTAGGATATCGGTGTTTCAAATACACGAGTGCTGTCTGTTTAAGGAAAATTGGAAAACTTCCATATAATTTCAGCACGACGTTTCTGTCTTGTTACTGTTTGGGCGGTAAGATCTCATCTTTGGCGTCAGTTGAAATATAGATTGAATGTAGATTTACGAACCTTCCCATCTATCCCAAATAGCGGCACCGATACATATTTGCATGCAGGAGCGTAGTTGCTCATTACAAGGAGTTAACAAATTCTTTGCTGGTAATGAAGGTCGATGGACTACGAGGAAATAAATCTGGATCTTCAGCACACTCGACAGCTACTGGCGGATCAGAAAGAGCACTATACCCAGGTTTGCTTACAAGTGACCACTGCATAGCGTAGTAGCTTCATCCATTCAGAGACATCCAATATAATTGGAAAGTTACAGATAATTAGCATGGCTCCTGCACAAGGTGTATCAGATCGCATTGTAGGAACTTGAAGATACTTCAAGCATTTATCTGAGTTATTAAGGCTTCATGTGATCTCTCATATTCATCTTAGAAGTCTGCTAATACTGGTTGACTTTGAAATACGATACATTGACAACTGATAACTAATGACGGCTCCTCATGTCAGCTTTTGGAAGAAGCAAAGAAGCAGGCCGAAGACGATTTGCGGTATACACAAGAAGAGACCTCCTCTCAACTGTCAAGTATGGCACGCAAGATGGAAGAGCGAGAAAGAATCTGGTCTGCTAATATGGATGCCCTTCGCACTGTAAGTTTTATTAAAGAATGGGAGTTGGAAATGTTTGACGGACTGAGTGTATGCATGGGCCTCAAGAGGCGAAGGGATCTAAGGTTACAACTTTCATAGTTGGATAGAAGAGAATCGCTCATACGTTTTTTTGGAAGTAAAAGGTACCATTATAACACCCTTCAGAAGACATTCGGATTGCAAGACAAAGGTTCCATCCAAAATCTTTCGTAATCACCTAAGTATGACCTTATTCTTAAGATCTTACCCTCAGCTTTGGACTTGCAGAGTTTGACAAAATCCACACAAGCGGCATCAGAGCGCGAAGATTCACTTAGAGAAGAGGTAATTTTGACCAGATTAATGGGTTCATGATCGCAAAACTTCACAGCAGTCTTCATGAGAAACTGGTTCAAATAACTGGGCTTATTTTCACTGCAAGCTCTGAATTTGTTGACCAGGTTCTCCTTTGACCCTCTGTTGGACACCACAATCTCTCACTTATCTATCAAAAGTATTTACGAAGTTCATTCTTGATGGATGCTCAGATTAAGAGACTGGAGGTAAGATGTAGGACAGCAGAAGCGTCGCAAGAGGAAGCAACTGCTCGTCTGACGGAATCAACTATGCCACTAGTACGCCAGGTTAGTTTTTTTATTAACGAGTAATACGACAAGAATGATGTTTACCTTTTGGATTCCGACTATTTTTTCTCCTCCGATGGTGAAATTTTCAGTTGAAGGAGACCACCTCTTAGTATAGGGGAACATTCTTGTCTAGCCATTCTGAAGAGTTCAAATCTTGTTTATCGAGATCATTTCAGACTCAAGGTATATTTGTATTGCCTTGGTCCTTAAAACTAGTAAGGATTGTTGGCATTGATTGGTATGTTGGTGATCCTTGCTGTGAAACAATATACGAAATTACTCAACTCTTCCACGAATTTGTACCTTGAAAACTCAGCTTCAACGCTTGACAAGTGTCCACTTCTGTCATGACACTTTTGGTGTCAAAAAATTTGAGAATGTGATTTTCTTGATGACTGAGTCTAGTTTCATTGCAACATGTTCTGCTAGATGGAAAGCTTGTCGATGCAGTGCTCCCAGCGAGAGGCTATCATGGAAGAAAGGGAACGACAACATAGCTATCAGCTGCAAGAGATGGAGACTGTTGTCAAAAACCATATGGAAGCAATGAAGAAAGCTGAATCTGCAGCCCAGGCTGCCGATAGACGCGCGTACATTGCAGAAACTTCCGTATTTGATGTAAGAGCAAAGGCACGAAGCGCTGAATCCAAGTTGCAGGAGGTGGAATCAGAGCTTCTGGTGAGCATCTCATCTTTCGCTATCACCCCTAAGATATAAATTCCAGTATATGTAAGTCTTTGTGAACTATGGACATGGTGTCGCTCCCTCTTCACGGAGCTATAATAGACTCAATAGGCGTAAACGTCATCTGATCACTTTTACACTGATTCTTAGGAGGAGCCTAAGAGAATGTCATATTTTCTGGTGTGCTGTCAGGAAGTCAAAGAGATGTGTCTCGAAGCTGAAGCAAGAGCTGAGAAAGCTAGAGAGGAGGCTGAGTTAAAGCTTCTCAGCGAAAGGAAATTGAGAGAGGTTCGTCTTCCGATCTAGTTGCACATCCAGATGTTCAATCTCTCCTGTATTACACGGTCAAAACCCTCAACCTGGCTTCATTAAGGTTTGAACCAGTTAATAATTCCCCGTTTGATTCCACAGGAAGCCCAACGGACCTTGAAAATGTCCAAGCTGGAGTTCACGGCTGAGACTGAAGCTTTGAAGAAGCAGCTCAAGGTCATGAAGGTAATAAATAATCAGCCTTAGAACCAGGCAATGCTATTAGCTAAATGTATAATATAAAGCTCTAACTACACTCTTTCTTGTAAAAGAAGCAAGTTTGCAGTTCGTGGGAGGATGTAACATTCAAGTCATTTTCAATCGCTCTTACCAGAGTACTTGTCAGTGGAATTTTCAAAGAGTCTTACTTCCAATACTTTCACTGCGGCCACAGGCAGCAATGGAAGCACAGCAGAAGGATTTTGCCACACGCATGGAAGCCATGACACCAGCAGTGCCTGCTGAAGAAAATGGCGACACAGCTAGCAGTGGTAGCACAACTTCCACAGAGAGGCATTTTTTCAATACGAAAGACACCCCAGTTAGGAGGTTAGGGTCCTCATCGGACATCATGGCTGGTATCATGGATCTCGACCCTGCTAGAGGTGGACAAGGTTTAAATCATGTTGCTACGGAACGTCTTCTGTCTCAAGTCAGGTACCTTACAATCAAACCCAATACCTCATGCTCTCTCGCAATTCTTATCAGTTGATACTAATTCCAAGAGTTAAGAGGATACTGGATCAGAGGATCTATGTTCAAGCCTTAAATCATTTGCAAAGCATTAGACCGTGCCTTCGAGTACTTGTACTTGAGGTCTGTGTAAGATCATTTTAACGAAAGAACAAAATGGCTTCAACGTACTTTCCCAGAAATGTAGATAGAAGGAAAGTGTAAACAGGAAAGAAACCTCGGAAATCGTTCGCATTGTTCTATAACAAGTTAACTAAAATGCCTCGTTACGCTGCGTTGATACTCTTCTCTGACCATCGTTTGTATATATGTAGACGGTTCCAAGGTGAGGTACAACAACTTCACAAAGATCTCAAAGCTGCTCTGCTTGCTCGTGATCACGCAAGTGAGGATCTCCTCAAAGCAACAGAAAGATTGAACAAGATGGAGAAGGTAAATCTCACTCCTTGAAAATTTCGTGTGATGAGTGCTTTGTGTATTGCATTATTCTTCCAAGCATCAGCCATTTCTGTGGAATAACAGCTGTGATTCTGAATCATGTGCAGGAGATTGCAGCTGCAGTGAAAGTTCGCAAAGAACTGGAAGAGCTCAAGAGAAGGCATGATATGGCTCTTGTCATCATTGGTGAGCAGAACGAGAAGGTAAGAAAAAGCCTCATTGTTTTTTACAATAAGTCTAATGCTGTGAGTCCATGACACTTAGTTGGCCATTTGACATACAAGGAGGAAGGTGTACAACACTTGAAAGTTACGAATGGACACTTCACCCAATCCAGAAGGCATGACAGTCCTTAATGTCAAAGACAATTCCCACAGCCTAAATCTCATAAGAGCAATGTGGGCAAACTATGACTGTAGGCAGACGAGCTGGAGGCAGATATGGCCGACGTAAAGGCTCTCTACCGCGAGCAGATGAATCTTCTGATTTCGCAGGTTGGTGTACCCTACAAGTTTTCCATCCCCATACAACGGTCATTAGTGCCCAACATTTCAAATTCATACTTGTAGTATTGAGAGAGTTAAACATCAAGTTGCAAGTAGTTTGATAGTATTCAAGTTAGTGAGATAGTTCTGAGATTAGATTGCGAGTCCTGGGAGCTTGATGCGTGTTATCCTGTTTCACTTACTTCAAGTTTGCCGTAGAGAACGAGACATACTACTGCCGCCGAAGCTTACAGGATCAATGGCCTCTGCATCTTGTGCAGGTTGACCCAGAGAAATGGCCAAATGGTTATCGGATCTGCTTGTTCTGCTCACATTGTGCTCAGGTTCAAAGACGCACTAAACGCATCCAATAGCACGAGCCACCATTAAATTTGGTGGCATTTGAACATACCATTTTTTGAAGATAGTAAGGTGGGTAAGTCAGCCATAATACATCACATTGATGTGCTCCAGAAACCCCAGGCTTGTTCGGGCATCACAAGATGTGTGTTGCAGTAGAGTCATCGAGGGAACTCTAGCGGCAACCTCGCCTTCGGTCCAGAGGCAATACGATAAAAGTGGACAGGCCCTTTATATGTAACAATTGTCATGTGCATGCCGGTACAAGGACACGCACGGAACGGCGGGTCTGTCATCACAGAGATGGAATTGTTGCCTCGAGTACACTCCACGGGCCTAGTTGAATGAATGTAGCTGTAGCAAGATGCAGTTCGCCGAATGCCTCCGGAAGGATTACACAGCTGCAATAGTTGTTTGATTCCGAATGTAATATATTACTCATTTATACATAATTTTTGTAAATTCACATGTTCCAGAATTTCTGGTCTCTCGCAGTGGGACTCTGGGGTTTGGATAATTTCCGTTGCTTTCTAGTTGGGAGTTTTGAAAGGGTCTCACATCTTGTGATTCGTCACATCAACCATCTGTACACTTGTGCAAAACCGTCTTAACTGCACTTCCCCGCATTGACTCCAGCCAATCGCCGTCTGTAGGCATTTGAATGGGGAATCTGAGCAAGCTCTTCTGCCTCGTGTGTGGCTGTACGAGCGTGAGCATTCGAGTAAGAGCGAAGCCCTTCCCCCGTGTACCACTGCTGGGGTCGCATGATCTTTGTGTCGGGGTCCGCCAGCGACTCCTTCCAGTGTGCTAAGTAGCCAGCCATGCGCGGAATGGCAAACAGAACCGGGAAGAATTCGGTGGGGAAGCCCAGCGCTCGGTAGATCAATCCCGAGTAAAAGTCCACATTCGGGTACAGCTTGCGGCTGACGAAGTACTCGTCGGAGAGTGCTGCTTGTTCCAGAGCGACCGCAACCTCGATGAGAGGGTCGCGTCCCACAATCGAAAACACCTCGTCAGCAAGCCCTCTGATGATCTTCGCCCGAGGATCATAGTTCTTGTACACACGGTGCCCGAATCCTGACATCTTGCGTTTCCTGCTCTTGACACCCTCGAGAAACTCCGGAATGCTCTGCACCGTCCCGATCTCACTCAACATTTTCAACACCGCCTCGTTGGCGCCCCCGTGCAGAGGTCCATAGAGGGCTCCCGTCGCGCCCGCCATCGCCGTGTAGACATCGACCCCGCTCGAGGCCAAATGCCGAGCGGCAGCAGTCGAACAGTTCATCTCGTGCTCAGCGTGCAAGACGAAGAGAATGTCCATCGCTCTCGCGAGGCGAGGGTTGGGCCGGTAGCTCCTGTCGCCCAGAGAATCGAGCATGTAGAGAAAATTCTCCGCGTACGACAGCCCGCAGCGAGGCGCGACGGGCGCCCTGCCCGCCATCCGCTGATACACGGCCGCAGCAATCGTCGGCACCTTGCCGAGCAGTCGCACCATCTGCTTGTCTCGAACAGAAGCCGACCCGTACAAATCGTGCCCGCGCAAGGCCGGATTGGAATCGTTATGGAAAGAGGAGAGCGTACAGATCCCGACCATGAGCATGCCCATGGGGTGCGCATCGTGAGGCAGCGACGCAATGATCTTCAGCACGCCCTCGGGCACCGCAGAGTGCTGCGACACAGCCAACTCCCACCTCGCCAGCTGCGCGCTCGTCGGCAATTCTCCATACACGAGCAAATAACTCACTTCTTCAAAGCTACTCCTCTCTGCCAGCTCTTCGATCGGGTACCCTCGGTAGCGCAAAATCCCTCGATCCCCATCGATGTACGAAATTGCCGACCTCACGGCCGCTGTGTTCGCGTACCCCGGATCGTACAGTCTAACCCCGATCTTCTTCAAATCCGTCGCCCTCACAGTCCTCGAGGCGCCAATTTCCAGCTCGTACTCCTTTCCCGTCCTCCCATCGACCACCTTCAACTTGCCCTCGCCATCGGTCGCCCCACATTCATCGTCGTGCACCGCAAAATGCCGCGACAGCATCGCGAGCCTCGTCGTCGAGGCCATGGGCGCCACTGCTCTGCTCCTCGATCCTCCTTCTCTCGTCTTCTCCTTCTTCTTCCCTTCAGGCCGCCGTGTTCCCCGACAGTACAGCCTGTCCCCTCGGAGAACGCTCCGTTCCCTCGCTGGACCACGACGTTCTTGACTTTTCTATTCTCGTGGTGTTCGAACGTTGGCGGTCCCTCTCCGAGAGCGGAAGCGGGAAACCGAACCACGTCCGTCCGGCTGACTTCGTGACTCCGTTGTGGTTTACGTGGTGGAGTCGCGCTCCCCCGCGCGCGCGCGCCGCCCTCCACGAGGTTCACGCCCACCTTCTCGTGCGGCGTGGACTCGGTCGGAACTGCCGGAAGTTGAGCTCCGGTTGCCGCCGTCACCGCAGGGTCCAGATGGTCGCTGCTCATGACTCCACGTGGGAATTCCGTCTGTCCATTCCAACCGACTCGATCGAGCGAGAATTCTTCTCATATTTTCCATCGGAATGTTCGTGACTCACGGAATAACAAACATGTTGAAAATTAATGGATGGGATATCAAAGCAGATATCCACATTATTAATGATCCATCTGCCACTTTATAATACTGTGATTGGTTCGATAATACTAAGATTCCTTGAAAGTTCATCGGGTGATAAGAGGACTTCGACCCATTGATACCGATCATAATAGTAATGTTCTTAATGAAGACGCAATAACTAGCCCTAGAGTCATGAAAGCATGAAATCTACAGTGATTTCGAAAACTAGCCGCTCCCTTTCGAAGAACATAATCATTAGAATAGATGTGCTTCCATATGTAATTATCGGTTTAACCGATCACATGTTAAACTCGCTTTCATTTAGGGTAAATCACTTCATACATTCGAAGAGAAAAAAATGTATAAGTAAATGTCAGTGCAAGGGCATAATTCTTTGTAACTCCTTAAGCCCTTGTAATAGACTAGAGGTTAAATGGAAACTAGTAGAAAATAAACTTAATTAACGTCGTCTCAAATCTCCGCAGCACCTCCATCGTGAAGCCTGATGATCTACGTAGCAGAATGTCATGTGTCGGATTTGTGACCTACGCCTCACAAATAGAAATATTTTAATCATTGCTTTTGTGGGCATGCAAAGATCAAACTGTTATACCTTGAGCATAGCTCATTCTTCTTGAAAGTGGTATAAAAAGTGTAGCTTATGACGTCATGTGTATTTATTCTGTGAACTCTTTAAGCAAGCCTCATCTCCATCAAGGTCTGCAACGTTTTGCCTGCTAAACTTGATGGGATGAGAGGTTGAAATTGAGCATCAAAGTTTATCAAAGGCCTTATGATGGAATGTCCGATGTGGAAGAAAGAGATGGCTGATTTAGGAATCAGCAATAAATTTATACTGTTTTCAAAGTAAAACTGATCTTAATGTCTCATGTTATGAATACATAAGGAAAAAAAACTAACTGAGATCAGAGAATTCTGAATTCTGAATAACCAAAATATGGTTTTTTTCTCTCTATTTTCAACTCCGCATGTACAAAAAAGACCCACATTACATCAAGGTACTCTAAAAGCTTGAAACTAATGTTCAGATACGTGAAAAATTGGTATTAGAGTTTGATAAAAAACCAAAGTTCAAGAGACAAAGGAGCTTCACAATGAAGTTGAAAAATGAGTACAACTGGCACTTAGACCTATGTATACAATTACTTCACAAACCTGAATAACTTTTATGCGTAATCAGCAGGTCGTTTTGTTCCAATTAAGAATTTTTTATATAATCACCATTTATTTTCAAGATTCCTGAAAATGTGTTGTGGAATCATCATATTACAAAATTTGAAGAGCCATAAAAAGAATGGATATATCAAGAAAGACATCATTATTTTTAGGCCAATTTTCTATTTTTTAAATAAATCAAGTTTTATCTTAAAAATTTTAAGACAAGAAATAAATGGAATTAAAAGATATATGTAATTTGGAATATTATGATAAGAATTCGAATAATTTTAATTCAAATTTTTAATTTTTTTCAATAACATGATCTTGAAAAAAAAATTATATAAAAAAAATTTAGATAAAAAAATACATTAAAATAAATTAATCTATAAAAAATTAATTTTCAATCATCTAATTTTTCAATTTCAATGATTTTGCAATGATTTTATTTAAATAACTGAAATCATTAAAAAAAGAAATAAAAAAATCTTCAATTTATATTATATGAAATTCAATGAATTGCATATATATGAAAAATATTTAATTTAAAAAATATTTTTCAAATAAATATAACATATTACAGATAACATAAAATAAATGTATTTTTTATAAGATTATGTAAAAAATTCTTATAAATGAAGCACATGAGAAAGATATACATGCAATTTAATGAATTTAATAAAATTATAAAAAATTATAAAAAAATGTGAAGAAAACAATTTTAAGATGTAATTTATGTGTAAATTGTAAAAAAAATTTGTTCTAAAATAATTTTTAAAATAATATTTTTCTTATAAAATCGATATATATGATTGCTTTAAAAAAATTCTCCTATATTCAAAATAAAATTATTAAATTTATATACTTTGTATATTTTCAAAACATACTTGTGCATTTGATATGATACGTAGAATATAAAAATTTTTATAATTGAATAAAAGATAATATAGTCATAAAAATAATATAGTTTTGAAAAACATATTTATAACTTTTTTTTGCATACTGATAATATATATTAATTTTTTTATTATTCGTATGAAAAAAATTCATATTTTATTTTTACACATTACGTATATTCATAAATTGTGTATTGGTTGATATGAAAATGCGATATTGTATTTTTATATAAAAAAATCATTTAAAAAAATAATATTATTTATTAATTATACAAATAACTTTCATCAAATTTAAATGAAAGTTTTTCTAAATGGATGATAAATTGAGATATTCTACATCAGCTATATTTTACATTTGTTAAATTTTATATTTAGACATATTTGATAAATTTTTGCTCAAAATAAATTAGATGAAATTTAAATATCAAATAAATACTGTTTCAATTTCTTCCATTAATTTGATTTTTCTCTGATTTAAAAAATCTTACAGGTTTATCTATTTTATTTTCAATAATTTTTTCAATGAAGATAATTTTGTACTGTTTTCAAATTTTGATATTTGTGTGTGACACCCTTTAATCATCTTAATTATATTCTACTTAGGAATATTTTATATATTTTGTTGGAACATAAATGTTCATATTCTTTTATAATTAGTTTACTCCCAGTTTTATATCAATTTATATTTTTCAATTATTTATGAGAATGTTTTACTTTATAGTAACAAATTATGAAACAAAATATAAGTAATACAAAATAATATAAACAAAATAACTTAGGTTTTAGGTTATTTTTTGTATTTCTAGGATAATATATAAGAATATTCCTAAATTTTTTGCTTTCTTTGAAACTATTGTTGCATTTAATTTTCTAGTAAATTTTTCAGTTATTTTTTGGATTCGAGTAGCTTAATTTCTAACTGCATTTAAAAAATTTAACTGCATACAATATCACCAAATTTACTTTTTACATTTGGATCTGAATATATTAATATTGAAATTTCAAAAAGATAGAGCATCATTTGTTAATATCTTTTGCCTCGTTTAATTAATTAATTAATTTGTGAATTGAGTATCATGTGGATACATGATACTCAAAACCAATAAATTCTGTGAAATTTCGAAAAAATAAATTTTATGCACATGTTCTTGAGACCGATGTACTTATAACATAAGTTTGAACTCATTTATTTTATTAAATTATTTTTAGAAATTAAGTAATGCATTTTTTTCTAAGGCATTGTAATGGTAACCAACATGAGCATCATTTTAGTGTGTCAGATCCATACTTGAATGGAATGAAGTAAGCTTCTTATCTTTTCATCATCCATTTATCCAACGTGACTAGTTTTTAGACACTTTGAAGTTATTTGTTGTGACATGAAAACATATGTAATTTTGTTAGTTAGAAGATGAAACTCCTAGTACTAAAAATATTAGTATCATTTGGGAAGAGATGTAGATGGAGATCGTTAATTTAAATAAATATTTATATGATAATAAATATTATTTATGATTATATTTAAATAGTATTTATGATTATATATATGAATCATAAAAATGAATATTTTTATGTTTATCTGACCATACAATCTCAACTTCCTAAACGCGTACCAAATTACCAAAAAAACCCTGCTTCATATGTGAAGAAACTTTTTCGGGGAAAGAGCATCATGACACAGGCTTCATCAGTCGAGGAAAGAAATAAAATCAGTCGCCTTTTCATGAGAATTGACATGAGATATTCACTTATATGCCACTTTCCATGATCTCCTCGCCGTGTCCTATGAAAGAAAAGTGTTCGACGGGTGTGACACATGACGTTATCTGGGTCGTAAAGTAAAGCACTTGGAATTCCAACACAAATCGATAATTTTAGGTTTAGGGTGTTTAGGGTTTAGGGCAAATTTTTTTTTCTGACTAGATTTCTAAGGGACCTGGGCAACGAGAAGTGTCAGCAGCTCTGGTCATGTCATGTGTCCAAGAATGTGTTAAGAGCTGCTTCGTTTGATGCATGCGCTAGTCTGGAGCTTTCCAGATACCTATTCCACCGTATAACATCCTCAGACAACAATATCTCAATTGTAAAAGGCAGAGCACATGTATGACTATCATGGGGTCCACAGAAAGAAGTCAAGTGTTGAACGAAGAATAGTCAAGAAATTATACGCTGCAGCAGAAAAACTGCAACACAAAGAAGTTTTCAGTTCAGAGTACATATCGAGGTTTTCGACTATAGGACAGTCAAATTTTAGCTGTCCACTCAAAACTTCTTCTAAACCCTAAATCTCTACCTTCCGCCAGTCGTAAAACTCCTTCATACTATTTCCTTTCAGCAGTCAAACGATCTTCTTCTGCCTTCACCGACGCATCATGAGTCTCTTTTGCAATCCTTGCCTCCTCCTTGGCCTTAGCAGCAGCCTCGACTTCTTTCTGCAGTCGCTCTTGCTCCATCATGCGCGCCACTTCCTTGCATCTTTCTCTTTCAATTTCCTTCGCTGGTGGGGTCTGGTCCATGTCGTGGACGAGCAGACGACGAGGCCTTCGATAGCAGGACAGGATTGGAGGGACAGCACTTGACCCGCAGTGGTTCGAACTGCGCACGCGGGTAACCCGCGGCCGAGTTACGTTCGGAAGAGGGAGCGAGCGGACACAAGACGTGAAAGCAAGCCGAAAGCCGTGCACAGAGAAAGGAGGAGGAAAGGGGGTAATAGGGCCCAAGCCGCTGGAGCCCCGGCTCTTCGGTGCTTGAGGAAAGACGTTGATTTTGCTTGCGTGGGAAGGCTCCAAATGGCACAGCGATAAAACAAAGGGTGGGGGCGGGAGGCAGGATGAACAAGGACAACGGCCCCGGGCAGATGAGCACGACAGCGACCCGATATAGTGGTTGCATAAATAGCCAGGGTTCTCGTAGCGAGCGTTCTTACACGTGGCTCGGCCATATCCGGACGGCTGGTACAGTCACAACGAAGTGGGTAAGTTGCCGGAGGAAGGGCTTGTGATCTATAGGAATCTCATGGACGGCATGCATCCAAACGGGCCTCAGCCGTAGGATGGCGCATCGGACGGCGCGGCCTGCCCGGTCGACTTCGCTCACTCGCGGTGCCCCAAATCCATGCGTTTTCTCAGCTGTCATCACGTCTAGTGACCTCCCCGGGGGTCCCCATCCCCCCAGCCCCAGCCCCAGCCCATCCGAAGCCCAAGCCCCAGGCCCAGCCCCCGAGCCCGAGCAAATGCCCCCCGGGGGCCTCCTCTCTTACTGAGCGCGAGCCCTGGCATCAGCGGCAGCAGCAGCAGCAGTCGAGACGATCGCATGTCCTCCTCTCCTTCGCGCACTGGGCAGCCGAAGCTTTGTCCGCGCATCACCATCATCATCATCATCATCGCTGCGTGCGAGCGAGCGAGCGAGCTCTGTAGGAGCGAGCGCAATCGCCTCTCGCGGCTCTCATCCTGCTCGAGACCCAGTCGCAGTCCCGCAGGCCGCCCGCGTGCGAGCGCAAGTTTTTGCCGCTCGTCCACGACCCTCATCGTTCTGTCGGTCGGTCTTTCTCGGAGAGAACGAGAGAGACGAAGAAGGTCGCACGAGGATAAAAGAACGGGGTGTCGGTGAGCAAGTACTAGATCTGAATAGCAGATCTCAGAGACCGAAGTCGGGCGACATCGTTGTTGCGGTGCCGAGAGAGCAAGGGTTCGAGTGGTCGTGGTGCCCTGGGGTTTGGATTCCAAGAGCGAGTGTGTCTTTTTTTGGGTCGGTTTTAGGGTGCGCCATTCTCACCTCCGTGGAGGCAGGCAAGCAGCCCCGTCGAGAGATTTGTCGAGCGAGCGATTGAATGGTAGTTATCGTATCCAGGTTGGAGATGAGTTTGATCACTTGTTTCTAATCTGGTGTCGTGTGGTGTAGTCTCCTGCCTGCCAGCCATCGGTGCTCTGTGGCTTCTCTCGCCTCGATATTCTCTTTCAGAGCCAGCCTCGTTTTCAGATCGAGGCTGTCGGATCAGTGGTCGGTCGTTTTACCTCTCTGCTCCTGCCAAGGTGTTGCCCTGCCTTTATACCCCTGCTTTCCTCTTTTCCATCTTCGCATCAGACCTGTATGAGTGATAGTGCGACCTCCTGTTAGCATCTCACTTGCTTTCTTCATCCTAGGAAGAACAGGAAGGAGCTTGTTGTGTTGTTTCCAGGTGGAGTCCATCTTACCTTCACATGTCCCGTTTTCTTTCCCCGTCGGACTGTCCGAGCCGTCCCCGCTTGTCCTAGATCTCAATTCTTTACGGGCTTCCATCGTTTGCCCTGCCGCCCTAAGGGTCGATTCCTCCGCCCGTCGAGTCTTGCGACCTCTTTCTTTGACCCGGTCTTTCACTGCAGTTTCCATCGTCTTTTGGGTAGATAGTGAGGAGGTAATGTGTACGAGTATTCCTGTCTACCATTCACAACGTAAAGAAAGGAAGAAAATCTCTGAAAAGCATTCCCAAACTTGGTGTCTGACAAGCAAATGATTGCACGAGTTGATGTTACCTCAAGTGAACGTTTCACGTTGAACGGCAAGCTCCAGGCAAATGATGCAAACAAACGAACACCTCCATGTGTAAAATCAATCTAGTGTGTGGCTAGTTCTATATCCAGTGTTGTCCACCCATTGATCAGTAACCGGCAGAAATCCGGGATTCTAAGAGAGATCATAGATCAGTCGACGTCGATCCGGATTGTTGCACTGGAACGAAGTCAAGAGTAACACCTTGCAGGGCAAGTCCTGTTTCTCTGTACCTTAACTGTGATGCTAATCTGCATACTCTTCGTGCAACCGATCTGGTACTGGAACACAATATCATCCAAAAATCTGGGATAACTGCAATCTGGTCACTAACGACCTCGACCTGTCACCACATACATAAGCGCGACAATTAGGCCTTTTTTTACTTCAGCGCAGAGCTTCTCTATCCACAGCTACGGAATGTAAAGGGAAGGCGCCAAAGAGTCCTTTTGTACACGAATCAGGCATAGATCCTTTTGCAGGAAGGAAATCTTAAGAGGCCTCACATATAATGTTCAAGAGTTCGCCAGCCGTGTCGGGAACCTAAAACGTTCTACGTGACGAGGAGGTGGCCAACTGGGGTTGGGCTTGTCAAGCTGTAGGTTGTGTTGTTGTAAGCGAAGTGAGGAGGATTCGAAGCCATGCAGGGAAGAGCCAAGCGAAGTGAGAGCTTTTCATGACCCAGGATCTGGTCATGGATTCGCTTCCGAGGATTGCAGAAACTTGCCTATCTGCATATGTGATGAACTTTCATCCTGCGCTCTTCTCAAGCTAGGTGGATTTCATCAGAGGGCTCCGGAAGAACTCCTCTTCTTGACGACAAGATGACTACACTCTCACCTCCACCGGGTTTTGGCGGACTACTCCAGCAGATTGCTTCTGATGTTCCGAAGCGTTCAAAAGACAGGAGGGTGACATGGGCCATTGGCGACAAACTTTGCCAGGTCTTAGCCTTCGTCCCGTTAATAGAACTGTTATTTCGGTTATTGAGTGCGTGTGATGATTACATTTGCCTGTGCTGTCCGTGCTGGACTTTCTGTCTCCCTTTCACTATTTGAATGCAAACCTTCCGAGTACATTTCTCGTAAATGGACATCCTGAATTGTTCATGTGTCAAACAAGCTTGTGCTCGACAGTAGGTCAGTTTGCTTTGTTGTCTAGACAGGGAGAGGTTCTACGGCGATCAGGGTAGATATTGGCGGATTGAAAGTCGGTGTCATCTCTTTGTTCAGAAATAGATTCGTAAAGCATGCATTTGAGCCGGTGACCCTGTAATCGAGATATTCAGATACAGTAGACACTACCTCAGCATACCTCAGCCGAAAAAATATATTTCGGCTGAGGTCCATTACCGTTGTCTTGATGATGCCTCACCAGTTTTCGTCTACCTATTGGGTTTTCTACCTTCTTAATCTGAGGTTGAAGTCGGATACGCTGGTACTGATGATGACTGCAGCAAAGCAACCTTAAGTTTAATCAAGTTTGCAGAGGTTCTGTGAACCTTCAACAATGAAGTTGTGGAATACCTGTGTTATTAGCATATTACCTGTGTTATTACCTGTGTTGTGGATTAGCATATCATTCCTTACACTTGTCGTTGCCACGGTCTGTGGAAGAGTCTCGTTGTTATGATGGTCTTCCACTTAAACTGACATGACTGAGATGGTTATTCAGGTGCGATTGTTTGTGGCCGAAGATGCTCCCGTTATGTCGGGGGCAATTCAAGAACAGCTGCAAGCCAAGCAAGCAAGATTCATGCACATTTTTCAGACTTCCGTGACGAGTGTTTCCCCGGAAGATGCCCCTCCTGGCTTTGGCGGAGTGGCTGTAAAGCCCAAGGCAGATCCAGCTGCCCTAGCTTTGATTGTAGCTCAGATTCCATGGCGTCGTCCTGACATGGTAAGCCAACGCTACGTATGCCACACGGGTTTAAGTGGGCTTGCTAGCTATCTTTCTGGCCTTCCAAGACAAGGTTTCCAAAATTTCAGCTGGGAACTAGAGCAGAATGGAGAGGTTGTTGTGGCATGTATAGCGCTGGGGATCTTGATCGGGAAAAATATCCAAACACCAATTTTTAACTGTCTGGATGATGAGTGAAGGTTTACTCTAATACTATCAGCTGAAATGTTTAAAGTCCAGTATTACAATGTGAAAATGTCCATCACACTCAAGACTGATTAAACTTAAAACAATCTGAACAAGCCTTAATCCTGTCTCATCCAATACAGCCAGGACAAATTGAACTTGGACTCTTGTAGGAGAGTTCTTATGACTTTCGAACCAGATAATACAGTGATCAGGGAGAGGAAGGGAAAAAACATGGCTGGGTGAAGACCAGAGTTGAGATGAATCTTAGAGCTGGTCGATGTTTTTAACTTTTTTACAATGAGTTTCTTTCCATCTTTTCGAACAGGTTCAGTACACAAGTCTCAAAAGCCAGTAACAATTTGAGCAAAACCACAGATCGGTTTCTTTAGAAGGAATCAACTTTAGAGGTCTTGCAGGCAAGTAAGAAACGTGCTTAAAACTTACGTTCACCCTCTTTATATGTTACTAAACATATATTGGAAAGAGCACGTCTTTTCCTTTCCAAACCAAGAAGTAATTCTCCTGGTTGGGAGTTTTCCACGTTCTTCTTCACGCTTTTGTTATGAATTTCTCGTAGTTGCCTTTACCTTTTGGAGTGAGTCAAGCAAGGATAAAAGAGCGTCGTAGTAACTAGCTTGGATTCCGGAAACAAATTTGATGTAGTTGAGTTGTAGGATGCGTGTGGGTCTCGCAGCTGAAGTATTTATACCAATTGGGAACACGAATTGCAAAACCGGTGTCAAGGACACGCTGCTAGTCTTCGAACTGAATCTTTCATTAGTGGGTTTTACTTCAAACTTTAATGTCAAAAGCATTGGTCTTGTATTTTGTTCTGCAAGGAAGCATGGTCTGAATTTTGCTCCTTGACATGTCCATGCAGTACGCGCCCGATCCAGCTTGGCAGGTTAAAGCTGGCGACAACAGCTTGGAAAAAGATATCCAAAAGGAACGTGAGTTCCGAGTGTTGGAAGCTGTTTACCCTCGTCCTTCTTCAATCCCCGAAAGGTTTGTTTTCTCGACCTCCTACTTTGTACACTTTCATCTTCAGTGAGAGATCACAAATAGGACACGAACTTTGCTCACATTCGCTTTCTTTTATAACCAACGTGCATAGTTCATCAATAAATCAGTTACGTGTATGTACGTGACATACAGTCTGTTTGAATTTTCTCAGTCTGATATATAGTGTGAAGCACAGGCATAGAAATCATCGAGCCTTTTGTGCAGATATACCTCAACGCCAAAATTTTGCTCATTGTGCTGTATTACAGAGAAGTACAGAAATTTTCATCGTGCCTGTCATGTTGAGTTCAATGGTTGCTTGTTTTTTCTTTGTGCGAGGTCAATTACTAAATATGTTACTTTGTTGTATGGTGTTCATCTCAGTCCTGCAGAACCGTCTGAAATTCAAGAAGCTTACGATGACGAGAAGACTCCTCAAATACCGCTTGTACCTTTGGAAGACGAGGACATGCCTGATGTGGCTGACGGTTCCACCCCAGGCCCTCGGTTTTTCAATCAAAGCGCAACAAGACAACAAGGTACTGATCCCACAGGACTATAGAATCCAAAAGAGATTGATTACTGTCTGAAGGGTTCGAAGTACACAGGTTAGATGCTCCCTTTTTTTGCATATTCTTATGTATATTTGGTCCTTACTTTTTGTGGTACAGTTGCGGGAAGCCTGATGCCGTTGTCGAAGTCCGGTAATCAGTTGCTGTCGACGAACATCTTAATGGAGGGATTGAAACCTTATACCCGTGACGTTCTTTCGGGGTTCATCCAAGAGAATGCGCTAGGAAGGAAAGAGTCGAGTTGGAGAGATGGTGGCGTTCCAGTCTTCAGGGGCAGAAACCCACCTGTCGTTGATCATGTTCCCGATGTCTTCAGCAGCAGGCCTTCATCCACTAGTGTCCTTCCTGACAATCCGGCCTCGTCGAATCAAACTGGTGCCGAACCTGACGTAGCAGCCGCTGCTGCTGCAGCATATGCTGCTCTAGCAAAGTCCAAAGAAGTTGGCAGCATGATCGATAACAATCTATTGATACAACTTCTCAAAGACCCTTCTCTGATGCAAGCCTTGACGAACAAACAGACCTTCTCTCTTCCAAATTCCCAATCAGAGTTTTCTTCCAATCTCACAGTAGGAGGCCCTTCAAGAGCTCCTGAAAACGTTAATCAAACACAAAATGGGAGTAGCGTGGCACTTGGTAGTCATTGGCCCACAGTGTCACCCGTCTTCCCGTCTTCGGTTGCAGGTGGGCAGGATGGTTCCCAAACTAGAATCGGCGACGGGTTTGTTCAGGCAAGTGACAGGTTCCAAAGAAAGAGTGGAACTGACGACAGATCCCAACCTTTCATGGCGGTCCCTGTAAATGGTGGACCCTTGTTCTCAGAAATGATGAACGGAGGAAGGGCCGGAACACCTGCTGCCAGTAGACCTGGAAACACTGGAGCTGGTCCGCCTGGGTTTGGCAGTGGAAGTGCTCCTCCAGGTTTCGGCAGCAATCCACCTCCTGCAGTGCATGGCTCACAGTTGGCTACTTCTCACACTACAGCACCTGCTTCAGCAAGACCACTGTCACGCCATGACGAGCAATACTTCAAAGATCTGATCATGCAGCATGGGTGCAAAAGCGCCGATGACGATGATCATGGACGAGCTGGTTTTGAAGGTCAAGGTAACATTAGTGTCTCAAGGTCTCGCGGTGGGGCTGAATCCCCGGCCCTAAGGTGGTTTGGTGGTCTGACGGAGGAAGAGGAGAGCGGGAGATTTGACAGAAGTCGGAGAGAAAGCGACAGACTCAGCACCAGTGTGGAATCCCAGCAATCAAGGTCAAAGTCACGAAAGACGTGTATATATTATGGTACATCTCGCGGATGTAGAAACGGCTCAAGTTGTACTTTTGTACATGAACTGGGCTCGGAGAGGTTGAGGGCTGAAAGGGTACGCAGCGAGCCCTCTCAGATGCAGTTTGTGAAGAGATTGAAAGTGGATGGGTAAATGACTGAAACTCAACGTGATTTCAGCACCGCTGGTCACACATAGGCCAGTGCAAGAGGAGTCTGCTCCATCTTCTGCCGTATTGGGGAACTTCATTGGTGGTCAGTTAGTTCCTGGGCTGCATCAAAAGAAGTCTTTCCATCAAATGGACTTTGATATCAAACACGATCATCACACGATCTGAGGACGGAGATCCGGGCTGGAATATGCAAAACTTGTCTCGTCCACGAAGATGTGGGGGAGAGAAGAACCACGCCCGGTAGGTGAAACTTCAGACTAGTCGCCCTGACCAGTCTGAAGTCGCGCTTCCAGTGTCATTCTTGCCAGAAGGTGGGAATGATCCAGAAGAAGAGTTCACAATTTTCATGAGAAGGTATTGGACTGGGGGTAAGCTGTGAAGTGAATCTCCAACCTGCCCCAGAAATCTTCACGGGAAATGAATCGTAGATGACTCTATCAATCGATCCAGAATCAGAGGTGCTCAAAGCTAAAGTGGACGCTCAGTACAGTTACACGCCCATTCTTTTCACATCAGATGGGTGGGAACCTGCGGAGAAGAGAAAGTCACCGGAGCTAATCACAGATAAGTGGCTATCAAATTGGAAGATAGAGCTCACTCAAGCGCTCACCTAATCTTAAGGAATTTCGTATTGCCACGGAAATCACCTAACCTCCTAAACGCAAGCAGCTACCTCTAATAAACCAAACCAAAGGTTTGTTACAATCAGATTGATACCAAAAGACACGACATCGGGAAGGTAGAAGGTATGCCATCCTGAGGTCTTGGGGAAGCTCTGTGTGACACAGGATGTCTAGCTTTCTGTTTTGTGCCCGAAAGCAGGTCGGTCCCGTGTCACATTTTATTTGTGCAGGGCTGGTTATGTTGATGGCGGAGCGTGTATCCGAAGGGGGAGGTCTGGGTAGGCAGGTTCCTCGGGCTGTCGGCCAATGTACAGATTCCACCAATCAGCCGACAGACAAAAAGCCCCCGTCCTTCCGGGCAAGCAAGGCATATTCACATTGTCCCTTGGCGGGTTTGTGTCTTTTCTTGCCACCGAGCACGTAGTGTGTAGGAGTGTTTGAACCGTGTCTGACTTCCGACGCGACGAGACTTGCATACCTTCAGATAGACTCTATCATGTGGATACTCCTGAAAGGATTCGTCGGAACAATTGTATATTAAATCCTCTTTCATTCCCGAAAAAGCTTGCTTCTGCATTCTTACTGGCTGTTATGAATATGTCACTGGAGTCGCTGACACGAAACCCATCGTCGTCGTCCACTACCAGTCTTCTAGCAGAAAGGCCCTTCTGAAATGCCGGCGGTCTACTGTACTGTTCCACAATTAGGCGAAATTGTGATTCATGGTGATATTGAAGAATAGCACAGGATTTCGCTGACTTCTGTGAGCACGCGACGAGAAATGGTCCTCGCTGAAAGCCCAAGCGACGAATGGCACTAGCATGTGGAAAAACTCGCACGCCTTGTTGTAGAAACATGTCCTCACAGTGGTTATGCAATGCCGTGCCACACACCAAGTCTGAGAAGCAAGCGGGTAGAATCCTGACACGAGCAGGGCCTGAGCTTAGGACGCAGCCTTGCACATCGATCTCCGACTTAGACACAGAGGCAACGACAGCTCGAAGGGAATCAAATCTTCGCGGAATGAGATATGAATAAATGGTAAATGGTAAATGGTAAATGTTGTGAATGGTGTGAATAAAAAGTGTGACAATGATGATGACAAGATGTGCGAAGGATTCCACACTGGAATAGAAACGCGGCTAGCGAGCTGACTATTCGCACAGCGAAGACTGCACGCGCGTTCCGAGTGGACGATCGAAAGCATGACTCGATTCAAGCCACTGGAATCCGGTTCCTGTCCAAGAGATTTGATCGTCTCCATCCACCCATCGAGTCCAGCCTTTGAAGGAGTGTGTGTCGCATGCAGAAGATCTCCTTCAACAACTCTTGCGCTCGGAGTGCGACCGGCTGGCCGTCCACTTGCGCTCGATTTCGCCGCAGTCAGTCAGTCTGTCACCTCAAACTCATCCAGGCTGGCGCGATCCCGACTTTCCCGACCCACCATCCCCTCCCAACTTTGACATCTCGCTTGCAACAATTAGCTACAATCTCGTCGTTCCACTGCAATCACATCCCACACATTCGTTCAAACTAGCGCACCGACCGACATTCTCACTTTTGCAGCATTTTCCTCTCGGACCCTTCTCGTATCCTTCTTCTGATTGGGTTCAAGAAGAAATTAGGAATACATTCCTCGGATGTATAAGTCATTCCCCAGTGATCGTCTGCAGTTTCGTCGATGAAGTGTGGGGACATCCACGGTGACATAAATTTTTAGCGCCTGATCGAAAGCTGATGTGATCTTGATCGTATTGATTTTCATTTTAACAGATATAATTTAGTGGAATTATAATTTATTTTCAGTAAATACCACAAATTTGAGATTACTTCAACACAATTTGAATTGAAGCTTAAAAAATTATCAATGTTCATATAAAATTTGTATTTGTTTAGAGGATTTAATTTAGAGTTAGGAAGAAAACTATTTGCTATTTAGATTTCAGGATAAAAATAGTTGAAAACTTGTTCAATTTTTCATGAAAATTTGAATTATATTCATCGCAAATATAATCATAAAAAACCATCGAAGTAGAGCAAAAACCTCAAGAGTGTAAACCCTATAATTTAAACCTTCATTGATTACTAAAATGGGATAGTATATAGAAATAAAAATCTAAAAACAAATATTTTTAAAGATAAAAGACAACTCAATAATTAAAACAATAACTTGAGAGTCAGGAGTAGCAAAGTTTTTAAAAAAAGTTTTCAATATTCATGATGGAGAGCAAAGCGCTTATGTAGGCACTCTTTCAGAGGAATGTGCTTCCATCACAATCTGAAGATGGACCTCATACTTTCAGAAATGTGTAGAACAATCCCTTTTATCTCCAACTCCAACTCGACAATTGCCGACGCCATAGCCCGCATACATACTACAGTAGTGCCCAGCAATGATGTAATTATGATAATGGTAGCGAGTTTCATGTGAATGATTCCGAATTTGGTATCCAGCTATTTTGGAGCTCTCTAATATGGTTGCTGTGTGCTAAATATTTCGTTTCCCTTATAAGTTAGGGCCGCAATTGGCCCACAGTATATAATCTACCATAATCAGCATTCATTTTATTATGGTAACGGTCAGTAACCATAAATAAAATAGCATAACAAAATAAACATAAGCAACAAACATAATAAATAACAGTCATACTCAAACTTCTCTTTATGTCTCAATTCAATGATGTATCAAAATACAGGTTGCATTTAGAGGGGAATAATTTACCAACTAGATTAAAAATTAATAGGGGTCCCATAAAATTGTGTATCATAGACCAGATTGGTTTGACAAATCAAGCATTTATTTTTTTGAAAATTATAAAAAACAACATTCGATTGAGGAAAATAACTCATGTTGAGGAAATGAATTATTACCTTATCTTTGTTATGACTTCTGAGCTCATAAGCAATATACTTCACGTCAATCTACTTCATACATCTTTCACAGATTTTTTCCAATTAAGTCAATAATCTGATCATTTTCAACTTGAAAATTCAACTTTTGAAAGTTGTAAAGACTAAAAAATCGACGTGTAAAAATTAGGCAGATATGAAAATTTGGTTATTAAAAAATTAACAATACATACAATTCATTTTAAAAATAACTATCAGGTATTACATGAAAAGCTTATATATAATGTTCGCTCCGATCATAATATTCATAACATTCTAATTTAGCTTAAAGTAAATAGTGAAACAAGCACATAATGCCAACGACATCTAGTACAAGTCACTCATGTGTGATGTACTAAAATGTTGAACATGAAACAGCTGAACTCAAGTTTTAAGGAAGTTACTTTCATCAATACATTCATCGTTTGAATCAAGTGAATATTTTTAATGATTTTGAATGTTTATTATAATTTTTTCATGTATTTTTGCCTCAAATTTGATGCTTGAAAATTAAATTATAATATTTTTTCAACTCTTTTAAAATCTGGCAAATGATATAAATATTATTCTCATATTAGTATAAATGTATGATGTGCATTTGACTCCATCAATAATTTGAATCAATTTATTCAATCTTAGAAGCATGATAATAACCTGTAAAACATGAATTTGACATGAAAACTTTGTTATAAAGAATCATTTGTTTTATTGAATTTCTTTAAATTATATCATGTGTTATTTGATTACATTTTTTATATTTTCACTCAAATTAAAAACTCAGGAAAGTTATGAAATAAATATGGTGGTTTTTGTACTTTATCATCAAAAAAATTTTTGATCCAATCATACTAAAAATATATATTGAATTATTCAGAAATTAAAATCTAGGATTCAAGCTATAAATCTTAAATTTTTGTTGACACTAATGTTGCAGCCAATATTGTTGCTGCTTATTTGCTCCTTTTATTGTTTACAAACGTGCAAAATTTCTATAGGTCTAGCTCACAACTTGTAGGAGATTTTTCCTCTTCATGAAATTGTGTAAATGCCTGAGGTACTCATATCTTTTATCATTTTAATATACTAGGTACAAAAATTATTTTTCCATAATAATATCATCTTTAGTTTTAAGATCATTTTATTCTATGATAAGTCTACGGCTAAATATTTCAAAAGTTTTCTGAAAATCTTGAAACATCAAAGATTAGACATTGATAAGTTTTGATTTGAGTCTTTGTCGGCCAATCTTGCTTTAAGATTCAAATTAAGTAAGATTAGTCATCCATATAATTATTCTTAATTATGATCAGTCCCTTTGATAACAAGAAAATCATATTATTATCGCAGCATATGTTATCTGTTATATTAATAGTCATATGTTACTTACAATTTTTTTAACGGTTTAGATACAGATATGAAAGTTGAACATCAATCAAAACTTGGCAAAATAACTTCAGGGCTAAAAAACTCAATATTCTCAAAACGTAATTCCGTTTTAAATTTTGAAGTAATTATTTTAATTAAAACGATTGGCATATATCTAAATTCCTAATCATAAGATAAAATAGAATTTAATTCTAAGTGAAACTCACTTTGTGCTTCAAGATTAGCAATGCATGTAATAACTCTTGGTTTTCATATACCCCTACCTGAAGGTTTGTTAAAAAATATTGGAGTACAAGATCCCCTGATGGTACCCAAATAGTAGGTCTAGTGAGAATAAAGATGATTGTAAAATTACCTCGAAGTGTTGACTAGAGAATGACACAGTTTCTTTAACTAATTTTTCTGCTGTAGTCTCTTCATTAAATTACATTATCACTTATATTCTGTATTCCCAGAGGCAATCAGAATTAGTTGACACTTCCTTGTACCTCAATAAAAAGTCAAAGGAACTGAATTTCTGGTTGTAATGACAGTAAGCATGATCTGCTCCACTAATTGATGCATCTAAACTTTCCATAGAAACCAACGTGTGTGGAAAGTAATGTCGATGAAATCGCTGACTGTTGAATACACAGTCTTTGCTTCTCTTGAACAGATACTTGGAGTTAGTTCCTTGACTCTTGTCGCCATGCACTGGAATATTTTATGCCTGGATCTCCTCATGATAAGTGGCTGGAGCATGCATTGTTGAGCTATTTAGATTCTGCTTTCTATTTTACTTTTTAACCAAGGAAACAAGGCATTGTACTGCTTCTTCTTGACTTCAGGTTAAGCATCATCAGATATTTTTCAAGATGGGCCCCGCCTCCTTGTTCTTGTTCGTTCAGGGATGATTTATTGGAACCATGGGCTCATCGAGGTGATATGTTAAGGAAACGGAGATGTATTCATTACAGGATCTGCCTTTTGGACGTATCGGCCTTCGCTTGTGTTAAGATGCAACAAGATGGGTGGAATAAAATATTCAACTCCATCTTCACTTTACGTTCGACAAGCAGTAAGAGGATATAGATGATTCAACGATAATTGGATTCCAAATTACCTCTTATCTCGTGTCAACATAGAAGCCTTATTATCTCTTTCTCTTTGGATCAATCATGGTGGTACAATGCTCATCTAGATGGCGTTCTGCTTATATACGTTTAGTCATTGTACACTTTTGTCTGAGGCATACCTTGACCTCCGAGTTATGAGATACAACACATTTCTACGAATTGAAGCTGCTGGGAGCACACAAGTAT